TTAGAGCTTAGAGCTTAGAGCTTAGAGCTTAGAGCCTAGAGCCTAGAGCTTAGAGCCTAGAGCTTAGAGCCTAGAGCTTAGAGCCTAGAGCTTAGAGCCTAGAGCTTAGAGCTTAGAGCCTAGAGCCTAGAGCTTAGAGCCTAGAGCTTAGAGCCTAGAGCTTAGAGCCTAGAGCTTAGAGCCTAGAGCTTAGAGCCTAGAGCTTAGAGCTTAGAGCTTAGAGCTTAGAGCCTAGAGCCTAGAGCTTAGATAGCGAAATACAATCAGTCTTTCGATGATATCTAGTGAAATTCAAGATCTAGATTGGAATTTTATACTAAAAATGAGTTATAATAAAAGTTAGACTAATGCCTTTAGTATATTTTTATTAAATAATATACTTGATAATATTCTACAATGATTCAGGTTCTTTCAGGTACTACAGACTGGTATACTTTCGGAGTGAAGAATCGCTCGACTCGCCGCCTTTTAGTCTACCACCCGTCGACCAATAAAAAAATAGATATTCAGCTAACAAAACTTTATTTCTAACTCTGCTTTATTATTATTATTATTATTAATTTTAAACATTTAAATATTCTTTACCGGTCTGTAGTACTTAACTTTTTTCGTTATTTAATGAAAAATTTGCTTACCTATTGCTAGGAAAATTTGTTTCCAAATGTTAAAAAACAAAAAAAACATGTTTTTAACATTATGCACAAATTAAATTTAGTTACCATAATTGTTTTTTTAAAGCTTTATTAAGTTAATCGCAAGTATAAAGTGTTATTTTTTTTTCGTTAAAAAAAATGGACATTTTAGACGAGAAAACGCGAGAATTTGTTTGCCCAAAATGAGGAAATATTTGCACTTTGAAGTCAAGAGAAAAGAGAAAAATGTGTCGCTTTTTTATTTTTATTGAAGTGTCTCCCATTCACACATAAATTCAAGTATTATATTTTCATCGGTAATCATTTTTGAAGAGCGAAAGTTTTCAGTTTAAAAATCAACGCCATTAATTTTTTTCTGTAGCCATATTCAAGTGTGAATTTTGTTTTACTCGATTGATCAGGTTCCAAACCTTCAAAAACCTTTAACATTGCTTATTCGCTATTGCTTTATTTTCTTTGAAATGCATAAGAAATGACAAAATGCATGAACGTCATAAATTTGCTTAGTAATTGAGTTTTGCTCATGAAGGAAAGGGATTAGTCGAAAAGAAAAGTCGATTTCGGGAGAAGATGGAGGAGTGAGGAGGCTTTTTGGCCTCTGTGTGTCCCAGCACTCGGAAATGAAAAACGGCGAGGAATACAGAAATATTGCGGAAGAGACACGAGAGGAATATATGCAAAGGACACGGGCGGAGGGGAGGGGTAGTGCATATTGAAAGCCCCTGTCCACTCATCAAAGCGTCTATTAAACGGCCACACTCCATTCCCGCGTATTCTCCCCATGTTTTTCCGTGTTTTCCCCCTCCTCCTCCACCGTGAGTATGCTTTTTTGGGAATGACGAACCAGCCAATAGATTGTCTCCCTTTGAGACTTGAGTTTTGCTCATGAAGGAAAGGGATCACTTGTTAGAGCTTAATCACTTGTTAAAATTAGAATTTAGACTGCTTGATCTTGAGTCATTTCCTTAATAGTTTGCCAATCAGTTTCCCAGTTTCATTTTAATCTTGAAAATTTGAAAACTAAAATTGAAAACTAAAAAACCCCTCCCCTCCCTCCCCTCCCCTCCGCCCGTGTCCTTTGCATATATTCCCCTCGTGTCTCCTCCGCATATTTCTGTATTCCTCGCCGTTCTTCATTTCCGAGTGCTAGATATATAGATAGATATATAGATAGATAGATAGATAAATAGATACCGTATTTACTGTATTAGTGGGGTCCTCTCTAATAGTGGGGTCGTCTGGAGGGGGGTTGAAAAAATAGTGGGGTCCTCTCTAATATTGGTAACGAAAGTGATACATCAATTGTTGATCTCTTGGATTAGTTCTTTTACTGTTTGTTAATGTTTTGTTACGGTTAAAGCTAAATAAAATATGAAGCCAAACTTGTTTTTTCAAGAATTTCGGAGAAAAATTGATATCTTTTCAACTTAAAACTTTGGTTTTATGTTCTTTTAAATTTCTCTAATAGTGGGGTCCTCTCTAATAGTGGGGTCGTCTGGAAGGGGATTGAAAAAATAGTGGGGGACCCCACTAATAGAGTAAATACGGTAGATAAAGAACTCAAAGTCAATTAGAGAAACTAGCTTAAATAACTTCACACGCTTTTGATATCTTATAACAAATGAAAGCTTATCTATCTTTAAAAGATCACATGGAAAACAATAACGAAAAATTGAGCGGCGATGAGTTTCCCTCAGTCAAAACACGGCATTTTTCTCAGTCGCTCATCATTTTTTGACGTCTCATTTTTGAAGAATATCGGAAAAGCTTTTCAATATTTTTGATTTCAATTCCCATCGCTTTTCCCAGATCTTTCCATCATGTCAGGGAATGGATGGAATGTGATGGTTGCCGGTGAATTGTCATCATCGAGAATCGATTCACTCGACACGACCACACCTCATTGTATGCTCAGCCTGCCCTTTTCCCCGTTTCCTCAACTACTAATTTTCTTCATTGATTTCTCAAAAAAGCCTATTGAAAAGCTTCTTCCACCTTTCAATATATACAAAACATTTTTTGTTCAACTTTTCAACTTTAGTCTCTAGTTGATCTTTCTCCTACTACTATAAATAAATTTCTGACACCAAACTCCAAAGCTCTACAGATTTACCGGCGAATTTCCGGTGGTTTCCTCATTCACAAAAAAAAACAATCAATCAAACAAACGTTTTTACGTTTGAACATAAAGTTTGTCTGAAAGAAGAAAATGAATTACTTAATTTCACGCCAAATTCTCCCCAGCTGTTTTTTTCGCCTATTCTCGAATCCTTTTTCCTTTGGAAACAAATCTTTCTATTTTCGCTGATTTTCTCGTTTTTATTATATATTTCGAAACAAATGTAAACTGATATCGCTTGAAGATCTCTTTGTTTATTTCATTTCAAAAATAGAAGATGCTTTTTGTGGAGAAACTCATTTTTAAAATCTTATCTTAAAAAAAATCAAATAATATCTTGATCTTTAAGATCTCTAAAAGTTTAAAAAAATTTGAAAGAAAATGAATCAATTGTTCATAGATTCATTGAAAATTTACTGAACAATCGCAAGAAAAAAAAATGGCTTTCGGGGTTAAGAAAAACGGGAGAAAGGGATCCGCGCGTTCAATGTGTGCAACATTTCGGCGAATAATTCATTGCCAAGCAGCTCTCCCTTTTCACATTTTATATGTTTCCTTTTTTTATTTCTCCATGAAAATCTTGGCGCAAAGAAAAGGTGATTTTTAGCTTAAAACTTAATGACTTGTACACATCTGGGGAGTGGGACAAGTGCGACCTTTTTTTTTGCGCACCCGGACATTTGCGCACCTTTTTTTCCGCACCTTGCCCATTAGCGCACCTTTTTTCGCGTTTTAAAAAAGCTCTAAAAAGCTAATATTAACCAATTTCTATTCCAAAAGTTCTTTTTCTAGGTAATTTGAGGGCGTAGAATCGAAATTTTGACATATCAGAGCTTGTGGAAACAAACGGACGGAGTTATACAAAGAGAAGAATCGACAATTTTCTGTAATTTGATCTAGCCGTTTTGTCTTTCAAATTGGTTCCACACGCTCTGTTATGTCAAAATTTCGATTCTACGCCCTAAAATTACCTAGAAAAACAACTTTTGGAATAGAAATCGGTTAATATTAGCTTTTTAGAGCTTTTTTAAAACGCGAAAAAAGGTGCGCTAATGGGCAAGGTGCGGAAAAAAAGGTGCGCAAATGCCCGGGTGCGCAAATGTCCGGGTGCGCAAAAAAAGGTCGCATTTGTCCCACTCTCCACATCTGTGATATTGCCACCTTGGCTAAATTTAAAGCCGCAATTTCGGCAATTGATTTCTATTTCTAAAATTTATGTAAACATTTAAAATCCAAAAGTAACAAACGCTTTTTTACAATAAATTTGAAGAATTTTGTTGTCAACAACAACAACAAACAACAAAACAAAGTCAACAATTGTGTAATTGGACTCTCTACGGGGCGCCTCCAGAAAGCTCTCTACGGAGCCTTTTCTCATACGCCAACTTTCCGTTTCCTCTAAAAGCTCCCACAGTTTCTTTCTTTTTAAATGAGTTATTAAATTGTGGAACCCCCCTTACCCCTCATGTTCGTGATATTCCCACCTTGGATAGATTTAAAGCCGCGATTTCGGCAATTGATTTGACTGCGATTCTGTGATTCTTTCTTGAGGTATCTATCTTTATCTCTTTATCTTTTGGGTTTTTTTTGAGTGGTGTCCTGGGTATTAATTATCATCTTTTTTTGTCGCTATTCAACTGAATAAAGCATATATAGATCTCCTTTCAAATCTCTCTCTCTCACACTTCAAAAACACATCTTTATACCCTTCTTTGTTCATGAAATCGTTTCCATTTTCATTTCCATTTCCCTATAATATCAAAAATGGAAACATTTTCGTTTCTTTTGAACTCTTTTGTGTTCTTTTAAGTTCTTTTGAGTCCTTTTGCGTTCTTTTGAGTTCTTTTTTGAAAATAGCTTTTCCCGCAAATCCACCTGCTCCATTGAACAACGACTTCTTAATCTTTTGAAGTTTTTTTTCACTTTTTTTCATCTGCCTCAACATTGGAATGTTTTAATGAAAAACTAATACTTTTCATTGATAATATTTAAAAAAAAAAAAATAATACGTCAAAAAAGCTTGAGTCAATGAATATTCAAAAGGGGAAAAAAGAAAAAGAAAAAAGAGTCGGGAAAAAAGCGTCTCATTTCCATTGAGACTCCATAAAAGCGGTCAAACAAATTGATTTTATTTGTTTGCTTTTATTCAACAGAACTTTATTTTTTTAAATATTTTAATATTTTAACTCTATCTATTTTTCAATATAAAAATTGCTTTCAAGGTAAAAATGCGGGTAAATGTGGCTCGAATTTTTGAGGACACCGACTACGCTAAAATTCAAACGCTTTGCGAGAGTACTGAGGGATGGACACAGGTTTGAAAATGTCAAAAATTCAGAGAAAATCTCTTCATTAACAATATTGATTTTATAAATAGCAAAATAATATTCAATTATGTTTGCTCGCCAAACTCTGCGAGTTTTTACTCGCTATAAACATCATATCATTTTTCTCATAAGCGTTTTTCGATATAATGTAACTAATTTTGAGGTTGGACAATTTATTCAAAAACCAAAACAGGTTTGAAAATGTGAAAACCTCAGAGAAAATCTCTTCATTAACAATATTGATTTTATAAATAGCAAAAAAATATTCAATTTTCAGGTCTACCACAAGCATTCAACAAGCGTTTGGGTGCAAATGGGTGAAGGGGATTTTCAAGTGATTCGGGTAAGTCTGAAAAGTTGCTAGCTAGTCAGAAAAGTTACTAGCTAGTCAGAAAAGTTACTAGCTAGTCAGAAAAGTTGCTAGCTAGTCAGAAAAGTTACTAGCTAGTCAGAAAAGTTGCTAGCTAGTCAGAAAAGTTACTAGCTAGTCAGAAAAGTTGCTAGCTAGTCAGAAAAGTTGCTAGCTAGCTAGAAAAGTTGCTAGCTAATCGACTTTTGATTATTGTAAAATAGATACAAAAAAAAGGTTCAGGCGAGAACCCATTTGTCGGATGTGTCGGCCTCGACGCTGTACGATGTTTTGCACGATCCCGATTATCGACCAAAATGGGATCGACACATGACGGCCAGCCAAGAAATCGGCATGCTAAACCCGAACAACGATTTGTGTTACTATGCATGTAAGTTAAGTTTAGTGGGGTAGTTTTGAAATTCTAATTTGGTACGCCGAGTTTAGTGTCATCGGTGCCACCAATTCGACCACGAGATTTTGTCATGCAGAGATCGTGGCTAGACGCGGGAGATGAAAAGCTCATCTGCAGTCATTCCGTTTGTCATGATGTAAGTGCTCAAAAGAGATCTACTATATAGAGGGTGTCCCAAAAAAAAGAGGCCTTTACAAAAAAGCTCTAGGATTTCCCGCCACAAAAGGGTTACATTCGGGCGACGATCTTCAAGGCCGGCTACCGAATTCTGAGACGCGGTGATGGATGTGAGGTGACCTATGTGACGCATTCGGATCCAAAGGGGAAACTCCCCGCTTGGCTTATCAATCGACTCACTCGCGTGAGTTTTGAGAAAAGATTTCCAATTTTTAGATCTAAATTAGATTTAGATTTTAGATTAAAGCTATTAGATTAAAGCTATCTATGAAAGAAATCTATTCAGGTTGTTGCTCCAAAGTTGATGAAAAAGGTTCACAAAGCGGCGCTCAACTATCTGGCATGGAAAAAAGATCATCGACCTCATTGGAAACCATGGCTTTTTCCAGAGCAAATGGTAATTATCAAAATTTTGAATTTGAAATTTGAATTGAAACGAAGTTCAGTTGGAGCTGCGAAAAATCTCGTTGTCTGAATGCACTCCAAGAACTTATGATCAAGAGATTGTCGATGAGAGCCGAATAGGAGAAAAAGAGGTTTGTGAAAGCTTGTGATAATCAAGAATGATTTCAGTTTCAATTTTCAGATTGCTGCTGATGATGATTGATGTCATTCCCCTTTGAAAAGAAAAATCTTATAAATACTGTGATATGCACATTATCGCTTGAATACATATCTTTTGATAAAGCACAAATTATTAGGTTGAGGAAAAAGTAATGTCGATTTTTGTCTCAAAACTGTTTTTGCTAAAAACATAAACAAAAGCACAGCAATGAATGAGATATTCTCCATTATTATTGATGATTTGTTCCCATCTTCGTCGCAAGTCCCTGGTTCCATCCTCAAAAAAATGGGGAGTTTTCGAGCCAAAATAAGTGTCAACTGCTTTTTTTGATCTTTGCATGCTTCTCGAACTTTTCTCCCATAAGAAAACTCTTCAACGACCGAAACAAGAATCATCTGATGGGCCCAGGGACTATCATCTGATAGGGCCAAAAAAATCATCTGATGGGGCATCTGATGGGCCCAGGTCCGGACTATCAGGTGCGCGGGGCAGAAGTTTCCAACCAAGCTCGTCGATTTTTTTGGTGAGTGATTTTTGCAGTGTGAGGTTTTGCATTATCATACAAAAATAGCACTTTTGATGTTTCAACGCCCTCATCGGCCTCGTTAAAGGCCTTTCTTTCTTTAAAGCCTCGTTAACTCTCATCAACTTTTTTGAATAAAGCTCAGCGGTGACAATTTTGAATTTTGAAACGAAATTCAGTTGGAGCTGCGAAAAATCTCGTTGTCTGAATGCACTCCGAAGAGTTTACGATCAAGAGATTGTCGATGAGAGCCGAATAGGAGAAAAAGAGGTTTGTGAAAGCTTGTGATAATGAAGAATGATTTCAGTTTCAATTTTCAGATTGCTGCTGATGATGATTGATGTTATTCCCTTTTGAAAAGAAAAATCCTATAAATACTGTGATATTTACATTATCGGTTGAATACATATCTTTTGACAAAGCACAAATTAACTTTCTGGTTTATGGTAAAACAGAAGACAATTTATTGAATCGCTTCACAAAAAAAAAACACAGAAATTTAATCGATATATGGAAGAGCATTAAAAAAATTGCTAAACTAATGCCACAAGCAAAATGTTAGCACCGTTGAGACAATTTAATTGATATCATTGAGACAATTTAACATTATTTTTTGAGGAAATTACGATCAATCTTGCCGCATGGCAGTTATGCCAAAAATTTCCGACAGCTGGAGTGGTAATTGAGTAAAAGATCTGCCGGTGGATTGGACTATAAATAGGAAAAATCTTTTCGTCATGATTTACTTTCGACCTATCTCTTCTCCGAGGACTTCAACGACTGCGACCACAACGAGGACTGTAGCAATGTATTCCCCTCGACCAAATCAAGGCCAAGCCGGCCAAAACTTTCAACCGGAAGGGTAAGAATGAAAACATTTTGCGATGCCTTGATAACAATTCAATGTTCATTTGTTTAGAAGTAGTTCCTTGACTTCTGGCGGTCTAATGCTTTCCCCACCGCCACAAGGAATTCCGGGAATAGACGGAGCTGAGCGAGGATGGATGTCTCCTGGATCACCCTGGCAACAAATGGCCTGGAATGACCCGAGCAACATATGGCCTGGACTGAGGCCTGAGATGTGGCTGATGGGGCCTATGGGACCAGGTAACTTGAAGAAGAGATTTGAGGAAAAGCTTTGAAGAAGAGATTTAAAGAAGAGATTCGAAGATAACAACTCTGATTGCTTATAAACTCTTTACGAGTTTAGGTAGTCCACAATACCCACCACTGATACAAGGACCCGGAATGCAATTTTATTCGGCACAACCCGGGCAGCAAGGGCCAAACCAAGGAATGGCTCCTGTTCCATATCAACAAATGCAACGTGTGTCTGATATTTACCCCGATCAGATGAAACCTCTGGGACCAGGTATATCACTTGAAGAAGAGACTTGAAGTGTTAAAAATTGTTTTTAATGAAATATTTTTTTAGGTCAAGGACAACCCGGTATGATATCTGTTAATCAAATCATGCATCATCATCAAATGCAGCAGCAAATCATGAGCGCTCAACAGGGGATGAGTCAACCGCCAATGATCGCAAACGGACCTCAGCCCGGTCCTCCTCAACAAAATGCAACTGGTGACCCGAGTGGACCAACTCCACCACCAGGTTTTTAAAAAACAAATTATTAAACAAAAGGTTTTTTTAGGAGATGATCAAGTGTTCAGCGCTGATGTTTTGAGGCAACACATGAGACCGATTTGGGAAAAGCTTGATCGATGCGATGATGCTATACCATTTCGAGTACCTGTTGAGGCAATTCTTCTTGGAATTCCTGTAAGTATCAAAAAGCATTTGCATTACAAACTTCATTCAGGACTATCTGGACATTGTTAAACACCCAATGGACTTGTCGACAATTTGCCATAAATTGAATCGCGGCAAGTACAGAAACGTGTGGGAGTTCTGCGATGACATGTGGCTGATGTTCGACAATGCTTGGTTGTACAACGAAAAGAATAGCGAGGTCTACAACTATGCGACAAGGGTAGAAAAATGTTAAAGATTAAAGATATTGATTAAAAACTCTAGCTGAGTGAACTATTTGTGAGCGAGATGAGCCCGGTGATGAAGAGAATGGGATACTGTTGTGCTGATCGATTGACCATCACAGCGTTGCCACTATTCTGTTATGGTGCCACTCAATGTATCATTGCTCGAGATCAGCCATACATGTGGTAAGTTCGGTTAAGTCGGTTAAGTCTAAGCTTTTGAATCGAAATTAGAATTGCATTACTTAATCAAGTATTGTACGATTAGGGGTATTTAAATCAGCAACTGATAGTGCTTGTTTTTTTCAGCTATGAGAGAAACACGAGTCAGTATGGAGTAACGGTTTCCGATCGGTACACCTATTGTTTGAAATGTTTTGAAACAATGATCCCGGCTGAAGGAATGCCACTTTCCGATGATCCAAATGATCCAAATCGAGTGCCAAAAGTGAGTCAAAAAAGCTAGCATAGAAAAGATTTCTATCCAAATCTTTTAGACCGACTTCAAGCAGCTGAAAAACAATCAGATCGACTACGAGCCATTTGAGACGTGTAAATACTGTAAACGAAAATGGCATCGAATTTGTGCTCTTCACGATAAGAAAGTCTTCCCCGAGGGTTTCATCTGTATGACTTGTCGAGAAGAGAAATCTCTTCCCAAGTCTGAGAACACGTTCACCGCCAAGTTGCTTGGCGGTGAACCTGTTTGGAGCTTGGGACTTGGCGGTGAACTTGGCTTGGCAAACTGGCAACTCACGCCAAAACCCGATCTGAGGGATTGGGAGTTTATGTTAAGGCAGCAGCAAATCATGCGACTGCTGTCTGGACAATATGACCAACACCAATATATGGCTCGAGAACAGTTTATGGCAGGACCAGGAGGACCGGTAGTTGTTTAGTTGGACAAAAAATTCTGAACATTTCCTTTAGCACCCGTACAACGGAATGCCTCCAATGGGTCGAGGGCAACCTCAGCCACCACATGGCACACAATACGCCCAGCACCAGCCCGGACCACAAATGCAAATGCCAGCGCAACAGGTGAGGCTTGAAAATCTCTACGTTTCATTCGTCAGCCAATATCTATGACACTGGAAGTACAAGTACAAAATTTTAGTACCCGGGGCCACCAATGGCTGGGCCGAGCGCTCAACAGGGGATGAGTCAACCGCCAATGATCGCAAACGGACCTCAGCCCGGTCCTCCTCAACAAAATGCAACTGGTGGCCCGAGTGGACCAACTCAGACACCAAGTGTCAATGGGCCTCCACAGAATAATGGTCCCTCACTCGGCGCCACTCTTCCAAATGGCCCTGCCGCCACGTCTGGCGGACCGGGCAGCAACGCCGGCGCTGCCACCAGTGGACCAATGGTATGTGTAGGTTTTTAAACAACTTTATTAGTTTTTACAATTAGACTTTTCTTCTATCCGTAACCCTTTTGAATTTTTTCTCTTTTAGCAAGACCCCGAGAAACGAGGACCGAGGAAAGTGAAGGCGATTTTCCCAAGTCTTGATCCAGAGACAATGCAAGATCAAAGATTTCCTAATCTGATCAGTTATGCTAGAGAAGCCGAGAAAGAGATGTTCGAAATGGCCGATGATAGGGTAAGATAATAATTGTAGAAGTTGAAATTGGACTTTGAATTCAGAAAGAGTATTATCATCCGTTAGCCGTGAAGATCTACAAGATTCAAAAAAAATTGCAAGAAAAGAAAGCAAAGAGGCTAAACGATCAACAACTCGGAACGCTTCCCATCACCGTTCAACAGGCAAAAGCTATGTATGTTTTTATTTTAATTTTATTAAACTTTATTATTTTCTATCAAGCCTTAAAGATAATGTATCAATGATAAGGCACTTGTATCAATGATAAGGCTCTTATCATTGATACAAGTGCAAAGACTGGGGATCTTTTGCTCAATTTGAATATTCAGTCTTGTTGGCTAAACACTTTCATTTCGGCGCACTGTAAGAAAACGGGTTTATAGTGTTTTAAAATTGAAAAATAATATCTACATATTGATTAAAGGATTTGAAATTTTAGTGAAATCATTGACGAGGAAAAGTTCTCGAAATGTGCTTGGATGATCTCTGCACTCTTCGCTCTTTTCACGATCGCCTTTCTCCTCTACACCGGCGCTTTTCTTGTCTACCATGTGTAAGTTATTTAAATAAATTTGAGCATAAGATTATTTTATAGAAAATTCAATCATAAAACATTCCATTTTGAAATGTAAATGTAAATGAAATGTCCTTTTTAGTTTGCAAGATCAAAAAGGCTTGATTGAGGTTGATTGGGTTGATTCAGCTCTGGTGAAAGTCGATGTTCCCGATGTTGTCAATCAGGTAACCGATTCTTCAAAATTGTTTACTTAAACTAAAAATAAAAGTCTTTTTTTTTCTTAAACATCTATAAGATTTATAGAAAATCCACATCTCTCTAAATGTTTTTGAGAACAATGTTGGTATGATTGACGGAGCTGAAGGAGAGGAAATGAAATGGAAAATGAATCGCGATGATGAAGGAAACGGAGATAGAGATGAGGTAAAAATTAAAGTGAACTCAAAACTTTCAACAACTTTTAACAAAAAACAAAACAAAACAAAACTCAAGACTTTTAACGGTTTAGGCTTAGGATTCGAATAAAAATGACGATTTTGAAATAAAAAAAAAAACAGTATTTTAGGAGAGCATTTACAAGGAGGAGTACTTGCGTGAACGCATCAGTGCCCCCGCCAACCAATTTGTCACGGTGAGTTCAAAAACCCCACTTTGTATCAGCTATATTTTTCATAATTTATTGAATTTATTGAATTTATTGAGTTTCCAGGATATTGAAGACGATTTCGAAGACGTGATGGCCCTCGTCGACGAGTTGACCGAAAAAGAGCCTTTCGTGGATCTCTACGCCAAGCGGCACGTCGTCTTCTTGGATCTAGTAATTAACTTTCCCAATTCGTATTCAACTTTAATAAATCTCCAATAATTTTTTTAAAATATTCAATTCAGAATGATTGATTTTCTTCGATGAAGTCGCCAACGCCAAAAAGAGAAAATTTAAAATAAAAGTGAATCGAGTGACCACTCGATTCACTTTTATTTTAAATTTTCTCTATTCTCTAATTGTCTAATCTCTAATTGTTAGACTGGCAAGCATTTTCCGAGAAAACATTTTTGGAGTCGCGCACTAAAATGCACTAAATACCGTAATCCGCTTTTTTTGCGCAAAATCATTTTTTTTGGTTGCAACTTTAGCTATTTTTATTCTATTGATTCTATTGATAAAGTTGAAGTCTATAGTGAAACATTAATTGCTTTAAAAAGCAATGTTAGAAGCAAAAATACGAGTAGAAATTGGGCAAAAGTGGGAGTGGGACAAATGCTACCTTTTTTTTGCGCACCTGGACATTTGCGCACCTTTTTTTTGCTAGAAAAGGCCTTAGGAAAGGTCGTAGAGCTTCAAAAAAGTTTTCATAGAAGGGAATCGTATTCTTAGATTCCGAATTTCGACAACTCAGATCTCGCTGACACGTCAAATTTGGACTAAAAGGCAAAAACTACGCAACTTAACGCTTTTCCGCATTTTTTGCCCTTTAGCCCAAATTTGACGTGTCAGCAAGGTCTGATTTGTCGAAATTCGGAATCTACGCATACGATTCCCTTATATGGAAGTATTTTCGAAATATTTTCGAAGCTCTACGGCCTTGCCTAAGGCCTTTTCCAGCAAAAAAAAGGTGCGCAAATGTCCAGGTGCGCAAAAAAAAGGTCGCATTTGTCCCACCCCCGCAAAAGTAAGAAAAAAATAGCTAAAGTTGCAAAATAGCTAAAGATTTTTGCGCAAAAAAGCGGATTACGGTATTTAGTGCATTTTAGTGCGCGACTCCAAAATGTTTTCTCGGAAAATGCTTCCCAGCATTGCAAGTAGTCAGTTTTATTCTAATTTTGTTGTTGTTTTAATTGTTAACCGTCTTTTTTTGTACATTAATGAACATAATTTGACGACCAGTTCAGTAATTACCTTAAAAAATAGCAAAACAAGTGAACTAGACTTTGAAAATAACAAATCAATAAACAATTAAGCCTCCAGAATCCTCAAAGAGTAAACCAAAAGCAATACAACTCTAAAAATTCAAAAAAAACAGATCGAGTTTGAAGTTAAGTTAAAAAGTTCAAGTGTTTACTGTACCAAAGAGCTATTTCAATCCTCGAAGAATCTGACAGATTTATTTTGTTTTGAGGGAAAGACTGTGAGATGAACCCGGTGAAGGAAAGGGAAAAAAAAGTCGAGACGAACACTCATAAAAGCTCTCAAAACGAGCACCTGGTGACGACTTTTCCCCCAAACCGCTTTCACTTTACATCACTCAAAATACTCCCTTTGACTACACACTAAATTTTTTCTTTACAAATTCGACCCTGCTCTTTGATTTCATTTGTACTCTGATACAGTGCTTGTATAGCTCTTGACAGCAAAAGAATTAAGTCAAAATCCAAGCGTTTAACTTTCATCTATTTCAAAAAGTTTCCTTTATCGTTAAATTTTAGGATTATGATAGAAAATAGGGATAGGCTACTTTGCGCGAAATTTTTTGCGCAACTGGGTCATTTGCGCAACTAGGCCTTTTGCGCAACTCGCCATAAATTTCTTCTAAGTAAGCCAAGCTTTATGATTTTGATTTCATTTTGTAGCATTTATTGAGATCTACAAAATGAAACCAAATTCATAAAGATTGGCCGACTTAGAAGAAATTTATGGCGAGTTGCGCAAAAGACCCAGTTGCGCAAATAAAATGGCGGAAATTAGCCTACCCCAGAAAAAAGCGTAATACTAAAGCTAATTAGCTGTCGATTTCTAACTTTGTTTGTGCCATACAAGAATACTTATAGCCAGATAAACTTGTGCTTTTTTTTCTTTAGAATCTTCGTTTTAAAATCGCAAATACAACTGAATCATATTGGTCATTAGATCAAAGATTAGTGTAGTTATATTGAGCAACCTTGATAAAACCGATTGAGACTAGCTTGCTTCAGTAGACTTCAGGACTGAAATTTGAAGGACCGAAGTATCGCCTGAAGAACAGATATCACTGTATAGAGTTTTTGTTGATCGCTATCGACTGTGGGTGACGAAATTTTGCTGGAGCTGGGAAGAAAAGAGAATAGTGGGGAAGGGACTCTGCAAAACGGATGGCGAGGCCACCCACAAAGTTCGCAATGGAGGGGCAATTTTAGAGAAAACGAGGAGAGGATCGGAAAGAGAAAGACCACCCATGTTGCTTTGATGGACTTTTGTAGAAAAGTACCACTGCTGTGTCTTCATTTCCATTCACATACAGTTTAGAATGAAGAATTGAATAGTCAGAGTGCTCGATTGTAGAGTTCTTTATTAGGTTGATGGAAAAAGTTCGAACACCATTTCCCACCGTTCTCTTTCCAATAAGGGAAAGATGATTGGGTCGTGTGACCTTTTCCAATGATATAGACAATTCGACGAAGAATTTCACGCTGCATCCAATGATGTAAAAATTAGCTGTCGAATGGTGCGTAATCACCGCCAAACTGGCCTAAATATTTGAGCCTTTCCTTTTAAACCTTTTTTCAACAAAAAAACACCGTTCCTCGGTGGCCGATTGGTTGAGTTGTACGGCAAGCTCTAGGGCAAGAGTTCAAACCCGTACCGCCTCATTTCTTTTTCAACTCATAATTGTGATTTTTTCGATCTTAAATATTAGAGTGTGTTTTATGTAAAGAGGGGGAAAATTGTGAAAATTGTGAGAGCGTTTAACTCTTCTTGTTCACTTTTTTGTGCATAACCGTAGAGACTAGAGTGTTTTCCTCGCGAGTAAGTAATTACTCGAGTAAAATTTGCGTGAGTAATCTTTACTCGATTAATCGACGTTTTTTTCGTCGAGTAACTACGAGTAATCCTCTTTACACGACGAGTAAATTGAATATCTTTACATTGGAGGGGAATTTCCCAATCAATTTCAATCAATGAAAGCAGTGATTAAGCGAATTTTAGGATAGGTGTTGGTTGAAGATTTGAACTTTTGAAAGAATTTGAACTTGTTCAGCAAAGGGATTCAATCACAAAAATTGTCTCTGTAGTTCATTATCAAATGGACGCAGCTTATTGTTTTTTTTTGCAAATGCGGCTCTATTCTCTATTCTATTTTGGTGTTGAAATAGGATCACAAAATATTATTGTCTTTACCGTAATTTTTGTACATATTACTTCCGAAATGGAAATAGAAATTTTTGTTCAGTTTCGGACGTCCAAAACTGAACAAGAACAAGCAAGACATCTGGATCTAGGCTTCAAAGCGTCTGAGGCTGTTGTTTTTGTTGTCTGAGGCTTACAGGCTTAAAACAGAGTGATCCAAAAGTTCCTGCACAACTTTTTATTAAAACTTGATTTTAAAATCACTGAGATCAACTAGCCCTGAAAATGGATGGCGCTTGAGCGGACCACTTATACCCGACCGTTGCCGACTTGAGCGCAATGCTATTACAGTATTTACGGTAAGTAAAATCATAACTATATTTGGATAATTGGATTTTATCCGAATCCAAATACAAGAAGAATTAAATAAAAGAAAGTTGGTGAAATGATTGTCGATCAGGTTGATAATGGAGTCAAAAACGGTGTTTCAAAGGAGTTCATATCGACTTTTCAATTCGGTTATTAATTAGACAGGTTTTTTTTATATTAATTCAATCAGAAAAGTTTAAAAAGTCATTAAAATATAACTTAAAATTGTATCAATAAAATCAAAAACACTTTAAAGTCTCATTTTAAAGAATTTTTCAATTTTGGCAACACCAATCATTGCAGATGGTAAATCGAACGCTTTTATATTTTCAAAAAAAATCAAACGTTTCTAAAAACTTTCTCCAAAGCTTTTAATGGTGAAAGTTTTCCTTTACTTTTACTTTTACTTTACTTTTACTTTACTTTTACTTTACTTTTTTTTTACTAAGTTTTTTTGCCAACCTTCCAATGTGTTAAGAATACGAAAAGAAATTGACACATGCTTTAAATCAGCGATTGCGGAATAGAGCATGGAGCAATCTTTTGCACGAGGACAGCTGTCGTTTCAAAGGGACACGGGGATTGATCCCGGATGGGTTTCGGATTGCTCAAAGGGATTGACGGACACTTGATGCTCTGACGTTCATCATCATCATCATCACCATCACTCCTCTTAAACCACACTCTTCAAGCAACTACGATTTACTAAGAAAGTTGAAATTCAGAGTGTTAGCCTTTAAAGCTTAAAGCTTGGCTAGATTTCTTGTTTTAGAAATATACCCGTATAATTTGAGGATTCAAACTGTTCTACTGGTCTAGAATTTGTAAATCTTGCTCCAATTTTTGATTTTCTTCTCTATTCTATTTTAAAACTAAGTTTTTGAATTTCAGACAGCTGTTTGAAGAAAAGAACAGTTTTGTGATAGAACTAGAATCAAAAATTATTCAGCCATTACCAGTATTTACATTGAAACTATTGATCAGTATTTAGATTTTGAAAATCTAAAGTTAGAACTAGGGTAGATCAAAAAGACAAGCCCCACCGGGACCCGAACCCGCGACCTTTCGCTCGCCGGCCAACGGTGCTAACCATTACACCACACTGCACTTGGTTTCGCTTTCTCTAGAGGGAGTTAACTAGATGACTCTTTGTATTAACTACTCTTGGGTGATCATTTTTCAAAGTTGAGGAGATGAACTTGAAACCGGGAAGCAACCTAGAGAGGCTCTGGAAAGCTCGGTCCATCTCTCTTGTGGCCATTATTTGCACTCTTTCACAGTTTCTCTATTAGTGCCGGGTCGCAACTTTTACTTGCCTTTCGACTGGGTTTCCTCTTTAGACTTTCTCTTTTGGATAGACTCTTTGGATAAACTTTTCTTGCCAGTCGGTTGGGAGAATCCCTTCCTCCTTTTCTCCCACTCTCTCACTCGCAGACACATATCCCACTGGACCTTCTCTTCTTTTTTTTTCCCTTTCCCACGACAATCCCCTTTCCAATTATTACAATCTTGTGTTCGTTTTAATCGCTTCCCCGTCCGTTACCATTCTTCAGTTTTCAAGGATGGAATCCATTTCAAGAATCCATTACAATTTAATGGGATACTGAAAATTTTGGCTTTAGTATTTCTATTGAAATTTTGGCTTTAGTATTTCTATTGAAATTTTCAGAATCCATTGTAAAAACTGCAGTAAATCCCAGATAAACTCTTTCTTTTTATAAAATATTTCTTTTTTTTCGACTTATCAATCACTTTTAGAGCTTCTGATAGAAAGAGAATAGGTTTATTTGAAATGCCAACCGAAATTATGCATCGTCCTGAAGATTATGACCGAGAATTTGACCCGGATGCGTATTTACAATACTACTTTAGCAAGTGAGTTCATTTTTACAAATCACATTCCAATTTTTCTTTCCAGAGAAGCCATCGAACGGGGAACCCGGGTTTCATTGTTTGCGTTGCCCGTTTTCGCTCAAATTCTTTTACAGGTAATTTTGAGTTTTTCTTTAATTAATCTTAATAAAATCTAAAAGGAATTTGATGGCTAGACGGGAAAAATTTAAAGCATAAAATTGTAGACGGTGCCAGAAAACGAGAGACAAAGCTTGCTCGACATTGGGGCTGGTCCTACGGTTTATTCCGCGCTCTGCTTTAGGTGAGTTCGGATTGATTTCATGATTGATTGATGTGCTCATTTTTTGAGAATAAGTAAGAAATCGAATTCATTTACTCATTCTCTTAGAAACACGATTCAATTTTAAGTATTTTTTCTTATTTTTAGAAGTTTTTAGTTTAAAAATTCGAATCTTTCGAAATTCGAAAACCAGACAAAAAAAAAAGCTTTCAAATTTAGAGATGTCGTGAAAAGGGTTTATCTGACGGATTACGTCAACAAGAATCTCGAGATCCTCAAGGTTTGTGTTTGTGATCGAAATTGAGGGAAAGGAAAGTGAAAAAGGGAAAAAAAGGGGTGAAAGACTGTTGCAAGAAACTGTTGACCTGTGAGTAACAAAAGTCTTTCCGGTGAGCATTTCAAACGAACGCTCGACCACAAACAAATCACTGGGGTAAAGGGGAAATTTCACAACTAGGCTGAAAGAATTTCAAACTTTAATCGAGAATTGATTGTGAAAAAGTCAAAAAGTTTTTAGGAGTGGTTGAACAAAACAAATCCCTACGACTGGTGCCCAACCATTCGCGTTATCAAGAGGTAATTAAAAACAAAAAGAACCCGAAATTGTTCCAAATAGAGCTGTTTATTTTTGCTCTGTCAATAGGTGTACAAAAAAAACGAGATTTGACCACTTCAATAGCAACTTTTTCAGGAGTTTTTCAGATCAAACGATAGAGCTTGGAAAAGAGCTACAGTACTGGACAATGAAATATCATATTTGAAAAACGATCCTCACTTTCGCGCGTCTGTAACTCCCCTTGTCTTTGAGTTTAAACTATTAGTGTTATACATTTTCTGAAAGCTCTTTTCAAGGGCTACACAATGGTAATATTAATATTTAGAAATACGGTAAAGACAAGGGGAGTTACAGACGCGCGAAAGTGACGATCGTTTTTCAAATATCATATTTCATTGTCCAGTAGTGTACCTTTAAGTGGCAAGAAATTCTAAAAAAGTAAACATTGAAGTGGTCAAATCTCGTTGTTCCGTTGTACACCTATTTACAAGCAGATCGAAAATGAACAGCTCTAGTTTCAAGTCTTTCTATGATAAGCTTAACACTGGTCTTTGATAGTTGACTATCTTGTTAGTTTAGTAATATCAGTTAGTTTAATCCTTATTAATAAAATTTTTTTAAACTTTAAAAGGAGCTAATTATTTCTAATTATTAGCTCTAATTAGGTCTAATTATTAGACTAATAATAAGTAAATTTCAGAACCGAGGGCGGTTTTCCACCATCGGATGATGAGCTGAATGTGATCGAAGAGCACACGCGGGGCATCGTCAAAAAAGGAGGCATTCTCTGGGGAAATGTTCATTTGCACACAGTCGTACCTGAACTACCCATCAAACAAGTGAGAATTGAATAATACGCGGTATTCAAAAAGAAATTTCCCCATTTCAACTCAGAAAAAGTGGCGTCAAAGCTGCTTTTTTAAAAAGATTTTCCTGATTACATGATATACGTAAATGAAAAAATTCATCACCACCACAACAACAAATTTTAGTTTTTTGTTTCCTATTCATTAACTATTTTACATTAGCCCAAGTAACTATTTTATTTTACTATGAACTTTGGTCTCTTTAATGTCCACAACTAATCTTTCACTTTGTTGTTATGGTGATGAGTTTTTCATTTATCATATAATCAGAAACGTCTCCAAAAAAGCAATTGTGACGTCAAAAAAAAAACAGCTTTAACACCAAGACCACCTTGAGCCATTTAAACAGCTTTAACACCAAGACAAAAACAGCTTTAACACCAAGACAAAAACAGCTTTAACACCAAGACCACCTTGAGCCATTTAAACAGCTTTAACACCAAGACAAAAACAATTTAAACAAAAAAAAAAAATTTAAAAAAAAAAAAAAAAAAAAAAAAACCCAAACAGCTTTAACACCAAGACAAAAACAGCTTTAACACCAAGACAAAAACAGCTTTAACACCAAGACCACCTTGAGCCACTTAAACTTTTTCAGAAATTTGATTTGAAATTGGGAACTTTTGTTTTGCAAAAACCTGAATTTTCCTTTGTCACTCCTTTGTCAAACAAAAAGCCAAGGCTTTAAATCTTTTTTTTTTTACTTAAACATACTTTCAGGTTGATGTGGTGCTTTCGGTTTTCTGCTTGGAGAGTGCCTGTCACAACTTTGATCAATACATCAACTGTATGAAAAATATTGTAAGATAAAAGAGTGCTTTTTGAATTTTTAAATATTTAGACGCGTCATTTGAGGCCTGGTGGTAAATTTGTGCTCGGCTCAGTGTTGGAGGATGAAGCATACAATTCGGGGAGACAGGTAAATTTAAAATGTTACGAAGAAAGATTCATAGACTAATATCGAAGTTTTAGAAGATCTTCTCTTTGCTTTATTTGACCGAAGAGATGATTATGAGAGCATTGGGCGAAGCGGACATCGATTTAGAATCGGTGAAGAAATACGTGCTTGAGGAGGAGGGTGTCATGTTTTTGATGGCCTCTAAACGGCTACAGTAATCGGTGTAGGCCGTTATTGTAGGCCGTACTTCTAATGGACTTCTTCTAAATACCCCCTTATCAGTATTTTCCCCTTTGTTCGCTATGTATATGTGTAAATACTAGGATCTTCTATATGCATTTATCTATTATGAAATTCTTCCTTTTTTTTTACACCGCCACCTTTCATTACGGATAATTAGGCTTTTTTTTATGTTTCCATTTGGGATAGGCTACTTTGCGCGAAATTTTTTGCGCAACTGGGTCATTTGCGCAGCTGGCTCGTTTACACAACTCGCCATAAATTTCTTCTAAGTCGGCCAATCCTTATGGTTTTGGTTTCATTTTGTAGATCTCAATAAATGCTACAAAATGAAATCAAAATCATAAAGATTGGCTTACTTAGAAGAAAATTATGGCGAGTTGCGCAAAAGGCCTAGTTGCTCAAATGATCCTATTGCTCAAATAAAATGGCGGAAATTAGCCTACCCCTTCCATTTCTACTACGGAGAAACGAACCGGTACTTTTGTGTGAGAATAAAACCCAAAAAAAAAACATTTATTGCTATCACATTAAAAGAAAGAATAGATTATTTTGAGATACTTTTTATTAAGACACAGAAGGAACTTTAAAAAAACGTAAAACAATCTGATAACTTATTTCCCGAATCTTTCCGCGTTTCTTCGCTGCAACACAGCCGGATTGATGTAAATTTTTGAGGAGCTAGGTATCGATACTAAATTTCCTTCCAATCTTTGTGTTTTTCTTTTTCTTTTTACAAACCAGAATTACTTTGATCATTTTGGAGGAGCACTTTTCGATGTGCCACTCTTTCATGTTGTTCTTCATCATCGGAATTATCATCTTCGTTCAAAAGCCTAGCTCGAATCAGCACTAAAATTTTTCAAACTTGTTGACTGTGTTGACAAGTTAATTCCTAAAAGATTTAGAGTATTAATTTGTGAATAACCGACTTTTCTTATGTTTCAGCCGCTCGCGTTGAAGAAGCTCTCGTTCACGTCGGATTTCAGTCAGATAACTATCCATTTCACGAAGATAACTGAAATTTTCCTGTTTAATAGAAATTTGAGTTAAAAATATGGCAAAATAAAGAAAAAAATTTTCATTTCTTTACCCGTCTGCAAGTTGCTTAAACGAATTGAGCGTGGTTTCATTGTAGGGAACATTTTGAGTAAACACTTCTGCACAATTTCCTTCTTGACTTCCCAAATTAGCGCTAGATGAGCTAAAGTTGTTAATGTTATACTTTTCATTAAAATAGCTCAATGATTTTGTTTTTCAAATAACCTTGGCAGAATGGGAGCAGTGGGAGGTTGGATCGGACAAACTGCAACGATCGGTGCCTCGGTATTGATGGAAGGTTCACTCTGAAGATGAAAATTGTTAATCAAATCTATACCAGTTCTGATAATAAACCTTGACAACTTCTGCAGCTTTTCGAGCCGCGATTCTCTCATGTTGCTTTATTAGCAACCGTCTTCGAACCTCTTCCTGAAATTTTATAGCTATTAAACTGTTACTGTTAGACATGGGCACTATAAACTACAAAAATGACGAACTGTCACAATGTAAACGCTTGTAAATTGCTTCAAATCTATCGGATTGACATGATCTATCAAAATCAAATCAAAAAACAGAGAATCTCAAGAGCTTTTGAATAAACTAAAGCACATCTAAAAATATCAATGCCAAAGAAAGCTATATTAATTTGTAGTCCTGACTTGAAACGAACCGTACTCGCGCGTAGTCGAAGCAATCGAGTCAGCTACAAACCACTGTAACTTTCTTTAGCATTGATATTTTTAGATGTGCTTTAATCCATTTGAAAGCTTTTGAGATTCTCTATTTTTTGAGCTATAGATCATGTCAATCCAACAGATTTGAAGCAAGTTAGAAGCGTTTGTAGGTTACGTTTGTAGTTTGTTTTATAGTGCTCATGTCTAGTTACTGTCGTTTACCTCTTCATCTAGTGCCTCCGGGATTTCCACAGAAATATCGGCTAAATCATCGTTTGGTTGTTCTTTGCTCGTTTCTTCGTCAACTTTAATTGCTTTAAACTCGTAAGTGATACACTTTACTACCTGTTTTTTCTGGCTCTTCCTTTACAGATGGAGAGCAACGACTATCAATTACTGGCTCTGACTGCAGCTAAATTTTGTGAATATAATATGGATAGCAAAATCTTACTACTTGATCTGTTTTCAGTGGCTCATTTGTTTCTTCAACATGAACTTTATGCACTTTCCGATCTTCCAAATCAAACTCTAGTCTCTCAATGGATGAATCTCGAGGGGATTTGGAATGTTCCTAAAAATGTTTTCATACCAGCTTACCAATTTTCACGAACCTTGTCCCGTTTTCGTTTCTTTTCTCGTTTATGCTTGTTGCTTTTCTTAGACTTTTTCCTTTTTCGAGACTTCTCTCCGCTTTGACTTTTTTCAGATCTTTCCAAACTTCTCGACGATGCCCGCTTTTTGCGTGTACGCTTGTCTTCTGTGGCAACACTGAAACTTAAAGTAAGCTTATTTTTCTTATAACTTTAACCTGTCGACGCTTTTGCTCTCACTTCTTTGATCATCTGGATGACTAGTTTTGAAAAAAAGGTGTATGTTATTTAAATTTTCGTCGTCTTACGATGAGTTTCGTCCTTTTCGTTCTCCAGATACATAAACACGTTGATTTCGGCTTTTCACGTGATCATTCTAAAGTTTCATGTTTGCTCAGAAGTTTTAGATGTCAAACCCCATCCTGATGACGCCGTTTTCGAGATCGTGGTCGCTGTTCGGGACTGTCCATTCCTTGATAAGTATCGGTCGAACTTGGACTACTTGCTTGCAGATAGCTAAAGATTTTCGATTACAAGAGAATCCCAAAACTAAATGTTTTCTCACTTTTTCTGTTTTTCCATTTCTTTCTTTGTTGCCTCATCGTAGTATTTTTGTACTTCTTTCTCTGCCTCGGTCTCTACAAAAGATAGATCTTTCCATTTTCGATATAAAATAAATACTAATAAATACTAATAAATACTTTTCTTTCCCTCTTCTTCGCGAAGACGGTCACGCTTTGCTTGCACTTCGACGCGCAATTGTTCCGCATGAAATTATGATGTTAAAATCAATTCTCTTAAAAACTTACTGTTCTCTTGGTATCCTTTTTTTCAACAATAACAGGTTCTTTGGTACTCTTCTGGAATTTTCAAAGATAATATGATGAAATGAGATTTGAGATACCCTGAGGAAACTGCTGAGTCGCTTTTTTCGTTCCTCTTCTTCGTGTCTTGCTTTCTCGTACTTTTCACGCTCCTCCGAATTCTGCTTCATCTGAATTTTTCATTTTCTTATTGTTAATGACTTTTTTCCCTTACCATTTCATGCCTCCGTTTTTCCATTTCTTCTTCCCAATGTTTGATTTCAATTGAATACTCGAGTTGAAACTTCCCTGTCAGATTTCGAGCAGCAAGTTTTGCCATCGCCAAATTGTATTCAGGAGGAATTTCCTGAGATTATAGCTTTCGAATGGAATTTGATTTGGTTACTAACAGGTAATTCCAAACTTGGAGCATTTGTTTGCAAGAATGGTAGTGGATTTGGTGGATCCGGAGCTCGAGAAGAACTGGGCGGAGCTGAACTTTGATGAACGGAAGCAACAGCAACAGGCATCCCCAAATGTGGAGGCAATTTCCCACCACCCCAACTGAAATTTTTCTCATTGATTCAAGTAAAATTTTGTTTACCTTTTTGCTTGTTCTTCTGAAAACTTTTGCCTAAACTCGGATAATTTCATAGGAATTCCATTTTGATCGAACATTATCAATTGTTCACCCGAGTTATCATAGGGAAGAATCGGAAGACCTAGAAATTTACGATAAATCTATTGAATTAATCAGTTAAAAAAAACCATTTTCATCATATCTAACAGTCGGAATTCCTTGTGCATTCACCGGTGGATATGGCATTCCCTCATCATCGATTGGCCAAATTAGGGAACCCGTTTCATCAAGTGGAAACTTCAATTGACCTGAACTCGTTTATTCTTGGTTAACTCAACACTTTTACCGTATAAGTCACATGGTAGAATGACAAGCCCACGTTCGTTCACCGGTAACACCAATACCTTAAAGAAATTTATCAAAATTTATGTCATTAAGACAAACTCCGTCTTCATTGTAGAGAAACTCGGGTTCTCTTGTTGTGACATTTACTGGGAAGAGTGGTCCTCTACTTCTATCAGAAGGATAAATCTTTAAATTTATAAAGTTCTTCATTTTTTACAAGATCATTACCGGAAAACCAGACGGGGTACGCGGGACGAGCTGCTGCCCTTTTCCATTGAAGTTGTAAACCATGTTTTTAAAGCTATCGAACGCTTTTGGGAAAGTAGGTGACACTAAACGAGAACGATTTTTGAGTGTCTGATGAATAGCTGCACTTTTAGTGGGTACCGCGCGGGAAACAAGCTTTGATCTAGGATATTCTCCTAGATTCAAGACTGTCTTCCAAATTATCAGTCATCATCCAAGCACGACATAGATGATTCGTCAATGAAATGTGCTAAATGCCGAGCCAAGTCCCGGAGAAATGATGTGATAAAGTGAAGTACTGCTGCAGTAGGACTAATTTTTTTTCAATAATTTCTGAAAGATGTTTGAATAGACAAAAGCTTACTGTCGAAATTTTCGATCGGATAATGTTCAACCTACTTTTTACGTAAAGAACGGGAGCTCCCTTTTCTCGTAAACGCTGAGTAGCAATAGTTTGATTCTAGATTTTTTTTCATTCATGAATACAATTTTCCTTTTTTTCGATTACTTTTTCTGCAATTTCTTCAGCAGCTCTTGTTGACCAGTAAAACTCCTCAAATTCACAAGTCTCCACATCTCGCATGTACCACCTTCCATGTGCTAACTCTTGAGCAAAGACATTTCGCTGAAAAAGTTTGGCTTTTGTTGAGTTTCTGGGCATTTTGAATGAACTTTCAAGGTCTGTAACTTTATCCAGAGATAATATTATTGCTAATTTTTTTTATATCATTGTATAGAAGACATTTCAGGCTTTTGAATGACGCAAAATGCAGTTCAATTGGATAATCCAGTCCAGGGAAATCAACTCTGAGTAAACGAGGCTGATCCAACTCGGGTGCAGTGTCGCCCATTTGCATGGGAATGAAAATCGAACTGCATTTTGCGTCAAGAGCCTGAAATGTCTTCTATACATTGATATTATATCTGGATAAAGCTATAGGCCTTCAAAGCGTGACGACCCATTCAAAATACCCCGAAACCTGACAAGAGCTAAACTTTTCGATATTTGATCTGTCAGTCCCTGGAAATTTTCTTACATGGATTTGATCATAGTGAAACCATCTATAGATGCCATCACAAGAAGCGAAACGCAACTTTGACCAGAAATATTTCCCATCGTGTGTTGGAAAAGGAGAGTCATCCTCTGAAACACCCGATTTGAGCGAAAAAATTAGCTCTATTCCATGCATCTTTAACAACCTTCAACAATCTGCCCAGGAAGATTTGACTGACTCAAACAATTCGTCCGACATTCAGGTTTTTTCCAAAACTTTAGAGCAAAATTGACACCATACTTTTTTTCCATACAATTTGCTATATTACCAGAAATAAATATCGTCTATTCAAATCCGGTCAAATCGCTTCATCAAAAACTATCTTTATTCTCCAGTAATAAAGAAATAAAACAACAAGACATAATTAAGGCCATATCACACTCTGACAAAATGTATTTATACAGCAAGTTTTGAAGCATCCTCGTATGGAACGGTGATTTCTCGACCTTTGCAAATTCCACTTGAAAGTTTGAGAGCGATACTGTATGCCTTTTCATCAATCTTCAAAAGAGTTGCCTAAAATCAAAAATATAATCAATTTTAACCAATAAAAATACTTTCGTTCCACGGTATGCTCCATTAACAATCATCATCTCGCGACCCACTTGCGGAATCACCGTCTCTACATGTGCTTGATCCAACTTTATAGTCACTGAAACTTATTTTAAAGACAGTCTAGTATTGAAAACTAACCATCATCAATCTTAACTTTAGCTGTGTAATCATCCACCAGTTCTCGTACAACTCCTTTCGCTTTGTAGTAATCTTCACCCAATTTTTTTGTAACCACCTAAAGGAAATATTTCTAAATATCTCTACTGAACCATCAACTAACCTTAACAACAATTCCTGGGCAGAGCCAATAGTCTTTCCGATTCTTTTTCTCCTTACGGCGTTCCTGAAGAACGTGTAATTATAAAGATAAAATAAGATAAAAGACTTCTTGCTCTCTGATTTCATCTAGTGCGCTTTTCTTTGTGCTACGATCATCGTGTTTTGATGTAGATGGTCGATTTGATGAATGACCTGAAAATAAAATAAAATATAGAAAGTAGTAAGTATAGGCTTACCATTAGGCAATAGGAATGAAAACATCTGAACTCACCGTCATAGTCTCGAGACTTGGTATTCCATCTAGAGTGTGGGCTTCGACTTCGACTTCGTGATCTCGAATCTCTTTCTTCTTTCTTGACTTTGCTCTTTGCGAAAACTGATTCACCAAGCACTGCGACCGGCTTTTGCAAAGTCTAAACAACAAGTAAAAATGTAATAAATCAGGAGAAACCTCAAGCGACTGCTTTTTATTCAAATTCAATTCCAACGCAATTTTTTCGTCCTCATTCCGTACAAGTTCTGTTCCCTCTGTGTAGTCCTGCTCACCATGCACTTCTTTAGCCCTAAAAACTTGTTTTTAAAGTTAATTTAGAAGAAAAAAATCCTTAACGTAGAACTAGAATAAATCTAACCTAGCAAGTTGAGCGTCAATCAATTCTTGTTGCTTCATTTCATCGTCAATTTCTTGTTTTACTCGCTTCTGCTCGTCTTGTTTTCGGTTCTCTTCTTCATAGTCAATATATTGAATATACCATCCTAAACCAAATGAGGCCTTCGACTATTGAAAATCAACAAACCTTTCTCATTTTGGTCAATTTTGCATTTGCCTTTGTTTCCAAGCCATTGAACTAATCCAGTTAAAGAGTGCCACATCGTTGAGTTCATGTGGATGTGATTCTTATCCTTGATGTATGCTTGATAAACCTCATTAGCCCGAACTCTCCTGGTGCCGAATTGTGACTTCAAAATCTAGAAATGAACGATGCATAAAGAAAATCTAGTATTCAAAATCGTACCCCCATGAAATTGCGTAAGAATTCTCCACTGAACTCGCTAATGTATCGCTTCTCATTCTCGGCAAACAGAAGGAGTTGACGCTGGTGAGCCTCGCTGGTCAAGTGGCATTTGAAACCATTCTGGTCACGGCACTGCTTTTGACACATCTCACAGTACCTAAAAATAAAATAAAACAATTTTACGAACATTTTAAGAGTTATATATTAATATATTTTTAAAAACAAACAAATTAACCACCTAGTTAAAACGTTTCAAAAGTTAACGCACCATCGAAGCTTCTGTAGACCGCGGGTCTTCGACCGATTGGCAATTTCCTTCGGTGTTCCTTTTTCGTGTTTGGGCATTCTAAAAAATGAAAGTTTAAAAATGTCAATAGAAATTGTAGAAATTTTGGGGTCAAAATGAAAATGAAAACGAAAACAAAATGTAAAGAAAAAGTCGTCCATTATAAACAGGAAAAAGGTGAGTGCAATTTCCTGAAAAATATTCAATTAATTGGCTGAAAGATATAGTTTTTTGGATTTAGATATAATCTTTTTCTACTGTCATTTTTGACATTCGAAATTTCTCTAGGTTGTCCCCAGGCCTACGACACGTGCCTTCTTGACGTTTCTTTCAAATAACTGTTTCACATTTGATTTCTTCTTTCACTATTTTTAGTTTTATTTAACTTTTTGGCGAAATATTGCGCATTTGAATTAAAAACGATTCATTCAGGTAGAGAAATCAAAAAGGACAACAAAGTGAACACAAAAAATTCTACGGATCACCATTTCTAATGGATACAAACTATCGGGTATGCTGCTTTTTACATTTGTTGTTCATCTGTAAGTCTTTAGTTCTCGAATTTGATCGGGACTGTTTACCGAAATGGGCAAATTTTGTTTTCGAGTGATGGATATTCGGTTTTGAGCCCTGTTGGCAATAAGATTTCGATTATTGATTTGAAAAAGTTAGTTTATTGAATTTTGAACATTAGACGATATTAATGTAGTAATCAAACACGAACAATTGCCATTGATTGCGAATACTCCATACTTTCGATGAGCCTCAATCCAGCTGGAACTCATTTAATTTTAATTACGGAAGGTAATTTGTGAATCAAAATAACACGTTTTACTCATGTTTTAGCTGGAGACATTCTCTTCGTGAATTTGGAGACTGAAACTGTAATTCATCGATTTCGTGCGACAAAATTAGCACGGCACGCTTCATTTTCACCTTGTGGACGATATTTGGCACTATCTCCTGAAAATGATCTGCAAATACAAGAAGTAAGAGATTGTGATATATTTTAACTAATGAATGATAAAAGCAACGTTAAACTTTAGATGGGTAGTATGGTCAACAATATATTTCGGCCGTTTCATCTCATCAAGACTTTCCATCTGTCTCCAGAAACGTTGACCTGTATTAATTGGTCTTTTGATTCAAGGTAGGTTGGAATTTTTAAAATGAGTTTAGTAAGTCCTTCTTAGGTTGATATGCTTTGGAAGCGAGGACAAACAAATCAGAATCGTCCCAGTGCGAGAAATAAAAAACTTTACATGTGCCTCTGTTTCTTCGCATAAAGGACGGATTGTCTGCGCAGATTTCATGAGAGACTCTTATGATGTAAGTAGTTTCTTGAAGAAGTAATATGGGTTTTTAGATGATCAGTATTGACCAACGAGGATTATGCAATTTTTGGAAATCAAATTTGCAAGTAAGTTTATGATCAGTGCATAGATATAGTTTTATGCTTCAGGCTACAGATTTGGTTGTTGATCATAATGAAGAGTCTGAAGAAAAAGTGTCATCTTTGTTTCTCGAAAAGACCAACAAGTTTGTATATTTACCGAATTCTTAGGAAAACTAGCTTTAGAGCATCTCTGCATGAATTGGCTGGAATTGACCGTATCGTAGATGTCACTGCAGCCGCTTTTCACCGTGACAGTTGCTTGCTTGTTGTTGGTTTTGATAATGGGGTTTTCGTACTGCTAGAGGTGCCAACACTATCTCTCATTCACAACCTAAGGTTTGTCTTTTTATGTCCTTGATAATCATGAGCTTGTAGAATATCTGATGTACAAATTACAAGTATTGCACCATCCAGAACTGGGGATTGGTTAGCTATTGGCTGTGGCAAAGGTTTTGCTGCTCAACTAGTTGTTTGGGAATGGCAGGTATGTACAACATATCAAAGATTAAACTGGCATGCGATTTAGAGTGAAACTTACGTAATGAAGCAGCAGTCGCATTCGGAAAGAATTTTATCGGCGATGTTTAGTCCAGATGGGAGTAGCATTGCTACTGGCGCTGAAGATGGAAAGGTAATTTCTTTAAGTTCAAGCTTGAGATTCTATTTCATAATTTAGCTCAAAATTTGGTCTTGTCGATCTAGCTTCTGTGTTGTGACGTTTAATGAGCATACGTCGGGAGTTTCTGCAGTTGCTTGGACTCAGTCTGGTAAAGCGATTCTTTCTTCATCACTTGATGGGACGGTTAGGGCGCATGATCTTAAAAGGTATTGAATGAATATATAGCGCTCATCAATAATGTGTTCAGATATCGAAATTTCCGCACATTGGTTTGCCCGGAACCAACTCAATTGGGAGCACTATGCGTGGACACAGCTGGAGAGATAGTTGTTGCTGCGGCAAAAGAACTGTTTAATGTGCGTTATGACATTTTTTTTCTCACTATTTTTTAAAATAGGTTTTTGTATGGAGCTTGGAAACAGGTCGACTTCTTGATGTTCTCTCGGGCCATTCATCGGTGGTTTCTTCAATTTCCATCTCAAACAACTCTCTTCTCACAGGCTCTTGGGATAAGACTTTCAAGTAAATCTTTTTAAAAATTATGTATAACTCTGGCTTTAGATTGTGGAACATCACAGAATCACAACCTGTGGACCATGCAGATCTTACTTGCGAGTGTCTTTGTGTTGCTTTTTCACCTTGTGGAACACTGATTGCCGTATTGACAATGGATTCAAATATTGCATTTTATACTACGGTAGGTTTCTGGCATTTCTAGTTTTAAGAGCTTGCGTTTTAGGATCTACAACAAATTGGTTCAATTGACGCTCGACTCGATTTTGACGCTGGGAGGTCTAAGCAAGATAAGGTTACAAAAGAGCGCTCACAGAAAAACAAGTTTGTGTCAACAATAATTTTTTTAATTTGAAATAGGTCCATGACGACTATGTGCTTTTCCCCGGATGGATCCTTACTTTTGGTGGGCGGTGAATCTGTCTTTCTTTGTCTATATTCCGTGTTGGATCGAATACTTCTTAAAAAGTTTGCAATAACAAGGAATCGCAGTCTGGATGGCGTTGTGGTAACGTTGTAATCGATTTTATGATGATGCACGTTTTGCAGCTTGATGTTAATCGCCGACAATTTACCGAATTTGGAAATATGGCTTTGTGTGATGCAAGCGATTCGGATGATGATCATGCAACAAAGGTTTACCATTTTTGTTTTTTTTAAAACTTTGTTTTTAGAAAGAAATTAAACTACCTGGAACAAGACATTCAGACAAAGGAGAAAGGGCTGCCTTTCCAGAAATATCCGTTTATCATGTTTCCTTCTGCCCAACAGGTAGATAGTTTGTAAGAAATGAGTATATTTTATTGTTTATAGGCCGAAGATTCTCTGTTTCTTCAACGGAGGGAGTCGCTATTTACTCATTGGACAAATTATCTTTATTCGATCCATTCCAACTTGATTCGAGTACGAATCCCGAGTCTGTCAAAAGGTAATCTTGTCAAAAGTAAGTAGGTAATTGCACTTCAGGTATCTCGCAATGTCTGATTACGCTACAGCTCTCATGGCGGCGCTTCGATTAAATGATAGCCATTTAGTGGCAAAATGCTGTGAATTTACACCATTAGCGCAAGGTTTCATTTCTTTAAATTGCTAATTAGAGCTTTTTAGTTGAATTGGTCTGTCAATCATTGACGCTTCTATATGCAGAACGTTTATTGAAATGGATAAGTGAAGGCGAAGTGGTATGGAACTCTCCGCATATTCATTTTTACATGGTGCTTCTTTTGTTAACATAATTCGTTTTGTGCAAAAATTGCTCAATTCCTTTAAGAGTGGTTGTTTAGAAATGGGTCAATTCTATCTTGAATGTCCATGGTGCTCATCTCAAAAGTCGTGCTGACGTGGCATTGCTCACCGGCATTCAACAAATTGTCCATCACCACGAGGAGCTAATGCAGAAAATGTATGTTGCTATGATTACTCGCATAAGGGCATATTTCGTTTGCTTTTAATTAAAGAGCTTTTAGGGCTGATCAGAACAAATACGGCTTACAATATCTTATTCGCTCAAGACGTATCACAAAGAAAAGTAAATGATGAGAAAAGTAGTTTTTGAATCTAGGAAATTTTATTTGTTATATTCATTTTATATTGTAGTTGTGACTTTGGCCCGTCCAATATACCTTGCTTTGTTGTTGTTTGTTAATTTTGTTATTGTTGTTGTTAAAGCACTTGTTGATTTTTATTACGTTGCATTTTGGACTCTTTTCAATTTTCACCTCAATAAAAATCGGCTTCTTTATAAATTATCGTATCGAGCTCGATAATTTTTAAGTAGGCCGGCTTTTATTAAGGAGGTGAGTAATTGAAAAGAGTCTAATTTATTCGAATAAATTAGTTGTGTTAGTTTTATGTGTTCCTTCTTGGACGAATCGTAAAATCGATTCGTATTTATCAATCCAAAAAAGCTGCGATTAAAGTGTCAAATCCGTGTTTTTAGGATGTCCCTCGTTAACTTATCAAAGAGCGGCTGGTCAACTGTTGAGTTAAGCGGCTTAGACTTCGAAAACGAAAATCTAGGTTTTCTTGGATCATTTGAGGTACACTTCTGTCTCCGCTTAAAGCCTGATTTTAAAAAATTATTTCTAGGAATTATTGCCGGATGCTGCGCCTGAGCAGACACTTGATGAGAACAAAGATAACGTGAAGAAATCGAAGAAACGCAAAGCGGTTGAGGAAAAGTCAGAAGATCAAATAACAGCTGATGAAATTAAATTGAAAAAGCCAAAGAAAGCAGAAAAGAAAGTACTCTATTGTAATACATTTAGTTATTATTATATTTATTAGGCGAAGAAATCAGCGGTGGATTCGGGAAGTGAAGAGACAGTAAGTGAAACCAGGAAATTGAAAGTGACAAAGAAAATAATCAATGATGTGGATTCTTTGCCTAAATCAAAAAAGATGCGTAAAAAGGTACTTGATTATTTTTTGCCATTAAATACTCGATGCTTATTGTTAGTCGTTTTCCGACAAACAGAAGTCAAAGGAAGTTAGCGAAAACTCGGATGAAGACAATGAAGAGATTGCTGTTGATGGTATGTAGTTAAATTGACCATAAGAACAATATTGGATGCTTTAGATAACACACCTGTCGACGACATTGTCGATCTGAGCGCGTGGCTTGAATTTTCATTACCAGAAGAAATAATGCGTGGGCTAAAGAGCTTAAAGTGAGTTTGAGTTGATAGCAAATCAAATTACTTGTAATTTTGTTTTAGATTTTCATCTCCGACTGAAATTCAGCGACTTGTTTTGCCGAGTGCTATTCGTGATCGACTGGATGTGTTAGGAGCTGCAGAGACGGTAAGCCATATCTACGTGATATTTAATGTTGGCTCCATAGTATACTATGGGATCCATGTTTTTAAATAATCCATGATTGGCGTAGTTTAGGGTTCTGGAAAAACTCTCGCGTATGCAATTCCGGCCATCGCAAGATTATTAGAAAATTCAGAGGGTTTGTGTAATTTACTTTAATTATTCATGTCACGTTTGCAGGTTCGGAGTCACGCGGTCCCAAGGTCTTGATAATGGTACCCACTCGTGAGTTGGCTGTTCAAGTGCGCCGTCATATTGATGCTCTTCTAAAATTTACTGCATTCAAAGTAGCTACTTTCCTGTGTTTCAGACTACTAAAAGTTTATAGGCGGTTTCGATAGTCGGTGGGTTATCACAACAAAAACAAGAGCGCCTTCTAAACGCCAAGCCTGAAATTATTGTGGCAACGCCAGGACGTCTATGGGCATTAATGGACGGGGTGAGTTGTACTAATACAAAATTTTGACATTTGTTTTAGCCAAGCGCTTCGGATTTCTTATCTGATATGTCATCTCTTCAAATGCTTGTGATTGACGAAACAGATAGAATGGTTGAGCGAGGACATTTTGAAGAGTTGGAACTGATTTTGGCGCATATTCACAGGTATCCATTTTATCCAGTTATTGCTTAAAATAAATTTTAGGTTTACCGCAGAAAAATTGCAGACGTTGGTTTTCTCGGCAACTTTAACTTACGTTCATCCAGCTCCTAAATGGATGACGGAGAGTAAGGCGAAGCAGCTGACACCCGAGGAAAAACTTAGTAAGAGTTTGGTTTTTTTGGAGCAAAAAAGTTTTATTCAGAAAGACTCACTGGTATCACGGGCTTACGAAATAAGAGGAAAATTTACGATATAACAAGAGAATTTGGTACTGCTGAAAAGTTAGTTGAAACGCGAATGAATTGTGAGGATCTGCTAGAAAAGGTGGTTTTTCTTACCGTCCCGTTGAATTACTTAATCTTTAGGATATTACCATTGCCTATTTGCTTCATCGTTATCGGGGACGAACTTTAGTTTTCTTAAACTCTGTTGATGCTGCCAGGTACTGTTGTCTAAAACTATAGTATAAGATCTTATTTAGGAGACTTTATGGTATTTTGACAAAGCTTAACTTCACACCAAGTCCAATGTTGCTTCATGCACGAATGCAACAACGACAAAGATTGAAAAATTTGGAACGTTTTGCAGGTTTATGAAACCAAACAACATTCATTATAATGAGTTTTAGCAAGTAAGAATGCTATTCTGTTGGCGACTGACGTGGCAGCCCGTGGTCTTGATATACGGGGTATTGAGCACGTCATTCATTATCAAGTTCCAAAAACAGCTGAGGTACGTTTTTAAACTGCACTGTTGTTATAAAGTAGTTTTAGTTGTACATTCATCGATCAGGGCGAACGGCCAGAGCTTCGGCTAGTGGTCTCACTGTTTTGCTTGTGGATTCACAAGATGTCAGCTTTTATAGACGTATTTGCCAGAATTTGAATAGAAGTTTGTTCAATAATAGATACGTTTCAAAAGTCGCTTTCTAGAACAAGACTTACCACTTTTCCCAATCGATGCACCACAATTATTTTCGGCACTTAAGCCACGAATCAAGATTGCAAGCGAGCTTGATACGTTGGAACACCGAATCAAGAAGGCAAACAACTTTTATTAGAGAATCTATTTTCATTTAGATTCGCCATAGAAAGAATTGGTTTACTAAGACAGCCAAAGAAGCTGATTTGGTTCTTGATGAGTGGTAAGTTGATTTCTAGATAGATATGGAATGCAAGAATTTTTTCGATTATTATTTTTCATTCAGGACCAAAGAAGATGCTGGTGATAACGAGCTTGATGGACTGTTAAGGGATTCAAAAGCCAAACAGTTTCAGCTACGTTCGACACTTTCACAGTCATTGCCATCATTCGAAAAAGGGGAACTCCCGGTATTTTTATATATAAAATCAGTATTGTTACATTGTACTTTAGAAAACTCGTTACATTACGCCGGACATTAGAAACAAATATGATGAAACGATCAGTGCCGAGGCTCTTGATTCATTCAATCAAACGGTTGGTTTATAATAATTATATTTGCAATTACAATTAAAAAGATTATTTTTGTTTTTAGGTTGGCGAAACAAAAACAAAGAAAAAATTGCGGAAACTTTTGTCTTCACGGGATCTCGGGATCGGAAAAAAATTTAAAAAACATAAGAAAAGGCGTTAAACAACTTAATTGAGGGTTTCTTTTTATCTTTTCTAGTTTTGTCGTTATTTGATTATGGTTGAGTTGTTAGACGTCTGTTGTTGTTACTTGTTTGTTTTGTTGATCACGTATAAATTTTAGTAAATTTCAAAATATATTCATTCTTTTACAGTATCTAATAATTCATTAATTTCGTCGGGGATCCAATGAAGAAATGCAATCCAATAAACCAAATTAAAGACGATGTAGGATATGGGAAAGGCCAACTAAATAAGTCATATTGGTAAATTGTGAATTGTATTCGATATTTTCGTTACCTTTGATACACTATCGATTCGATTCACAACGGCGGCTGGATCGCTCATTTGAAGTTTCCGTCTGGCTTTTGCGGCTTTCACGGCCATTCGGTAGAAAACTAAAATTTTACTTTTTTTTTGCCTGTAATCGTAAGTTTGCAAAGCTGTGATAGGAAAAATCATTTAGACATGGACAGTTTAACATAGATTTTTTGAAGAGACTTTGGCCGTTGCTACTCTCGAATAAATAGACATGTATTGTGCTGTGCAATACGGATAGACAGTTTTTAAAGCTCTTATAATTTTACCATGAGATGGCTTTCTTGATGTTAATCCTAATACTCCTGAAATGATTGTAGTTCTTTGTTGTTTTTGATTTGCTCATTTACCTGAATGATTTTCTTGCTTTTTCCGAAAGCATCTGTACCAAGGCTCTCGTTCTTCGGGAACCGAAAGCTCTTCCATTTGTGTATCCTAAAAAAAAAAGAAAAATCATTCATTCAAGTAAGTACACTGAAATGTTTTCTACCTGAAGCGTTTCTCTTCGTGCACCCATTATTCCAGCTGTAAACATTCGCATCTTCTCGATCTGAAAGATTAAAAACTTTTAAATAAATTTCATCTCAAAGTTAAACTCTAAAAAGACTTCTTTACCCTCAAACCATGCTCGTGAATCCCCCAAATTAACTTTTAGAACTGTAAACTCTCATTCGCCAAATTATCGACAAGAATTTTTCATGCATTTCAATGACATTCAAAAGAAAAAACAAAAAACTAACTTTGTGTTTACCTCAAAAAGGGAGGCCTGCATAGCCGACTTGCGTAAGATCTACAGGAAACTAGACTTTCAGGGATTTATTTCTATACATGTTTTGCCTTTTTTTTTTTTTTTTGGTGTTTCTTGAAACGAACCGCTCGATTTGACTCGAGTCCCTGCAACTCTTTGACTTTTTTTCGGATATAATACACGTGCGCATAGTTGATCACCGCGTACTCGACCAACGCTGCGAAGACAAACCCGAAACAGACACTGGAAATTGTTTGGCTCTATTTGAGTTGACAAATGCTGACGATTTGCATTGAAATCACTGCCGACGCTCCATTTGGATTGAGTTTTGTCAATTTTCATTAGATCTTTCTCTTAGATCAATCCCTCGTTAAGCTGTTAAACAAAATTTTTCATTTTTTTACCGGATTTAGACCAACTGGAGGAAAAAAAAGAGTAAAATGAATCATTTCAAACGCTTCCTCACTCCAAAATACGTAAAGAACTTAAAAATTAAGTATAAGCGCTCATAAAAAGGATCTTTTTAGTGTTCACTAATGCTATTCTACTCTCTTCTTATGCAGAAGCTTTTATAGATTCAGAAAAACTAAGAATACCCTCAAGATAACAGTGAAAAGAAGTTATTGTAGCGCTTGAGATTGTTTCAATCCGAAACGGATGTTCGATTTAGAGTCAATCCAATACATACATGATATAGATATCGAGCGCCGTCGGATGAGAGACTTTTGGGAGATCGGTTCGAAGACCGAAACCCAATGTGGACATCGAGAGCACGGTCATGATCCCTAGAATGCTTAAATAAATAAAGAAGAGAATAAAGCAAATAGATATGCCTAGAAATTAAGCAGATCTTTTACCCAAAGCCACTCTTGCTGGCGAGGCCTCTTTGTTGATCCAAAAGGAAACCCATGACATCACCACGAGAAGTGTACATGGCGTGTAGATCTAATTCAGATTCCTTTCACTAGATTCTTTTTCAAATCACCTGCAAAATATAAAACCCTTGTTGCCTTTGCAATTTGAAGTAGACTTTGAGCACAGAGGATTCTGAAAGATTTCACTTGTACTCATAAGTCCCAAAAACAACCTTTATTCGGATATCGATAGTCAGAAAGATTCATCTGCGTTTTCGCAATATTGAGCAACTTGTACTGAGAAAGCATATTACCCATCTATGAAAATGTTTTGATTAAAGCCTTTTTTTTTAAAACCTTATCATCAAGGTCCACGTTTTTCCATTTATAGATCACATCACTTGTGAAATAACCAAATGAACCGATTTCAATGGGACATGCCTAAATTGATTGATTGATAATTGATGGTTGAGTTAATAGTTAATAGTCAATAGTTAATAGCTAAGTTAATAGTTGATAGCTAAGTTAATAGTTGATAGTTAAGTTAATAGTTGATAGTTAAGTTAATAGTTGATAGCTAAGTTAATAGTTGATAGCTAAGTTAATAGTTGATAGCTAAGTTAATAGTTGATAGCTAAGTTAATAGTTGATAGTTAAGTTAATAGTTGATAGCTAAGTTAATAGTTGATAGTTAAGTTAATAGTTAATAGCTAAGCTAATAGTTAATAGCTAAGTTAATAGTCAATAGTTAATAGTTAATAGTTGAGTTTTTTCGGGCACCTGTGAATCCATTGGAAACTTTGCTAAGTACATCTGGCATCGAGTTCGGATTGTTAATCTAAAAAGTTTAGAAGATTTTGGAAAAAGGGAAATGAAAAAGAAACCTTTGAGAAACGTGTACAAATCCCTGTGAGTTGACTCGAAATAAAATATTCGGCACAGTGAGAGTGTGCAAATAGGAGCGACGACCATTTCTGGAAACGATTTGAAATAAACTTTTTGATGATTTTTCATCAATAAATCTATCAAATCGAGTTTTCAGATTGATTTCTAATACTCACCGAATATAGGTATCGGGTACCCAAATATCTTTAAGCATTTGACTCGATAGCGGAATCTCATCCCTGTCATCGATTGGCACAAACGCTAGCCGACGATCAAGCCATTTCTGACGAAAATAGCAATCCAGTGAGAACTCCTAAAGATTATTTTTTCGGGGAATTTCTATTTCCAATTCTTCATTTCCCTAGAAGATTCAAGATTCTAGTTTTGGGAAAGATTTAAAAATTTATTGTTTCCTTGTTTTGAGATGCATGACAAGACCATCAAATGAATAAAGAAAAGAGGAAAAACTAACCATTTTTTGTTCAGAGATTGGCCCCATACTTCTTACATTGATATCCACTTCAACTAGAAGAGGTTCACCTTTTTCTGAAACGTTCATTCTCAAATAAGGAAGTGTTTTTTTTTATTAAGCGAAATGAGAGGATCGTTTTTATTTATTTTACTGAAAAAAGTGTTCCTTTGTTCGAAATCTTTCTTTGAAAATAGATTATGAACATGAAAATTTAAAATTTAATTGCTTAAAGCTTTATTTTCGAAATACTAAACGGGTAAAGTGTTAGGGAAAATTAAAAATAAAGAAAAATCAATCACTTTAAACTTACTATCATTCATCGGGCGAATATTTCGATCTTGCTTGTTGAGAATCGTATTCAACAATCGAGTGATACTTCGAATCAACGAAATGTTGTGTGAGGCACGCGGGAAACGTAGACTGATCTCGTTACCCGTTAAAGCATCTATGAAATAAGATATTCTCAAAGAAAAAAGTTCTGTCTGTTAACTCACCACTTTCGTTTCTCCCAACCATTTCATTGAATCCATCTGTATACGAGAAGAAAAATATCAGTAAAATAAGTAAAAACGATCCTCTCATTCCGCTTAATCAAAAACAACACTTCCTTATTTGAGAATAAAAAAAATTTCGGAATCTGATGATTAAAAAGGAAAGAGTTGGAAATAAGAAATGAAAAAAACGTCTTTTCGGGGCTATTTCCAATTTGTGAGCGACAAGGCAAAAAATGACAAAGAGCAAGCGATGAGATGTCTTCTAACGAGCGGGAAAGACTTTCGAAATTTTTGCAAAAAGTGTTAGAGGTTAAAGATGACCGTTTCTTGGATAGAGTTATGCCGAGTTTCTTTGAGAAGTTCGGCCAAAATGCGGAAAAGAATTCAATCGCCCTCTCTACATTTCCTCTCTTTCTCCACACCACAATCGCATTTTGATGGTTTCCTTCCATCTAGTTTGGTCCCTCAAAAAAAAAAAGTTTTCGATTCCCATAAGACCAAAAGGAAAAGGAAAGAGGAAAAGAGGAAAATTCTAACAAGGGAATGTCAATTGTCAAATGGCAAAATAAACTTGTATTTGAAATGAAGAACAGATACCGTATTTTCTCTAATAGTAATGCACCCTGAGCGTCCCCTAAATTCCTCGAAATCTCGAGAACCGCTTATCAGAACCTATCGATGATCTTCACGCCATTGGAAAGGCGATCAGATGCGGGAAATGGCTTCTTCACGAGTTAAGCAGTGCAAGCGCTCGTTTATACCCGAACAAACTAATAGATAGATAAAGATCTCTTTAGTAGTGCACCCTGAGCGTCGCCTAAATTCCTCGAAATCTCGAGAATCGCTTATCAGAACCTATCGATGTGGGGTCGGAAAATGTTGCTGACGATGAGATCTAGTGGAGGATTTGAGTGTTGAGCTTCTGCAAAAGCTTGGAAACCGTAAAATCGTCACCAACTCGGCTCACCGGGGTGCACTAGTATTAGAGAAAATACGGTAACTTTGCAAATCCAAAAAAGCAAAAGAAGGACGGACTCGAAGGGCTTTGCTTTGTATTCTAACCCACTGCCACTGCCACCATCGCTTTTCAGACTCTATGGGAAATATGCCTAATCTGCCTAAAAAGGAGTAGGAGTGTGATTTTTGAAATCCCATACAAAACTTTGCACACTTATAACTTTGGACAGAGTGCTCCATAGCAGAAATGGAAAGCAGATTTGGAACCGGTGTTGGTTTTTGCATCGAATAACCCGTGGCACATGTCATTTGGCCACCACATCCAGTTGACATTCTCTTGTAAATAAAAACATGTCAAACATTTTTTGGAGTCCCAGAGACGGATTTGGTTGACGGGACAATAGATACAACGTTTTGATAACGGAAAGTGAGATGGGCGAATGACGCGAGATGGGATTAGATGGATCGGTCGCACTCAATCCCCCAAAAATACCTGCTACTAAAGGCTAAAGTTAGAATAATTTTTAGATTAGCTTTAGTTCTAATTTCTTTATTAAGCTTAATAACTTTAAATGGAGAATTTTCTTCAAAATTGAGTTAGACTCGAATGAAAAGGTAATTTCTAAGTTTTTTTTTTTGGATAAACTCGTTTTCTTACTCTTTGTCTATGAGTTAATAAACTAAGAAAAAAATAAAGTAATAAATAAATAAACTAATAGACAAATAAGCTAATAAACTAATAAACTAATAGACAAATAAACAAATAAACAAATAAACAAACAAACAAGTAAACAAGTAAACAAACGTCTAATAAATGATCTATAAGTCATAAATCCTTAAAATCAGTGCCTTTTCCAACCATCAACAAATTAACTTTGTAATAGTTGATAAGAAAAAAAGGAAACATCAAGAAAAAAACGATTCCAATGCATGCATAGAAGTGTCAAGAGGTCAAGAGTTCGTATGATGCATGGCTGAGCCGAGCAAGGAGAGGGTTTGGAAGAAGTAATGGGCAAGGACAGGAAGGGAAGCCTTGCCCCTTCATGAGGCTCATCCCTCGGGGATTCCCACCTCTCCCCTTCCCATAGGACATTCGCCTTCGGGGTGCCAAAGTGATTTGTCGCTGGTTTCTTGGCGGTAGAAGGGCTGAGCTTGCCTTTTTTCTTTTCCACGCTCTCATCTCACGCTCATCTCCCATAAAACATTTCAACACTTCTTTCAATAGATGTTCACTCTATCATTCTCTGTCAAATTTTGATTTGAATTTAAGCATTGAAGCATTGACTTTAAGCATTGAAGCATTGACTTTAAGCATTGAAGCATTGAATTTAAGTATTGAAGCATTGAAGCATTGAATTTAAGCATTGAAGCATTGAATTTAAGCATTGAAGCATTGAATTTAACTATTAAGTAATAGTCTAATCATTGATTACAATGTTTTTGACAAAATTGACAAAAGCAAAATGACAAAGCAATAAAGCTTGAAGAGGGCAATTTCGGAAAAAAAGGTGGATGAGATAAACAGTTGGAAAAAGAAAGAGAAATTTACGAATGTCGAAAAGTCGAAGGGGCGAAGGTAATTTGAATGAGAAACGAATGACTCTTTTTCTCATTTGTTTCTTTTCTAAATTTCTCTCCCTTTTACTATTTGATTGGTTCTTTAATTTAATATAGAAGAATTTTGCAAGATTATTCAACTTTATCTCAGAAATAGAGTTGAATCTATCTACTAATGGTCTTTTAGCTACTTCCATCTACTTCATCTACTTCTATCTACTTCTATCTACTTCTATCTACTTCTATCTACTTCTATCTACTTCTATCTACTTCTATCTACTTCTATTTACTTCTATCTAGTCAGTCTTCTATCTACTTTGTTAAACAATCAAAAAGTGATCAGATCCTTTATAAATAGCTTTATAAATAAATTAATAAGCATTCACTTATTCAAATTTTGTCTTTGTTCAATGTCTTTTCTCATAGATCAAAGTTCTTCGAGTAAAGTAGAAACTCGTCTTTTTCTCTTTTTATTGACTTGTCTTTGGTGATGCTTATATACACAAAGACATCTCACAGCTCATTGTCCTCTCTTGGCTTCATCGTTGTCTCTCATTCACTCCATTTTCTCTTTCAAGTTTCCCCTTTGGGACCAAAAACATGATATCGGCTAGACGAAAAAGAATCTCTCGAATTAAATCCCTCATTTTACGATCGAGTTTTTTTTCAAGTAAAACTTTTGTCTTTCTATCTTTCTATCTTCCTATCTTTCTATCTTTCTATCTTCCTATCTTTCTATCTTTCTATCTTCCTATCTTTCTATCTTTCTATCTTTTTATCTTTCTATCTTTCTATCTTTTTTAACACTGAATATACTCTTATCGCTTTTTTTTAGATAAGATCCCGTTTCCTTGTCTTTTAAATTTCACTCACATGCAAAGATTTCAAAAAGGTGAAGGCATTCGAGGAAGAGATGGAGGAGGAAAAAGAGGAGGAAAATTTGTCGGCGGTGAGGGGAAGAGTCGCAGTCTCTTCACGCTAACACAATTCACGAGAGGAGAGCCGATTTTTGCCGAATAGTGTGTCCACCGCCCTTTGCCACAACTAGACTTACAGCTGCCGTGTATTTCAAATGCATTATTTTATTTACATCCCAAGCACTCAGTCTACTATCGTTATCAAAACAGGTTATGAGATAAAGCCAGACTCTTGTCCATCAGCTATCGTAAATTTGCATTTTCTTTTCAATGTATTCAATTCTTTCTTCTATTTTTTTAAACTTCAATTCACCAGCTTTCCATTTATTACAAACCTTTCCTTCAAAATTTCAAAATTCAAAGGATTTTGAATATTCTTTATGGCCTAGGCTGTTCGATGTTTTATTGTCGGCATTTTTTTTTTTTTGAGGAAGAGGTGCAAAGTGGGTGGTGTTTTTAGAAATGGTGGTTGTTGAATGAAAAAAAAAGAAGGAGAAAGCGATAGGGGTGAAAAGCGAGAAGAAACGCGCGAAATCCCTCGAGGACCTAGGGAGGGTTCCACCCCTTCTTCTTCTTCTCACTTCAATTCTTCCAAAAACCCCCCTCTTCATTTCAAAAAAAAAGCTCTACTTTTTGGTCTCGTTTCTCATTCAGGTATAACTTGTAGTTTTATTAAACTATTTCTTCTTTCTTCTATGCCTGCCTGCTTGTACCTTCTGGTAAATAATTCTCATACCTTTGGTAAGAAGCTAGTCTGTTTTCTACATATTTTAAACTTTTGAAAGTTAACTAAAAATAGTTTCAATCGATTCCCCGACCCTGAAAACCTCCAAGGTACAAAGTTCCAGCTCAATATCTTCTTTCTGTACCATCTACAGTGCAAAAGAAAGTCTCTATGGAAATGACTGGCAAAGTGTTTTTTGTGCGGCCTGGTAATCGCTCGCCGTCTGGCAAACCCGTCTGGTACAAGGGGCTTCCCTTTTGAGAAACGTAAAGGGGAAGGAGCGGTGAGTGACTAGTCCGGTCTCGCCTATTTCAGTGTCGCTATGGCCAAGTCCTTGAAAACAATTTTTGCCTTAAATTTTACTGAACTTTTGCTACAAATTCATCTTGTTAATCTAAACCTATCGTTACACCAAAAAACCTTCATTCCCAATTTTGTTGTAGATAAACCAAAAACGTTTCACCAAAAAACCGTTATCGTTATCGTTACACCAAAAACCTTCATTCCTTCATTCTTTCTTTTCTTTCTTTCTTTTCTTCTTTTCTTTTTCTTTCTTTTCTTTCTTTCTTTCTTTTCTTCTTTCTTACAAAAAAACCTTCATTCCTTCAATCCTTCATTCCTTCATTTTGTTGTAGATAGACTTTATCTATTTATCATTTTCTATGCATTTTTCTATAATACTATTTTTCTATTTTCTATTTCTTCTTTTTCTATAATTCATTGCTTGCAAATTTTGCAAATTTTGCATTATGAGAGCATTTTATTGATGCTATATGCATATTGCTTCAATTATTTCAATTGCCGGCTTGTCGAATCAATCTCTCAATTTCCCCCAACTCATTAGTACTTGTTGTAGATGTGGCGATGGAGGCGATCGAGAACACGCCATGTCTTCTTGCTCTCTTTTTCTAGTCTTCTCATCGCCCTTCTCTTCAGTCACAGGTCAGCTCTCCCGTTCTCTTCTCATTTTATTGCCCAACAAAATTCCCTCATTGCTGATTAAAAACCACGTTAACCATCAGGAAATGAAAAGTTTCGAAAATTTCACAAATTTCGAAGTGTATATTTTAAAGTGAAGATCAAAAAGAAGACATTTCTGTGGTTTGACTCGCGCGACAATCGATGTGAAGTTGGTGGGGGAAGAAGAGAGAGAGAGGGTGGAATAACGGGGTGAAGAGGAGACCAACTAGGGGTTTCTTTTCCTCAAAAAAATATAAGGAGGGGAGTTTCAGAGAACGGCACCGGTAATCCCGGCTCTCTTTGCTCCTCTCTTACCATTTTCTACTCTTTTTCACATCACTTCATCCTCATTCGGGACTAGACGCGTTCACTTTAGAACCCCTTCAGCTAACAAGAGAAAAAAACGATAACACTTCTTTTTGAGAGACAGTAAATAAGTTTTCGTTTCTTCGGGTTTCAATTTGACAAATGTTTAGAGCTCTCGTTGAACTCTAGTCGAAAAATTGAGAATAGCGAAAATAGCGATAAAATCTACATAATCTATAGAGCAAATCATTCAATCATCTAGTAAATATTTGAAAGTGAACTAGTTTCGTTAAAGTTTCCAAAGATGGAAGAATCAAACTACAGTTAAGCGTCCAGATAGCAAGAAGAAGCTTGGCAAAATAGCCTTTGAAATTAGTCAAGTGCTGAGTGGCTTAAAACGATGTAACACTCAAATTTATAATCCAGATCATTTGATTTGATTTTCATTTGATTTTCATTTGATTTTCCAGTTCAAACGCTCTCTCCACCTCATCGACATCGTATCACAATGCGACGGCTCTTCTCTCGTCGCTTCTCGATGAATACGATATTAGACTAAGACCAGGATTTGGAGGTTTCTTTTTGTAAATTCCCCAATTTTCAAATCAACACAAATCTTTATTTAGTTTTCTCACTCAACATGGGAAAATTTCAAGCCGAACCTAATTCCACCTTTGTTTTCTCGGTCAAACGGCCGAGAACGAGCCAAACGGCCGGCCGAGCACGAACCAAACGGCTTGACCGATTGCTATGAAATTTTGTCTACAAGTTGAAAATGTTGATTTATATCTATCTGTAGACAAGCTTTCAGAGTAAAATAGTAAAGAGTAAAAAAAAAAAAATTGGTGGAATTAGGTTCGGCTTGAAATTTTCTCATATCTATCACGAAACAATCAAAGATTGGGCTTATTTCGAAATGCACCAAGACACGGGTCTTGATGAGCCTTTTTATACATTTCAAATCACTTTGTCTGAAGGAAACAATGCGTTTTTGTTTGAAAGACTATTAAATCAGTATGTGCAAAGAAAAAGTGGCATCCTTCGGCAGCTCGATTCTAAATAAATAAAGGCGACTGAAAGTGTCGATGAAAAGAAAAAAAGGAAATATATGTTTTAGGGGATGCTCTCCTTCTCACAATGGACATTATCATTGCCTCATTTGATGCTATTTCGGAAGTGGATATGGTATGAAAGTTACTCAACAAAAAAGCACACTTCAAAAGAGCTCTAATTTATTGGTTATTGAAAACGTTGTAGGATTACACGGTGACACTGTATCTACACCAATATTGGAGAGATGAGCGACTCTCGTGGATAAATGATCCAACAAGGATTGATGATATGACTCTAAGCGGGGATTTCTCGTCGTAAGCACTAATCGTAAGCACTAAACAAGTGCTTTTTTTTTTTAGAAGAATATGGGTTCCGGACACTTTTTTGGCTAATGATAAGCATTCGTTTTTGCATGATGTTACAGAGAGAAATAAAATGCTTCGTATTACAAGAGATGGTCGGATTGCTTATGGGATGAGGTTGGATTTATATCTTCATCATCAAATCTTCATTTTCAAGAATATTTTCAGATTCACTTCAACTTTGGCTTGTAGTATGGATTTGAGAAATTTCCCGCTCGATGCACAGAATTGCACAGTTGAGATCGAGTCGTGTAAGTGGGATTGATTGGAGAATTTGGATTCGCCGAGATGGCGCAGGGGTGGCGCAACGCCAGTGTGGCTGCCTCTGAAACTAGAGGCTCGATCCCGGCCCCGGGGTTCGATCCCAGGTCATTGATGCGAGCCTATCCAGCCGTCTTTGTCTTCTTTTCACTGCCAGAAAAAGCTATTAGTGAACAAGAGTAGGGATTAGGGAGTAGAGTCAAGTTTGAGAGGACCCCTCCTCTCAAATAATGCATTTTTAAAAGTTACGTGAAAACGAAAATCACCGTAGCAATGCAAATAGAAATAAATAAAAATTAAACGCTTAAATGAAAATTACCGTGCCCGTTAACATCAACTTCGTGTTGATCTCCAATTGAGCACTCATGGCTCAGTGGTAGCGGGCTTGTCTCTGGCTCGACACGGTCGGGGTTCGACCCTCGCCAGGGTCGACAAAGTTTTTCTTCTGTACTTTCTTTTTGAAAATAAAGCTTAGTAAATTACACTTCCTATCTCATCAATTTTGTGCTCCGCTTCGAAAACTTCATTTCATTACGCTATTTCTACGCTCATAGCACAAAATAGTATTTTATACTCCGAAATTTCAGGGTGATGGTTTATCGAATGAGCAGAGTATAAAGACATACACCTGAGTCATATAACAAAACAAACACAAACACCAACATAAAACAAACAAACAAACATAACAACCATCAAAAATCCAATACAATACAAATAATTGCCTCGGGTGGGCTTAAATCGGATTTGGAAGACGTCGTTCCTCCTTGCGCCCCAGCGAATCCTTCACATATGGCCATGCCCATCATCGACTTCCAGCGTCCTCTTCTTCGCAGGGCCTCCAATTCGACTCCGCGTGCTGCTTCCAGTGTTGTACCCCCAGCCCGAAGCGAGTGTGATGTGAGCCCACGAAGGTCGAGCTTCTTGAAGAGATTGGTGATTGCCTTGGCGGCTGACTTTGCACTGATTGGCATTCCTTTGTGTCCCGGGAAGATAAACTCGTCAGCCGCTCTCTTGAAACTGATCCATCTATTCCAAAGTGCCTGAGCTTTTTGACTTCCGTTGAATGAGATGTACGTGAAACGTCCCTCGCCCTTTTGATCGTTCTTGGCTCGTTTCACCTTCACTTTCCAGATTTGTTGTGGCTCCTCTGAGATATCCTTCCATTGCAAGGCGGCTACCTCTGATATGGAAGAAGGGCGGTAAACATCAGCAACGCCATCACCACCGACTTCAGTTCTTGATTGCTGTCCGAGTCGAGGCCATGACGGATGATCTTCTCCATTTCGTGCCATCCAATTGGTTTGTGATGTGAGGTCGGAGGAGATAAACGAGTCGAAGCTTTTGTGATTGACGACAAGAGGCGCGCGTGATTCACGTCCGGCTCTCCATTGAAAAACTTGAAGGCGGCGATGTTTAAGATGATACTCGCTGGCCCCACAGATCCCGATTTGTGCAGAAGATAGATCAGCAAAGATGAGGCAGCTTGTGGATCCAGCTTCACCTCTTCGGCAAATCCCCGTCGTGCTATTTCGGCTTTTGCGTACATCTTCATCGTTGAGGAGGCCAATTCGTTGGAGGCAACGAGCGACACTTGATCCAGTAGGTAAGTGGGCATCTTTGACGAAGCGATCACATCCAGGACGGGCTTCCACTTCTCCAAACACAGCTCCTCTAAAATAAACAATATAAATAATTTAACGACATGATCAAAGGGATTGGGTGGGTGGGTCTTATACTAAACTAAAAACTCTGCTAACGATTGAACCAGAATGAAAATTTTTGCTAAATTTTCTCCTTTTATACCCTTTCCCAAGCCTACGGTAGTTCATCCACCCTATAATCCAAACACTCCAGTTGAATACTTTTTGCTACAGAACAAAAATGGTGCATCCTGAAAGAGCATAAAATCATATTTTGTGCTTCGCTTCGAAAACTTCATTTCATTACGCTATTTCTACGCTCATAGCACAAAATAGTATTTTATACTCCGAAATTTCAGGGTGATGGTTTATCGAATGAGCAGAATTATAAAGCCCGCTGGGACATAAAATTAAACTTGAGAAATAGGAAAGGAAATTTCAAGAATTCCGAATCAAAGTGTATTGCCCGTTCGGGACGGAATTAAAATTTTTGCTCCCACCCCGAACTCCAGGTAGTCTTCTATAAAATCTTTCCAATCTCCTTTATAATCAATCAGCAGAGGCCATATTGGGTGGGATGTCCATTTAGGCATACCTAAGATTCCCCTGGACTTCATAAATTTTGCTAACCTGAGAGCCTTGCAGAGGCGACTTGGCGGCGGACGCACCAAACTCGATTGGCCGGGTTCCATTGACTGATGCAAGCAAATGCGTTCTCACCAACTGCTTGAGCGTTCGGGAATCTAGAAATAAATACATCACATTGGGCATTATAGTCGTTCGCAAACAAATCTATGTCTATCCCTCCAAATCTATTTTGCACTATGTTAGCCACCTCTCTTCTTATACCCCAATCATCTAGGTCAATTTCTCTACTCATGCCGTCAGCTTCTTCATTTAACCCTCTGGGGATCCAGTAAGCGATGAGCTCAACTACACTCTCGTTTGCCAAGCGTAAAATTTCTAGACTTAGTGCTTGCAAATCCTTTTCATACTACCTTTATTGACAATACTAACCGCGCCTTGGTTATCGAAAAGCTTTTATGCTTTGCCCGATGGGAAATTGCTTTCTAAATGATTCTATGCAAAGAATTCCGCGCAACTCCCGCTTAGTGCTTGATTCCGCCTGTTCCTCAAGTGATAAATTCCGCGCTGCTTTTAGGGGTCCCAGGGGAGAATTAAAAACGGCACCCAGTGCAACCGCTGATGCATCGGTAAATAAATTCCACTCACCGGTGAACTCTCTGGCGTAAAGTGATCGCTTCATTGGTTGATTAAGGCGACGAGCCCATGCTTCCCATTCTTCTATCTCTTGAGGTGACGCCGCAATCTTCTTGTGAACACCTGCTCTGGATTCTTCTAGCATTGCCACCATCTGCGAAGTGGACCTCGTTGATCGCACAGCGTCTGGAACAACAAGATACATAGAAACCACATGACCGAGAAAACGTCTACGACTTAGTAAAGTGTTATGGCCTTCTAGTAACCTTTTACCTCCGCCTTAGTCTTGTCTATTCGCCTTTGCGATATGGATACTGATCCATCTGCCAGATCCACTCTGGTCCCTAGAAAATCCAACGCTTGGACTGGTTCCAACTCGCACTTGTCAAGTGCTAAGGTGATTCCGCACCTTTCCAATGCAGTCAACACTGCCTCTTTCATTCGTAAAATTTCTTGCCGACTCTCAGCGAAGACTAGACCATCGTCTAGATATAAACAAATATTCACTGCTTGCTTTCTCAACGAAGCCACTAGAGGACGGAATAATTTTGTAAATACCCATGGTGCCGGCGAGAGGCCAAATGGTAAGACTGTAAACATGTAATACTCTCCTAGCCATGTAAATCCCAAAAACGGTTGACTTTCTGGGTGAATTTTAACATGGTGATAGCCGTTTTTAAACTTATACTAAACTAAAAACTCTGCTAACGATTGAACCAGAATGAAAATTTTTGCTAAATTTTCTCCTTTTATACCCTTTCCCAAGCCTACGGTAGTTCATCCACCCTATAATCCAAACACTCCAGTTGAATACTTTTTGCTACAGAACAAAAATGGTGCATCCTGAAAGAGCATAAAATCATATTTTCAGCTCAAAAAACTTTCAGCTAATCTTGACTACTTTTTACAACTAAACAATAATGATCAGCGTTTCGGTGCTTTTATAGTTTTTTTTTTCGTGCGAGAGCTCATTTTAGAATGGCATTACTTAACAATTACTCAAGGCATTACTCAAGTAGAAAAATTATTTATGCAAAATTTACTCAAGTAATTACTTACTCAATTGGAATACACTGGGAGAATGTAGGCGTGAGTTAAGTTAAGATACAAGCTAGTATTGCTAGTATTGTGTGTGTCGTGCCGAATAAACCTCAGGAGTACCCGGTGCATATCTTATTGACTTCTAAAATGGTTTTCTTTTTCAGATGGTTACACAACTGAGGAGGTGTTGATGAAATGGAACCAACCACACGCTGTGCATGGGGTCGAGTCGGCCGAGGTGCCACAGTTCAAAATTCTCGGCTATCAAACTGATGACAGCATTGTTACCACAGCCACTGGTACTTTGATTTTGTCAATTCGAAATTTTTATCCCTCAGGCTCCTATCAACGATTGTCTTTGGTGTTTCAATTGAAAAGATCCGTTGGATATTTCATCTTTCAGGTTTGTCAGTCTTCTGATATCAGTATTTTATTTATTCTGAGTATTTGAAATCTTTTAAGCAAGCTGTTAGATCGAATTACCGCCAACCAATGTAAAAATTTAGACTTATCTACCTTGTGTGCTTATTGTGATGCTATCATGGGTTTCTTTTTGGATTAATCATGAAGCCACGTCAGCTCGAGTGGCACTTGGTAAGTTTTCGAGTTTTTGAGATTTTCAAACATTCATTAAGGAATCACAACCGTCCTCACAATGACAACGATCTCGACTGGTGTTCGCCAATCTTTGCCTAGAATCAGCTACGTGAAAAGCATTGATATCTATTTGGTAGGTGTGAACCTAGTTCATAGGAGTTTTTGTTTTTAGGTGATGTGCTTCGTGTTCGTCTTTGCGGCTCTTCTCGAGTACGCGGCTGTCAACTATAACTATTGGGGACGAAGGGCTAGGAAGTAAAGGAAATTGATAATAATATATTTGTGAAATATTTGTAGCTCATGTCGGAGTACAACTGAGGAGGGTGGATGGCCGGGAGCTGCTCTAAATGGAGAAATGCAACGAGAAGCTCAAGAAGGGGTTGATTGGAGAGTACCGCAAAGCTTTCAACAGGTAAGAAATTTGATTTATAAGTAAAGTGGTAAAAAAAAGTAAAGGAATTGACAAGAAAAAGTAGATTTATTCAATGCAAAAAGATTGATTCGAGCGTTCAATTCCCGGAGAGGGATCTCTGGAGTGGGGATTGAACCTTTCACTTTCTATGCAATTGCTCTAACCACTGAGCTAACCGGTAGCTTGATTTGTCAAGAGAAAGTAAGGTTAAAGGAAAAGGAAAAAAGATGAATTTGAATAGAGATGCATTTTAGCTTTCTCAGGAAATTAGTGATCGAGAAGCAAGAGAAAGGGAGATGGAAGGGCCGAGTAGAGAGGTGAGCTTTATACAGATTAACTGCTAGATCCTGTGTAACGTAATATTAAAAAACAATACAATACAATAAAATGAAAATCCAAGAGTCGTCGGCCGGCTTCACCTTTACCGTCATTATGCGCGCATGCAATGACCGACGTAGGAGCACCGGCCATCGACGAGGTGCCGGATTACCCTCGATACACAGCACATCCCGGTCCAATGCATGTACGACAACGGCCTTCCTCGATCCCCAAGTAACTAATGATTCTACTACCATAATATCTCTAATAGTAGCGCCCCCCCTTCCATAATGGCGGGGGTATTGCCGCGTAGTCTAACTTTAAAAGTTCAGTTCTCCGCGCTGCTTTATGCTACAGTGTGCGCGTGAGTGTCAAATGATAGTCCTTGAAATCTAGTATTTTTTGGTATCAAAAGTGTAGTTGGGAAAAATATAGGGGCTGAGAAAAAAAATGATTTTCTAAAAAGAAGTTAGACTACGCGATTTTACGGGGAGGGATGCTACGATTTGAGGTATGACGGTAGTACCGTATTTTCTCTACTAGTAGTGCACCCCGGCGAGCCGAGTTGGTGACTATTTTTACGGTTTCCAAGCTTTTGCAGAAGCTCAACACTCTAGTCCCCACAAGATCTCATCGTCAGCTCCATTTTCCGATCCCACATCGATAGGTTCTGATAAGCGGTTCTCGAGATTTCGAGGAATTTAGGCGACGCTCAGGGTGCACTACTAGAGAGATCTTTATCTATCTATTAGGTTGTTCGGGTATAAACGAGCGCTTGCACTGCTTAACTCGTGAAGAAGCCATTTCCCGCATCTGATCGCCTTTCCAATGGCGTGAAGATCATCGATAGGCTCTGATAAGCGGTTCTCAAGATTTCGAGGAATTTAGGGGACGCTCAGGGTGCATTACTATTAGAGAAAATACGGTATTCAAATTTTAAATTCAAAATCAAATATTCGTACTAATATTTAAAAGTGAATATGCTAATTTCAAGAAATCGGATAGCTGAATAGAGAGTTCATTTGTTAAAAACAATTCTTAAAATACAAAATGTACAAAGACCATGCTTAAGGTAAAGCATCAGAAAACTAGAGTAAATATTCTAATAGAAAAGCCTTCTATAGGAGCTTTGCGTAGTCTAGGTTTCTATTTTTCAGATCAAGACCGGCAATGCTCAACAAAGCAGCCGTTTTAAAGCCAGCTGTTCTCAAATCTTCTATGCACAAAGCCGTCAAGAAGTGAGTTGATGTAATCAGATAAATAAGATTTAAACTTATCATTTCTGAATAACATTTTCCGAATTGATAAGTCTAACCAAAAACCTATTCAGAGCTCGTTCGGTGATTCCTTCATTGCGGGTACGAGATGTGAACGTGATCGACAAATATTCACGAATCGTCTTTCCACTTTGTTTTATCATTTTCAAGTAATAACTCAAAAGATTGCTTTAATTATTAGCTTTTAATTATTAGCTTTTAATTATTGCCTTTAATTATTGACTTCAATTATTATTGACTTTAATTTAGCATCTTCTATTGGGGCTACTACACAATAATGCAACAATGGTGAGAACAAAAACGAAAAGGATCTTCTTTTCCCCGATTCAGGTCTCCTAGGTGTTTACTGAGCTTTCCATTTCTTTGATTTCTTTGATTTTTTTGATTTTTTTTCTTTTTTACGCTCATATGTATTCTAAATACAAAATAGATATATTTTTCTGTTTTTTTAGTGTCTAGAATGAAAATAAAGTTTGTTTAACAGAAAAAGATAAGAAACAAAAGAAGTGTTTATATAAAAAAAGACTTTTTTTTTCAGTTAGCCGCGAAGCAATTGCTCAACTCGTTTATCGTGACGAAAACTGAAAATATCAAAAAAATAAATTACTTAAGAGCTTTGATTATTGAAAACGATTTTAGCTGGTAGCTGGGAAAAGTTTTAAAATTGAAATCGCTTTTCAATTTGAGTTTAAGCAAAGAATTTGGGGGCGGGACAAATGCGACTTTTTTTTTTGCTGGAAAAGGCCTTAGGAAAGGTCGTAGAGCTTCGAAAATGTTTCCATACTAGGGAATCGTATGCGTAGATTCCGAATTTCGACAAATCAAAGCAAATCAGACCTTGCTGACACGTTAAATTTGAGCTAAAAGGCAAAAACTACGCAACTTAACGCTTTTCCGCAGTTTTTGCCTTTTAGCCCAAATTTGACGTGTCAGCAAGGTCTGATTTGCTTTGATTTGTCGAAATTCGGAATCTACGCATACGATTCCCTAGTATGGAAACATTTTCGAAGCTCTACGCCCTTTCTAAGGCCTTTTCCAGCAAAAAAAAGGTCGCATTTGTCCCACCCCCAAGAATTTTCTATTGAACAAAGTCTCTTTTTGTCTTAAATAGTTTAAAAGATTTTAAAATTGTTTTTGCCGATTTCCGATGCCGATTAGATTTTTCTTTGAATTGAACAAAGCTTTTTTCCTCTGAATAGTTTAAAAGCCTTTTGCCCGACCTGAAGACAGCTCCCGAAATCGGCGACTGGCTGTTGTACGTGCAAAGGCAAGTCCGCATCAGATCGAGCTTCGGTCGCCGCTGCACGCAAAGCGCTATCGATCCGGGGAAGCACCGAGCGCAAATCTAGAATCATAAAAGCAAGACTTCAAAATAATCTATTCAAAACCTGAGCACAGGTAGGTGCAACGGGAAAATCCGGATTGAAAAAGGGAGCACGCAACGAACGAGTGTCACAACGACGTGCTCTGAAAGGGCGTTATTCTTTGAAATTTTGGAACTAAAGACTTTTCCGAAGCTGTTAGCTGACTCTCAATGACTTCTAGCAAAGCAACTGTCTCAGTCAATGATGGATCTGAATTGATTTTCACCAAAAATCTTTCAAATGCTTACTTGGATCCTCGAAAAACTCGTTGATCTCCTCATCGCCGCCTTTTGTTTCAAAATTTCCTTTTGACTCAAGCCTTTCAGGAAGAAAAGTGGCTAAGAATTAGAAAAATCTCAAATTTTATCTCAAATTCGATAAAGTTACAATGGTCGTCCATTTTGATGGCTTCACAATAGTCAGCCCATTTCAAGTAAGCGGTGGAGAAATGGAATAGAAAAACAAAGAGTAACACTCCTTGGATGGCCATCTTTACCTGGAGATTAAATGAAGAATGAATCAAATGCACAAAGCAAAAAGGAATGAATACCGTAAATACTGTAATAGTACCCCACTCCCCTCGTACAGTCGGGTAGTCGCAAAAGTTTTTTAATATTTCATTTTTTCTCAAAACGCCCGTACTTTCAAAAAATGTGTCTTTGGTATCAAAAAATAGCCCTGAATTTCAGGGCTATTTTTTGATACCTAAGCGCGCATTGTAGCATAAACCAGTGTCGAGAGAAACTCGTTCAAAGCTAGACTACGCAATACTTCGCACCGTCATTATCCGGCTGGGGTACTAGTAATAATAATACTTTATTCAAACGATAAAGTGAAAGAAATCATAGAGAAATGCACAGTGATACTTAATCATACAATACATACTGAAATCAATAAGCCAATTATTCGTCTAGTCGCAAAATTTTTTTAGTATTTCATTTTTTTCAAAGCGCCCGTACTTTCAAAAAAATGCGTCTTTGGTATCAAAAAATAGCTGAAATTCAGGGCTATTTTTGATACCAAAGATAATGACGGTGCGGAGTGTTGCGTAGTCTAGCTTTGAACGAGTTTCTCTCGACACTGGTTTAAGCTACAATGCGCGCGTAGGTATCAAAAAATAGCCCTGAATTTCAGCTATTTTTTTGATACCTAAGCGCGCATTATAGCATAAACCAGTGTCGAGAAAAACTCGTTCAAAGCTAGACTACGCAACACTCCGCACCGTCATTATGCGGGTGGGGTACTATTACAGTATTTACGGTATGTTTATTCTCAATCAACTCTTAATACGAAATGATGGGAAAGAAGAAATGGTTTGAGTTCTGTTACCCCAAATGACGAGAGATAACAAGACGAGTTATTACTTTAAAAATGCTTCCAGCTTTCAGTTTGCTTCAATTGCTACAATTTTCCCTTTTGAATTTAGCTTCTTTCTTGGTCTATTAATAAAAAAATATCCGCCACTGTTCAACCAATCAATTAAACCATTGACTAGCTGCAGATTTTACACTTTCTCATCATAAAATAGTCAATAAAAATTTGCTAAATTCAGTTATGTTAATTAGAAAAGATAAAAATTAAAAAAATTTCAAAATCGTTTAAGAAATAACGGAAAATGTTGAGCTGATGCGACCTTTTATGAAGTGGGGCTGGATCGGGATCGAGTAGGAGAGGAAATTCGATCCAATCATTCTTTTAATAAGCACCAATTGAAAAAAAATAAGTGCTCGACGTTGAATAGATCTAAAAAAAGTATTTCTCATTGCAAAATCGGTCGTCATCAACGAGAATTTTCCTCTCTTTTAGCTGTAAATGCATGAGAGAATTTTTCTCTTGGAGCTCACAAAAAAAAGTGAATTGTTGAAATGATACGAAAGATTTGGAAAAGTTTGAAAAAATTTGCCTTTACGATTTGCAACTGTAAAAAGCTTGAGGGGTGGCTCAGATTTCAGCTTATTCGGGGGTGGAACAAATGCGACCTTTTTTTTTGCGCACCTGGACATTTGCGCACCTTTTTTTGCTGGAAAAGGCCTTAGGGAAGGTCGTAGAGCTTCAAAAATGTTTTCATAGAAGGGAATCGTATGCGTAGATTCCGAATTTCGACAAATCAGACCTCGCTGACACGAGATCGCATTCAAATAAATCGATCCCAATTAGTTTTTGTAGTATTTTGTGAGAAATTTAAGATGATATTCTTCAATTTTTATTGTTTCTTTAAATCGAATTTTTCAAGCTACTTTTGCATAAGAGGGTAAGGTCCTTTTTCTCAGATTTTATTCAATGCTTCAAAACTGTCAGTAGCCTTTCATTTTCACTAGAAATAAGTACAGTCGAACCTCTCTATAACGAACCTCGATATAACGTAAACCTCTCTATAACATAAGGCGTGACCGGTCCCGGCCGACGTTAAGCTATATAAAACGGCACTCTATATAACGTAAACCTCTATATAACGTAAGCTATAGCCGTCCCGTGAGTTACGTTATAGAGAGGTTCCACTGTAATAGTAATAATTAATAAATAAGTAATAGATGACCAAATGGAATAATTGGAATCGTTTTCAATGGGATCCATTCATTTCTGAAATACAGATTTTAAAAAGTATGTTCAAATACCGTAAATCCTGTAATAGTGCCCCACCCCCATAATGATGGTGCGGAGTGTTGCGTAGTCTAGCTTTGAACGAGTTTTTCTCGACACTGGTTTATGCTACAATAGCAATACAATTATCAAAAAATAGCCCTGAATTTCAGCTATTTTTTGATATCAAAGACTCATTTTTTGAAAGTACGGGCGCTTTGAAAAAAATGAAACACTAAAAAAACTTTTGCGACTACGCGACTGTACGAGGGCGGTGGGGTACTATTACAGTATTTACGGTAAGTTTTTTTCGATCATAAAACTTTTATTTTAAGGGATTTCAAAAAGCTAAATGGCCTATTTTAACAATTTTTGAAAATCCTATATAAAACGATTTATCGTCAATATATTTGAATGTGATCTATGGACCAAGTGAACACTGACCGGCCTAGAATTTTTTTTTTGACGACTGTACTGTTACTTTGAAAGTATTACCAATATATCAATCACTCTAGCAAGAATGAAAAACTTGAAAAGTCAAGAATTTGATTTGATTCATTAGAACTCAAGCTTTATCCCAAAATCTGTTCAATGTTCAATGTGCATGCTAGAGTGTAGTTGTCATCATTTATGGTGTGTATAACACGGCCGAGTCCACGAGCACGCAGATCTCTTAGATCACTATTAGAAAAAGAGAAGCCGACTCGGAAAGGTGAGATCCCCGATAGAAGGCGATGACAGCGCCGATCTTCATCCATATAAAAGGGCCAAGTCTGAAACGGAAGCGTCGTTCATTGCACTGTGAAGCCCAAAAAGAAACTTATTTGGCAGTTTCATCTATTTTTTATATCAAGATATAACCTTTCTGTGTACAGGGTGTTCAATAACTATTTAGATACTATAACTACTTCAATGTTCAATAACTACCTAGATCCTATAGCTATTTCAATTTTCAATAACTACCTAGATACCATAGCTACTTCAATGTTCAATAGCTACCTAGATACCATAGCTACTTCAATGTTCAATAGCTACCTAGATACCATAGCTACTTCAATGTTCAATAACTACCTAGATACCATAGCTACTTCAATGTTCAATAACTACCTAGATACCATAGCTACTTCAATGTTCAATAGCTACCTAGATACCATAGCTACTTCAATGTTCAATAGCTACCTAGATACCATAGCTACTTCAATGTTCAATAACTACCTTCAATAACTACCAATAGCTACTCGTTATTTTAAATGTAACTCAGCACTAAGATTTACAATCATTTCACGCTTTTTTTAATAGAAAATTTAAATATTTATCTATGCTTAATGCTTAGGTTTAACGAAAAAAAAACGTTTTTCTGTCTTTTTTTTTATAGAAACTCAAAGTTGACAGTAAAGAGTTGCTTGTTTTTGTGAACAATAAAAACAATAAACTATTTCAGCTCAAATCTATGCCTAAAACTGACAATGAAAAAAGTTTTTATTGATGCAAAATTGCAAATGAAAGTTTGAAAATTCGATTTTTTTTTTAAAAGTAACGGAAAATTTGCTTTATTTTTACCCATAATCGTTTTCTTTTTTGTATTTTAATCATAAAAAATATTATTCATCGTTTTACATTGTCTATAGGCTTTTTTGGCTTTTTCTGCTGTACTGGTTTCAACTCTCACTTTTGCATCAATGTAGGTGAAAGTAGGGAGAAAACTCCTCGAATTGAGAGCTTGACTTATCTTTCTTTTCTTTTGACGATTCCGAGTTGTTATTCTCTGTTGTTATTCTCTTTTTCTGTGCAACAATGTGCTCTCAATTCTCATTCACACAGAAGAAAAAAAAAGACTGAATCAGAGTATAAAGGAGCGCGAGGAGATGTCAGTCAGTCAGTCTCTGTAGTCTTGTTCTCGTTTTCCATTCAATATAAACCTTTACAGCATAGTATTTTAGCTGATCAATTTAGAAATGCTTTTGAAAATCGTTATCGCTTTTGGGCTTGGTGTTGCTTGGGCTGAGGAACAAGTGGGTTAAAGAAAAATTTGAATTGCATTTGAATTGCAATAATTGAAAAGCAAATCTTCTAAATCTTCTAAAGGTTTTAAAGTTTCTAGTATCTAGTTTCTAGTATCTAGTATCTAGTATCTAGTTTCTAGTTTCTAGTTTCTAGTTTCTAGTTTCTAGTTTCTAGTCTCTAGTATCTAGTTTCTAGTTTCTAGTTTCTAGTTTCTAGTTTCCAGTATCTAGTTTCTAGTATCTAGTTTCTAGTTTCTAGTTTCTAGTATCTAGTATCTAGTTTCTAGTTTCTAGTGGCCAGTTACTTTTCATAAATTCTATTCCAGATCCCATGCGGATTGCCACCATTTACCGGGAAACTCCCCGAAAAGCAGGGCATTGAAATGAAGGCGGTAAAGAGACGATTGTAAAATATTTCTATCAACATTTTAGACATGGGCAAATTATACAAAAGGATCATGCGATGATCTACAAGAGCACACTTTCGCCATTCTTGACACATTAACTCCAGAGGAGAGAACTGTTGTCTTCGGTGCTCCGCCACAGTGTTCGTTCTATCTTTGAGATTCTTTTCTATTTTCATGCTTTAGTTTAGACAAACTCTAGTAAGAAAAGACTTACCGTAAATACTGTAATTGAACCCCATCCCCCTCGTACAGTCGCGTAGTCGCAAAGTTTTTTAGTGTTTCATTTTTTTCAAAGCGCTCGTACTTTCAAAAAAATGCGTCTTTGGTATCAAAAAATAGCTGAAATTCATGGCTATTTTTTTGATACCTAAGCGCGCCTTGTAGCATAAACCAGTGTCGAGAAAAACTCGTTCAAAGCTAGACTACGCAACACTTCGCACCGTCATTATGCGGGTGGGGTACTATTACAGTATTTACGGTCGAATTATCTTATAAGTTATCAATTTTAGCCGACTCATTTGAACACGAAGGAGTCCCAATGTTTATTCGAATGATGAATCCAGAAAATAAAAAGGTTTAGGAAAAATATAATTGTGAAAAAAGAAAAAGGAAAATGATTTAGGCTTTTGATGCGATTTGGTTGAATTCAGGGATCGAAGATGATGTGAAACACAAAAAAGTCTCTGAGTTTGCCAAGCAAAATTTTAAGGGAGATCAAGTAAAGTTAAGATTTTTATTAAAAATCAAAACGAATCTAGCTATCAAATTTCAATTCTTGGTTTGACGAGGTGCGGAGACACAAAGCGGCGGTGGATGAGCGAATCGCGAAACTCTCCAAAAAAGCAAAGGCAACTCTGAAGAAGATTATCAAAGTTAGATCAAGAAGTTAGAGCTTTAAATCTCAAACAATCTTTCAGATTCGTGCTCAAGAACAAGATATCTTAGCCAAGATGAGCAAAGAGGTGGCCCGTGAACTTCATGGTCTTATCTAATCGAAATCTTATCTAATCGAAAATCACAACATCGAACTCCTTTCACTGATTTCAGTTAATAAATTTGGCAAATAAATTATTCATCTTTTGCATGAGTAAAAATTGACTATTCTAAATATTCTAGCTTTACTTATGAGGAGAGACTTGCTTTTTTTGAACTAAAAACTTTACAGCATCGTCGCTTTGTCATTGATTTAGTCGAAACTTTCAAAATCCTCCGTTGTAAACAGATTAGCCCTTTGTTTATAGACTTTTTCAAATTTAAACCGCGGTCAGGGCCCAGAAGTGGCTCATTCCTTTTGCAAATTCCCTTTGCTTCCAATGCCTCTTTATCAAATTCATTTCCCGTTAGAGCCGCTAGATTATGGAACTTGCTCCCAAACGACATACGAGAAATTCAGTCGCTTTTCATATTCAAGAAACGTATCGATGCTTTAGATCTAGTGGCTCTTTGCCGTAAGTAATTGGCTTATTGATTTCAGTATGTATTGTATGATTAAGTATCACTGTGCATTTCTCTATGATTTCTTTCACTTTATCGTTTGAATAAAGTATTATTATTATAACGAAAATAAACAAAAATGCAAAAAGATTAGTGTCATCGGATTTGAAAATTATATCATTCTTTAATTCTTTTAAAGCCGGTTTCTCCGTTTAAGCGCTATTATGCTCAAATCGTTGGGACCAATTTTTACCCATCACTGCCTATAACTTGTTAGTATTAGCTTGGTAAATATGAAAGGTTATTTTTTACAAAAAAATATTGCCCTGACGTTACGTGTTAAAATTTTTATATTAAACATTCGCTGTCTAGGATTTTTCTCAATAATATGTCAAATGTTTTGTTGTTTTGTTGTTTATGTTTTTTTGCAAAAACTTTTTTGTTTTTTATTTTGAATCATATTTGTATTGTTTCAGCTCGGCAAAGATGGATGACCAAAAATTTAAAATCAGGTCTGCCATATTCTTTGAATTCAAGTTAAACAAGAAAGCTACGGAATGCCATCAGAACATTTTGTACTGTTTTTGGAGAAGCTGCTCTTTACTTACAAACAATATTGTGTTTGGTACGATCACTTCAAAACGGGAAATGAGTCATTGGAAGATGTACCACATGGAAAGCCACCGATTACTTTGGACGATCAGCTGTTACTGAACGAGGTCGACTTGGATCCGTCGCAAAAGTGTAGAGAATTAGCAGAAAAGTTCGGATGCACTCATGTTACCATTGAAAACCATTTACACGCTCTTGGGAAATCATATCGAAGCGGGAAATGGCTCCCCCACGACCTCACTGATGCCCACAAAGCCATACGAGTCACCCTGAGCTCTTTTCTTCTACGCAAAGCTCACCATCGTGACTTTTCGAAGTATTTTTTGACATCTAATGAGACTTGGCTTCCGTATGAAAACATTCAACTCCATGGACAGTGGCTGAGTTCGAAGCAGAAACCTCATCCAATCCCGAAGCCTCCGATTCACGGGAAAAGAGTTATGCGCTTTGTGTGGTGGAATACTAAGGGATTGGTTTATTTTGAAGTATTAGATAAAGGCGAGACTGTTGATGGAAGACTTTATGCAGAACATCACACTCGATCTCGGCTCCACATAAATCGATTTCGACAAACTTTTTTTGATCGATTTCCTTGCTCCTTGCTTTGGATCGTGTTGAATATTTCATTTTCTTGTGTCATTTTGAAATTCCTATTGCTGATAATATGAAGAAACTAAAAACTGGCCTTAAAACTACCAAAAATTATTCATTAATATGTGCATTTGCAATGCTGTGAACTAAGCCCTGAAAATCTTTCCAATAAAGCTGATAATGTGTTCTTTTTCAAGAAATTCTCATATTTTTATTACTACCAATATTGTGTTATCTTGATAGATTAATGTTTACGCTTTGCACTTTGCACAATCCGCAAATGAGTCACAGATGAAAGCCTCCCACATAGATGATAAATCTTTTACCAATAATTGCAAAAATGTCCAAAGATTTAGTCACACTGGCTCCAAAAATAACGCTAGTGTTGGAACGGGAGTTCCCGGTTGGGAGACCTTGAAGAGGGGAAGGGAAGGAGAGTGGACTGCTCTCAATCTCTCAATCTCTCGGTCTCTTCATCCCTCGAACACAGAAGAAGGCATTAAGAGAGGTTTTTCTCTGCTCTCCTCCACACAAAGGGCATTCGGTCGATAAGGAAAAGGGTGTATACGGATGGGATTCGGGTCTATGCGGGTCTCCAGGGGGAAGGCTCAAATCGATAGATATGAGGGTAGAAGTGGGGATGGTTAGGGATGGGTGGGGATGGGTGGGGATGGGTAGAGGGAAGGAGAGTCACACGGGGGAACGGCCTCGTCCCAATCCGTTCCAGTACTCGCCCTCCTCTCTTCCGTATCGACCGCTCATATGGTCTATGTTTTTCTGTCCTCTCTTTATCTTTTCAGAGCTACTCGTGTCCTTTTCGAAATCCCTATTTCACGTGATTACCCAACAAGCTGACCAGAGCTTAAAAAATAAAAAAACAAGCAAAGCTGTCCTTGTTTTTTAAAAAAAACTAACTAACTAATCTTCTAGATGTCTTTATCTTCTAGTTTTTAATCTTATAGAATTAATCTTCTAGATTTTAATCTTCTAAACTTAACCTTCTAGATTTTAAAGTTAATTGAAAACCAATCAAAATCTAGTTTTGACCGTTTTCAGTGGATTTCTTTTTTTTTTTGTTTTGAATTGTTTTATATTCTATGATTTCTAATCGAAAATATTTCCCCTGTAAAGTCTGTTTTTAAAAACTTTTCGCTTTTCGCTCACCAAGCAAACACACACCACAAATAGCTTTAGTATTTCTGATAATGAGGGTAAAATTTTGAGGCTTTCAATTTGATCAGCTAACTCTAAGACGTTGAAAACTTGTTTGTTCTCAGTTTAAACTTTTCTGTGTCACGCGGAAATGTGATCGAGAAATCGGTTTTTTCCTTTTTTTCCCTTTTTGTTTTCGTAAACAACACCCTGTCCACTTATTTTCCAATTTGTTTGACTCGGAAATTATTGATAAAATCTGAAAGAGATTTTACTTGCCATGAGCAAATTCCCGAGAAATTGTACTCGCCATGAGCAAAATTTCCATAATTGTCTCAAATTTGAACCCAAATCTTCATTAAAACTTCTTGGAAACGGATTTCCTGACGCTTTCGCGATTCCAAAACTCATTAATTTCGATTTTGAAATGTTGTTCTAGAAAAAAACTTTCTTACACCACAAAAAATGAGCTCTGATTTCACAAGGTTGTGAAAAGAGAGTCATCGTGTCACAGATCGACCGGGTTAAAACAGGAAAGAGAAAAGAGCGGACACTGTTTGCCATAGGGGAAACGCAAAGAAATCTGCGTCTCTAACAACTCTTTATCTCTAATCTCTTCACAAACCAAGTCTCTCCTTTCCCAACAATCTTTCCCTTCAATCTCTTATCGCATCGATTGCCCCGTTTCTGTTTTTCTTTTCCCTCTCAACCACCCTCTTTTCCCCTTCTTACATCTACTCGACGCTTCGCGAAACCACGCCCATTTTGTATAAAATGTCCCCCGGCCTACCCAGACCCTCATATTTGCCACTCAGCAGACAGTCACTTGACCCTTTCCTCTTTTTCTTCTAATCGATTTTTTTTGGTGCTCGTTTTTTCTTTCGAAACTCTTTATTATTGAAAGCTTATTGAATTGATTTCAGAAACTCAAATTCTCATCATGCAAATCTTCGTGAAGACTCTCACCGGAAAGACCATCACTCTTGAAGTTGAGGCTTCTGACACCATCGAGAATGTCAAGGCCAAGATCCAGGACAAAGAGGGAATCCCACCAGATCAGCAACGTCTTATCTTCGCCGGTAATTTTTAAAAGATTATTTATAAGCAGCCAAACGTCATAAAGAAGTTAATGATTTTAGGAAAATAAGTAATCTTCAAAAACGATTTGAATTTAACAAATTTAACAAACAGGCAAGCAACTCGAGGACGGTCGCACCCTCTCCGACTACAACATCCAGAAGGAGTCCACTCTCCACTTGGTGCTCCGTCTCCGAGGAGGAATGCAAATCTTCGTGAAGACCTTGACTGGAAAAACCATCACTCTTGAAGTTGAGGCTTCTGACACAATCGAGAATGTCAAGGCCAAGATCCAGGACAAAGAGGGAATCCCCCCAGACCAGCAGAGATTGATCTTCGCCGGTAATTTTTTTTTCGTTTTTAACTGTATTTTACAATTAAGTCAAATAGGTATAACCCCTTAAATAGTAATCAAATTTTATATGATTCATTTTAGGCAAGCAACTCGAAGACGGTCGTACTCTCTCCGACTACAACATCCAGAAGGAATCCACTCTTCACTTGGTTCTCCGTCTTCGTGGAGGAATGCAAATCTTCGTCAAAACCTTGACTGGAAAGACCATCACTCTTGAAGTTGAGGCTTCTGACACAATCGAGAACGTCAAGGCCAAGATCCAAGATAAGGAGGGAATCCCGCCAGATCAGCAGAGATTGATCTTCGCCGGAAAACAGCTGGAAGATGGCCGTACCTTGTCCGACTACAACATCCAGAAGGAATCCACCCTCCACTTGGTTCTCCGTCTCCGCGGAGGAATGCAGATCTTCGTGAAGACCCTCACCGGCAAGACCATCACCCTTGAGGTCGAAGCGTCCGACACCATCGAGAATGTCAAGGCGAAGATCCAGGACAAAGAGGGAATCCCTCCAGACCAGCAGAGATTGATCTTCGCCGGAAAACAGCTGGAAGATGGCCGTACCTTGTCCGACTACAACATCCAGAAGGAATCCACTCTTCACTTGGTTCTCCGTCTTCGTGGAGGAATGCAAATCTTCGTCAAAACCTTGACTGGAAAGACCATCACTCTTGAAGTCGAGGCTTCTGACACAATCGAGAATGTCAAGGCCAAGATCCAGGACAAAGAGGGAATCCCTCCAGACCAGCAACGTCTTATCTTTGCCGGTAATTTTTTTTCGTTTTTAACTGTATTTTGTAATTAAGTCAATTAGGTCTAATCTCTTCAATAGTAATTAAATTTTATACGACTCATTTTAGGCAAGCAACTCGAAGACGGCCGTACTCTCTCTGACTACAACATCCAAAAGGAGTCCACTCTTCACTTGGTTCTCCGTCTTCGTGGAGGAATGCAGATCTTCGTCAAAACCTTGACTGGAAAGACGATCACCCTTGAGGTCGAAGCGTCCGACACCATCGAGAATGTCAAGGCGAAGATCCAGGACAAAGAGGGAATCCCTCCAGACCAGCAACGTCTCATTTTCGCTGGTGAGCTAATTATCTAATATTCTTTCAATAACTTAACAATTTCTTAGTTAATTTGTTGTTATTAATTGTAAGCACCTCGAAACTTATTGCACATCAATAATCATTCAATTTTCAGGAAAGCAGCTCGAAGACGGCCGTACTCTCTCCGACTACAACATCCAGAAGGAATCCACTCTTCACTTGGTGCTCCGTCTCCGTGGAGGAATGCAAATCTTCGTTAAAACCTTGACTGGAAAGACCATCACTCTTGAAGTTGAGGCTTCTGACACAATCGAGAACGTGAAGGCCAAGATCCAAGACAAAGAGGGAATCCCCCCAGACCAGCAGAGATTGATCTTCGCCGGAAAGCAGCTGGAGGATGGCCGTACCTTGTCCGATTACAACATCCAGAAGGAATCGACTCTTCACTTGGTTCTCCGTCTCCGTGGAGGAAACTAAGTTCTCCAGCAGACAAGTCAAAAAATGTGATCTCATTTCGAAATTCCAATGAGAATAAATTTCGTTTTTGTTTTCAAAAGTAAAAATACATGCAATTGAGTGATTGATGTAAATAGAATACATTTATTAAAGCTTAAATAGTTCAACAAAAGGCTATTAAAGAGCTGGTGGAGGGGTAAGATGTAAAAGATTGGAGATTTTCATTGGGAATTGTGAGAGTTCGTTTATATCCAACACTTGATCAGCATTTAGATCAAAGTTTTGAAAAAGAATCTGGATTTCTTCGGGTTTTATCTAAAAGGATTTATTTAATTGTTAATTGTACTTTGATTGTTTTACCTGTGCATATTTTGATGCGAATGTTTGAACCTCGTAAACTTGCAATCGGAGATCTCCATTAGAGTCGATATAAGAAATGATTGACTGAGCCATTTCTTGATTGATTTTTTCCTGAAAATATATAAGTTTTGTAAAATAAAGCATTTATTACTTGAGTCTTTGGTTTATTAAAAGTGAGAGCATTGAGAAATTCGGAATAGGCGAGATTTCCGTCTTGATTCGTGTCGGCTACGGCCAGAACTCCGTCAATGATCGTTCCTAAAAAGACTCAATCTTATCGTAGCCTTAAATCCATCGATTTTTTTAAAAACTGTTCAAAACAGAGCTGTGTACAAACAAAAATCGGCAAAATAAGCCTTTCCACGGTGAAGTTTCTATGTGTTTCTTATTCTTATTGAATACAGAATAAAATTATCTACATTTTGCATACTTTTGGATCACTTAAAACAGAATTCGTGCCAAGAAAAGCTCAGTTAACCTCTTTTTGAGCTCTTTGAGCTCTTTTTCGTTTGCTTTTTTTGGCATTTTCTCATCCCAGATTTGTTCTAAATGGCTCCAAAAAATTCAATAGATAGCTTCAATTTTCGAATTGGATTTCTTTTTCTTTTCTTTTTTTTTCTATTCGGTACATGCATAAGAAATGCGAATTTCAACATTTTCATAAATTTCCAACGATAGAAACCTGTTATCGATGAATGTTATATACTATTTGAAAGTTGTAAATTCTCCTCTAGTTTATAACATTCATCGAAAACAGGTTTCTATCGTTTGAAATTTATGAAAATGTTGAAATCCGCAATTTCTTATGCATGTACCTAATAGAAAAAAAGAAAATCAGAAACACAAATAAAATTAACTGCAAAAGCATTATTTTGGCTGGCGCTGTTTTGACCGGCTTCCCCCCTATTTTTCTGTATTTGCAAACGATAAGACCATCCAAGATAAACCAAGTGCCATCCGGTCGCCAAATGCATTTTAGCAAAAGGCTTTTATTTTCTAAAGCGTAACACCACATTGTATCCACGTTTTAGAAAAAGAAAAGTCGTTTGCTAGAATGCATTTGGTGAGATTTGTCTAGCACAAACCATCGCCAGCGAGTCGACGAATCGTTTGTTCATTGTGATCAACCACACCGTCTCCATTCACATCCATTCTCTGCAAAGGTAAACATTCACCCAAATCCCCAATCGTTTTCTTTTTTAAACCAACAAAAAAAAAAACCTTAAAAATCGTTTCCTCTGTGTCGACGGGTTTTTGAGAAAAAGCATAAGCAAGAGGCACAAATTCAGCGACATCCAAATTTGAGTCACCATCGATATCATATTGTGAGAAGAGGCCTGGTTTTTGTAAACGATTAAACTTAAAAGTTACCGTATATCAGCTTAAAAGCGCGTTTAATCAGTAAGTAAAATCAGTAAGTAAAATTTCAAATTTAAAAGAGATTCATTTACCTTTGACTTTTTCAATCGTCATCCCCCGCTCGTTTAGCCATTTTGTCAACTCTCGAATGTCAACTTTTGCATTATTGTCAACATCCACACTATCAAAAGAGTTCACTGAAAATCATTTATATAAAATCTTATACAAATGATACACGACTGGACAATGAAATATCATATTTTAAAAAAACACACTTTTGCACTTTCGCGCGTCTGTAACTCCCTTGTCTTTACCGTATTTCTAAATATTAATATTACCATTGTGTAGCCCTTGAAAAGAGCTTTCAGAAAATGTATAACACTAATAGTTTAAACTCAAAGACAAGGGAGTTACAGACGCGCGAAGGTGCGAAAGTGTTTTTTCAAATATGATATTTCATTGTCCAGTACTGTACCATTTTCTTAGTCTTATTTGTATAAAATCTTATACAAATGATACCATTTTCTTAGTCTTATTTGTATAAAATCTTATACAAATGATACCATTTTCTTAGTCTTATTTGTATAAAATCTTATACAAATGATACCATTTTCATTAGCCATTCGCTCATCGAAAGCATTTATTCCAATAAATAAAGCAAATAATAAAAGTTTCATCGTTGAGAAAAAGCAGTCGACAAAAGAGTATGCTTTAATTCTGTCACAAAATTCACGGAAAAGTGCGGAAGGGTGAGAGGTGAGGAGATGGGTGAAAGAGAACAACAACCGGTATCGAGCATGAGTGACACAAAGAGGAGGCAATAGTTGAAGGAGTGGCTCCGACAAGGGAATGGTTTGTCTTTTGACGCCCTTTGGCAATGAACAAAAGAAAGATCGCATCCATCAACCATTCTCTTTTTTTTTCACCAATTTGTCCTCTTCAATCACCCTCTCAATTCTTTACTTTTCGATTCTTTTCTTTGCTTTCCTTGCCAGAGTTGATTGTTCTGATCATCATTGACAAGAAAATCGTTTCTTTTGTTGTTTACATAATCATCTTTAAACCAAAAATCAATTCTAACAATTTTATTATGCAAAACATGAGCAACTTTTTTTTGATCCAGTTTCAATGATCAACAGATTTGCAAACCTGATGGTTTGTGAAGGGTTTCTAAAATATAAATTCAATAATATAAATATAAATACAAGGATCTACCTTGAATAGATGAAAGAAAAGAGAAATAGGTAAGTTGACCAGTGACAGCTCCTGGCTTGGCTGGATTCTTTCGAATGGTGTGAACCTAGATTCAAAATTAACTGACTTACTATTGGGTTGGTGAATTGAAAACTGCCGGCTATTGTCATATGTGACAGTTTGAGCACTTTCTTCAAAAGAAACCCATTTTGGTGTCAATGGAAAAGTTGTAGAGAATCAAAAATCAAGCTTATATCCAAATTTTCAGAACGATTCAAAAACTGGTTTTCAAGAAATGCGAAATTTACGAATTTTCACAAAACTTGCAACAAATCTTGCATTTTAAGCGAAACTGCTAAGTGTATCTTTTTGGAAATTTGGCTATAAGCCTAATTTTTGATTCTCTACAACTTTTCTATTGACACCAAAATGGGTTTCTTTTGAAGAAAGCTTGAATGCTCAAACTGGGACATCTCCAGTCCTTCATTTTTGAGTCTCACACTTGTCTCACAGAAAAACCAAAATCAAACCAAAATCCTACTACGAAAGAGGAATCCGCAAATTGACTGTAAAATGGACAGAAGTCGTCAATAATAATGGAAATTATTTGGAATCAATTGATAGTTTTATGTTCCATAAATTTTAGTTCAAAGTACGGCAGTTTTCAAGTCACCAACCCAATAAATTCAAACCTGAAACCCATCCGGTCCTTCAGCTAACACTTCTACGATGTGCCAATCAATCAGACTGTAATGAGATTCACTTTTTAAGAACATTTCTCTAGTTCACCTTGGATCAGAAACCAGCCTAGCTTTCACTCCATCGAATCCAAGATTCTGTGCTGCTACAGCGGCACCAGCCATTGTGTTCACATTATTTGGAGCCAACGGACAAAGTCCTCTCACAGAGCCTAAACAATTGATTCATCTTTATGTATGATTCTAACCTTCATAAAGCACTGTTGGTTCAGTGAGACTTTTCGCCTTTTCATTCGCTCCTTTCAAGGGATCTTCTAATTTGAAAGAATTCGGATGCTTTGTCATTGTTACTGTCAAAGACTGAATCTTTGAAATTATAGCCAAACAAAATTCTTCTCACTTTAAGAAGTCCTTTTTCTGCCATTTTCTGTACATCATTTCCTCCCCAAAATGCGCCAGCTGGGACAAAGACTTTTCGATTTAAGTTCGTCTTCAAATGGGCTTCAATTTTGTCCATGATTAATTGATTAGCTAGACATGTTGGTGAGCCAATCTAAAATTGTTTCTCTTTTAGCTAAAGTCTAGCTAAAGACTTACGAAAAGATTCGTATTCTCAAGAATCACGTCAATGTATTGAGCAAGAATGGCTGGATGAGCCACTTCAACAACGAGATCCAAATCTCTGAAACCAATTGGAGAGTTGAATTGATCGAAAAGTATTCTTGAATTTTTAACAAAAATAAGTAACAAATAATATTAGTTTCTTTTACAGTCATGGACAAAAGTCTTTTAATGTTGGTTTTGTGAAGTTTGTTTTTCGTATATCTTGGTCCTTGGTTAAAAGACTTTTGTCCATCAATTTTTGATTTTATTAAAAAGTTCACCTGATAAATTGTCAAATCCATCTTTTTGTAATGTTAAAATTAGAGATAATAAGCTCTTTAAATCTTTTAATTTCATTTTAACCGTTTGCAAATTTGGTTTGGATCAAGATATACAAAGAACAAACTTTTCAAAACCAACTTTAAAAGACTTTTATCTATGACTGTAAAGTTTACTGAAGTCTGAAAACTGAAAGTTTTTTAAGATTTAAGGTGAAGGAGAGAACTCGTTGTGCTCACAACTGGGACAAGAGAACTCGTTGTGCTCACAACGAGTTCTCTTGAAACTGAAATCTGAAAGTTTTTAAAGTTACTGCAAGTTTTGCGGTGTGATGCCTTCAAGTGGTAGGATTCCTTCTGAAGAAGTTCGATTCCAAACCCGAATCACCACAAATTCCTCCCGTTTTCCCAGTTCCTCATATAAAAATTTCCCTAAAACACAAGGATAAAATTTACTTGGATTGTTAATTTCACCAAGATGTCCATTTCCAATAATTCCCACGCGAGTAGCAACCATTTCTTTGGCTAGAACTGGAGTTAAATGAAAAAAAAAATTGTTATAGAGTTAGTAAGGGAAAGGTAAAGGTCAATCCATGCAACTAAATGGCTTTTCATTTCAATTTTTTTACTTCATAAAGATTTATTGCATTAGACCATCACAAGAATCTCAGAATCACCAAAATTGATATTGAATTGACATTGATATTGACAAAAAGGATTTGCACATAAATAAAATGCAATAATATGAAGATAACGACTTATTGTTAGCTTTTAGTTTTTCTGAAAAATGATTAACTCAGAGCCGGAGAGAATTCCAAGACGGCCACCCTCTACAATTTTATCGACGGTACCGGAGAGAAAAGTTCGGTTAAATTCGTGGAATCCTTTTGGGAGAATGTTTAAACCCTAAAATCTTCTTGATATTCTCTATTTTTTATCTTTTATCTTTTACCTGAGCTATTTGAATGAGTGAGGTGATGACGGGGCTTTTCACCATCCACATAAAGAGTGATGAGTGAGTGAAACAAAAATAGAAGGGCAAGCCCGCCTCAGCCGCTAGATCTGTTGAAGAAATCTGGAATATTTGGATTGTTTATAAAAATGAGTAGATAATAAAATTGTGTAAAAAGCAACGTAAACTATAAAAGAAAAAAAAACATGCAATAGTCATTTGATTGGCGGCGGCAGCGGCGATCATTTCTTCTTTTGTGTGTAAAGAGGGCATACCACAGGCAAACTCAAGACCCTCGATTATCTAAATGATAAAAATAGCTTTGAGTAATCAAAAAGATGTTTGTAGACTTTAAAAGATTCAAATTACATTTAAAACTCGATAAAATCTCAAGCATTTGATTAGAGAATAGCCGTAAAATGTGCTTATTCTTGTGCTTTGTGCTTACAATGCAAATCAGCGCGAAAATGCGATCGCCAACAGATTTGCACATGCCTATATGCATTCAATACAAAAAAAAATCTATGCTGATTCCGAATCTAAAAGAATTTTTTAAATCCGTCTTACAGATTTTTTAAAAATTGAAATTTATTGGATCGTCATCGTCATTTTCTATGGAAACGACTAAAATGACTTCAACTCTCGACTTCAACTCTCTGACTCTTCGAAAGTCAAATTCTCGATGCCACAAGAAAATTTACTTCTTGTTCGAATTCTAACAATTCTAATTCTAACAATTCTAATTCTTAATTCTAAACACCGTATTCTCTCTAATAGTAGTGCACTCCGCCGAGCCGAGTTGATGCCTATTTTACAGTTTCCAAGCTTTCCCAGAAACTCAACACTCAAATCCCCCACTAGACCTCATCGTCAGCTACATTTTCCGACCCCACATCGATAGGTTCTGATAAGCGCTTCTCGAGATTTCGAGGAATTTAGGCGACACTCAGAGTGCACTACTATTAGAGAGAATATGGTAGTAACTTTTGTCAACAAGGCTCTTGTGCTTCTTTTGAAAACAAAAACATTAAAATTGCTCAACCCTGAAACAAACTAGTAGCGTTTTGAACAAAAAAAAACAACGCTTTTCAACTTTCTGCAATTTTTTTCTTGCTTGTGCTTATTCGTGTACTTTTTACTTACAATGTACTTATTTAGAAATCAATTATTATCACTTATTACCGTATTCTCTCTAATAGTAGTGCGCACCACTATTTTTTCAACCCCCTCTCGGACCGCAATACTATTAGAGAGTGCACTACTATTAGAGAGAATACGGTATATCATTCTTTTTCTTCTTTATCAACCCACTTTTCTGTGCTCTTCATGATTAGCTGAGTATTCATTGGTTTTTATGAGATCATACACTGCGAACTTCCCACCAGGTTTTAAAACTCGAGCCACCTAACAGTTTATTGTTAACATTTATGTTATTTATCGTTCCTCTTTTTACCTCTTTCATCACTCCATCCAATTTTGGAAAGTATTTCAATGAGTAAATGGCATAAGCAGAATCCTAGAACGATTTTCATTAAAGAATTCTTCAACTCTTGTCAACTTGAGACTCGTTTTCTAATGGCATTTGATGGCAATCGGCCTCAATCAATCGACAATGATCATCGATTCCTTGTTGGCGAAAATATGTGTTCCCTAGAAGTGAGCAAGTATTTTTCATCAGGAAACCTATCCAACCAATCTCCACTTCATTTGCGGCTATCGTGATCCCGGTTAGATTAGCTCCAGTGTCTTTTAAATCTCTAATCACTCCACCTAAAATCATTACTTTAGAGAAAATCCTCATCCTCTCACCAATTCCACAACCGATATCAATGCAATTCACTCCCGATTTCAGCTCTAATTCCTCACCGATTGTCTGGAATATGTTTGATGAATGATTTCAAATTTGCTACTTGATGTAATCCACGAAGTGCATCTTCTAGTAAACGTTCTCCTTTACGTGGAGCTGCGAAATGAAAGTTTCCATTGAAATATTCATCAATTACTGTAGACATCACTGAATAGTAATGGGAAGTGACCGGGCCGTGATCTCCCTGGAAACTTGAAATTTAGTTTTTTTTTTTGTATAAACTTACAGTTTCTTTTGCTTTATCGTACAATCGTCGATGTTCATCTTCAAAAGCTAGCTGAATAAAAGTTTTGTTGCAAGTTTGGTGAAATGATTGGAGTGGTTGGTTGGTTGATCGATTTCTCTCAACTCTTTTTTTTCGGTCGTATCTCTTTTGAACCGTATTGGAACTGTATTAGATCAAAAAAGAACTGTATTGGAACCGTATTGGAACCGTTTTGGAACCGTATTGGAACCGTATTGGAACTGTATTAGATCAAAGCTGAATAAAAGTTTTGTTGCAAGTTTGGTGAAATGATTGAAGTGGTTGGTTGATCGATTTCTCTCAACTCTTTTTTTTCGGTCGTATCTCTTTTGAAAAAGAGATATCTAGCGTATTACAAGCAAAAGTAAAATGCTAGAATTTAATAGAAAAACAAAAAAAAAACACTTACAAGATCATGCCGCCGAAAATGAAAGAGTAATTTGAGAAAATTGCCGCTCATATTGATGGCCATTTTGAGCTAAAATTTGTAGTAAAACTTTGAAGAAAGCCGTGAGTTTATTAAATTTTTTTCTGAAGAAGAAGGAAATCTAAAAGAATTGAAAGTGAATGAGGTGAAGAGGGCGGACATGAGGGAATGCGGGTCACAGGTAGATGAAGGTCAAAGAAAAGCGAGATCCTAGACCGAGATTTTTATTTCCCGAGAGCAAATCAATTCATTTTGTGAAAATTGCCGTTCAATTTTTAGAACTCAACGAAGAACGTTGTTTAAGCTTAAATTAATATAGAAAAAAAAATAGAAAAACACTGGCTAGAGCTCCAGGACAAATATCGACTTTGTTCTAAACTTTAAAAGAACGATCTAAGAATAAATTTTTGGAATGCTAAAGAAAATACTTGCCCTGAAACTTTTCTTGCACTTTTACTTGCCAGAATTTCCTGAAACTTTTCAATTCTTATTGTACAAGCTTTGTTTTTACCCACAAGTTTGTTAGTTAAGCGAGTTCAAAATTAGAATCAAAATTGAATGAATGAATCATTGGTGAGAGGATTTTTGACGAAGCGGTGATGAAAGTTGGTCTTGTTCGGTCGGTCGGTCCATCCTCCACCCTTTCATTTTTCTCTGTTTCTCTTTTTTTTTCACTCTACACATACTCAAAGCTCTTTTTTCTTCTTCTTCTTCTTCTGCTTCTTCTTCATGTGCTTTCAGACGCCTGCCAATACCTCTTCGTGTCGACCACCCGAATTTCTTCTCGCCTTCTCTCAAATATTTGAACAAGCAGCACCGACACACATTTCAGGAGAAGTTCTTCTTCCTCTTTTCATCCTCTTTCCCGAATTATCAAACACATGATTTTTACACGGAATTGGGGAAAGGAAAAAAAGATAATACCACTACAAAACAAGATATTTACTTACTTTAAACGTGAAAATTTAAAACCGTGAAACAAACCCGTGAATTAAGTTTTAGCGATCTATTAAACAACAATCATTAGTTTTTCTATGCAGTTTTAAGCTTTTAAGGCTTGTACTCAAGAAAAGCGAAATGATTTTGGCGAAGATTTGGAAATGTTCGCGTATTTCAAAAGTATGTTCCCTTAAAGTTCTCTTAAATTTTCTTTTTACTCGTGAAGCCAATGGAAAAACAAATAAAACAAAAGGTTTTTGGGAGTGGGACAAATGCGACCTTTTTTTTGCGCACCCGGACATTTGCGCACCTTTTTTCGCGTTTTAAAAAAGCTCTAAAAGCTAATATTAACCAATTTCTATTCCAAAAGTTGTTTTTCTAGGTAATTTTAGGGCGTAGAATCGAAATTTTGACATATCAGAGCTTGTGGAAGCGAACGGACGGAGTTATACAAAGAGAAAAATCAACAATTTTCTGTAATTTGACCTAGCCGTTTTGTCTTTCAAATTAGTTCCACACGCTCTGTTATGTCAAAATTTGAATTCGACACCCTCAAATTACCTAGAAAAACAACTTTTGGAATAGAAATTGGTTAATATTAGCTTTTAGAGCTTTTTTAAAACGCGAAAAAAGGTGCGCTAATGGGCAAGGTGCGGAAAAAAAGGTGCGCAAATGTCCGGGTGCGCAAAAAAAAGGTCGCATTTGTCCCGCTCCCAGGTTTTTTTATAAGCTTACCTTTGTATTTCATTTTTTCGGTCCGTAAACGCGACATTCCGAAGCGAATCAGATAATTTCGATTTTCAATTTTTGAGAGAAACTGGTCTCACTCCCTTTTCCTCCATTCTATACCGCGCTCCATCCGTTTCTCTCTTTCTGCTTATGAGAGCGTGTAAATTTTGATCAAAACAGCTTCCAGAAAGAAATTGTAGTCTCTATTCCTCTAGTCGCTAGTCCCCCGTTTTGTAAATCAAGCTCTTATACATTATCTGCATTTTTTTCTTGTTCTGATTTATGATTCATCAATTGTTTCAAATTTTAGAGCACGACTAGAAGAGATGAATGATACGTCATCGAATGAACAAGGAAGCTCGAAACAAGCCGATGACCCAAATGGCTCTGGTTTTGCGCCCGAATCGTCATCTAACAATGAAACGTGAGTATGAAACCTTTTTCTATACGAAAATGTAAATTTACGCTTAAGGGGTTTGTTAGAAAACGTAACATAGATAGATGTTATACACATATGGCATAGATAATGTGAATAGATAACTCGGGTCCATCATGGTTGCGCCGCGAAAATTGCGCCGTAAGCCAAAAACGAAATTTGGGCCGCCTTTGTAAAAATGATTTTGCGCCACAAAAGCAGAGGCGCAAATTAGTCGGCGCAATTTTCGTTTTTGGCTTGCGTCGCAATCTTCATGGTGCAAAATTCGCGTGCGCAAATTTCGTATGCTCAATTTTCGTTTTTGGCTTGCGGCTCAATGTTCGCGGCGCAATCGTCAAGGTCCCGATAGCTCACTTATAAATCTGGCAGAGTTAACCTTTTCTTGGGTCAATTTGGTGTCCAATTTTAGCCATAGTCACTTTGACAATTTCCCACGTAAAGAAAATTCATTTGTTTTAGCTATGATTGCAACATTTGTTTGGACACAGCCAAAGATCCGGTGATCACGATGTGTGGGCATCTTTTCTGTTGGCCCTGTCTCGTACAATGGCTCGATACTCGTCCTAACAATCAAGTGTGCCCTGTTTGCAAGTCCGGCGTTCAAGCAGATAAAGTAATTTTTTTTGACTATAACGTAGTCGCGCCTAGTTTTTAATCAAAAACAAAATGTGTATTTTGTTTGTTCGTTCTTTGTTTAAAATCTTCAGAAATTATTTTTTTTAGGTGATTCCATTGTACGGACGAGGAGGAAACAACGTTGATCCACGAACGAAAGTACCTCCACGTCCCAAAGGACAGCGAACAGAAGCACAGCAGGTAGCTTAAGCTTATTTCTTTTGCATTAGAAATAATTTTTTTCCTTGTTTTGCCAAATATATTATGCATTCTTTAGGGATTTCCCGGTTTTACCTTTGGCGACGGAGGCGGTGTTCAGTTTTCGCTGGGCATTGGAGTAAGTGTTTTTTTGTTTTTTGAGAGCCTAGCCTTTACTCAATTGAACAAAGAGAGGAAAAACCCCATTAAAATCTTATTATTTAGGTTTTCCCGTTTGGTCTTTTTGCACAGTTTTTCAATGGCGGAGGTTTCGATCGTCGTCCCGATCCACCTGAACCCGGTAGTCGACAATACCAAGAGGTAGCTTTAAATAAATAATCCAATTTATTTTTATTTTCCACTCTAGGAGCGCTTCCTCGACAATGTCTTCATGTATTTGGGAATTTTCTTCATTCTTTGGTTACTTCTTGTTTAAACGGTAGTTTAATGTGTGTTCACAGCCACAAAAAAGCTTTTGTTATTATTTTTATGTCTCGTAAAAAAACTTTGCAAAATAAAGGAATTTATTTGCAATAGCGAGATTCAAATTTTAAACGAATGACGTTGCATAATTTTAAATGACGGCTGTGAACATAAAAAACATACGCGCTTCATATCATGAATTTCTGTTAACTGTGTTTGTTTAGTGCCACCTAGCAATTCGATTTTGTATAGCCAACTATACTCTAGTTTTTAAGTAATTCTCCTGTTGGATTACTCGGCATTGTCTCTTTTAATAAATTCCTCAAATCTAAATCTAAAGATGTTTACCGTAATAGTCATTACTGTATGGTTCGTCTATTCCAAACCCAAATGTGATAACACTGCAAATACGTATAAAAGTTTTATTACTAAAGTTCTCATGTTTATGATTTCTTTACATGGTTTTAGGGGTGAGCTTTCGGTATTTTGCGTGTGACTGCATGGTAAGACGATTTTTCGACGAGAGAGGAGCACTCTGACAAACGAATTTCTGAGGAGTAGAACAATCACCGGAAAACCATTCGATCTGTAAAAAGCGCTGATTACAATAGAATTCACAATTCACCTTCTTATCGGATTTTTGTTTCGAATACAAACAAGCCTCTGTTGCAGTCGATTTGTGAATGATTGGATTGAAAGCGGTAGATTTTGGCTGAAACAAGCTATAAGCACTTTTGCCAGCATGTTAAAACCTTGACTCCATTGTCCCATTGAAGTTGACCGTTGATCAGCTTACCACCAAGCCATAATTGCACATCGGACCATTTGTTCACTAAAAATTGAATAGGCTTTTGTTGAGTTCTGTGACTAATGCCTGCAAATAGAAGATCGTTCGTCTGATCATCGTTCACTACCGGCAAAAAGGCTCCTTCGTGAGCACTGGCACAGGCGCTTGCAGCTTGATCTCGTTCTAATGCTCTCTATCAATTGTCATTTTTCTTTACAACTAACCAGCAGCCACATCAGATGGCAAAAAGCATCCACCATCGGGCGTTTTTCTCGTCCCATTCGAAAGTGGGTAATGACCGGCAGCACAGTAACAGTTAGCTAGAATAAATTTCAGAGGAACTCAAAATTCGAGTTAATACCATCACATAGAGCCTCAAGAAGATCACTGGAGTGTAGTTGTTCAAGAGCTGTGCTTAAAACGTAGCCTTCAGAAGCAAGCTCGCGAATTGCAGGCACATGAGCGCCTCGAGCTGAGACAAACTCTAAAAAAAACTCAATCAGTGCCTTTTATGTGAAAACCGATTGCAATCAGCACTCCTCCATCCTCTCTGAAATCATTTCCGATTTCAATTGGCATTGAAGCAATGGTACTAAAAATTTTGAGCTTAATAAATCTTTGTGATGAACTCAAGAGAAGCTGCGAAAAGCACGGCCACTTTGCGCACATTTGCACGATGATCTTTCTGGAAGAGCTCGGTTGCTTTGCGGAGAGCACTGGAGAGTTTAGAGATGATGAGATTAGAGATGGAATTTACACACCTCTCCGCGTCATTGACCACTCCACCCAAAAACGGAATATCGAGTTTCGCCATCAGTTCAGCAGTGGATCCATAAGTGGTAAGATCGGCGACAATTTGCTGAATCTCTTTTTAAGAAAGTACGAATAGTTTTTCTACTGGTTCATCCGCATACGTGATGACACCGACTCTTAATTGTGATGGGCTGATCGTCGTTTGCATTAGAGTTGTCTCGATGAATAGCTCTACCTAGAGCTTTTTGTTTAGTGCTAGAATTTCTAGATTCTTCTCGATATTTCGATATTTCTTTGACCTGTTGTAGTCCGACTTTCGAAACAGCTTCCGTACTTTCAACGACAAAAATCACGTCAAGCCATAGTGAATCCACCAAGCAGGGACATTGATCCGAGACTGCATCCACATCACGAACTCCACTCAACCATATAACTAAGAAAATCTTTAATATTCTTCTAGAAAATCTTAGAAAATTGTTTTTCTCACAAAAATTGCCTCTATTTTTACTCTCTCGAATAATTATGACAATTATCCGGCCTTAATCAAAAAGAAAATGCGGTTCCTGAAAAACAAAACGAACTTTCAACCTTTCCCCTCAAATATTAATCTATTTTTTCGCGCATTCTTTATTTCCGCGTAATAAGTTTACGGGAAAAGTTTTATGATTTTATTCATTTTATGAATGGATTTGAAAAAATGACTTACTCATAAAAAGCGAGAAAAGTTTTGACGAAAGCATTCTCAGCTTTGAAAAAGTTTGAGAACGAATGTTTCTTGAAGAATGCGATCCCACTGTGCCTTTTCTTTGCTTATCAACACATTTAATAATCCGATCATCATTTTTTTTGTGCCTTTTCGGTATTTGTAGTTTCGGTTTCAGGAAAATGATGAAACTGGGCATATTTCAGCAATGATGAGGGAAATTTTTTATAACAAATGCTTCTGCTGTTTTTGCTGTGAAATGTTTGGAATGGGGTTGAGAAAAGATAGATAGCGTCGGGGAGTGCGGGACGGGATCGACAGGCCCCTAGGGCCCCTGGGGCCCTCGACGAGAAATCTCAAAATTTAAAGGTGTCCTTTTTTTTGTTCGACTAAGAATGATTTATTCTTTGCATTTTGCTTTTCGCTTTTTTGAAAGCTGTAAAACCCCCCAGTTTTCTTTCTTTGTTACCCGTTGAGCTTTGAATACAAATAGCCTAAATAGCCTAAATAGCCTAAAGATGTCTATAGATGTTTACACACACACAAAAAAACACAACGCCATCTTTTCAAGCAATGTGTCACCAAGAGTTCAAGTGACTCTAGAAAAAAAGGGAACTTTTGAAAAATGTCTTTCCAATAGACTTGTTGTTTTTGTGATCATGTTTTGCCCAAAATCCCGGAATACGAAAGTAAGATAGTTTTCTTTTTTCTCTTGCGTATTTCCCTATGTTAATCTAAAGTTGTTATAGCGGCTGTGAACGGATTGAACTCAGCCATTCACAGGCACAAGAAAGAAATCCTGCAACTAATACCTGCAAATAGAAGATCGTTCGTCTGATCAGCGTTCGCTACCGGCAAAAAGGCTCCTTCGTGAGTACTGGCACAAGCGCTTGCAGCTTGGTCTCGTTCTAATGTTCTCTATCAATTGTTGTTGTTTTTGTGATCATGTTTTGCCCAAAATCCCGGATACGAAAGTAAGATAGTTTTCTTTTTTTTCTCTTGCGTATTTCCCTATGTTAAACTAAACTTGTTATAGCGGCTAGTGAACGGGTTGAACTCAGCCATTCACAGGTCCAAGAAAGAAATTCCCATTTTTCCGCATAAAAAGCAACACCCGAGAAAACACCTCTTGCTCGCGAAAATTTCATAAGCAAGTCTAAAGTTGAGATCACATAAAAGGCTTCTACGTCCTACATCGTTGAAAGTATCAAAGGCAATAGGAAATGTTGTGGGATGAGAGGGGATGAGAGGGGGTGTCCCATGGGAGTGCTCGATCACTTCCACGTCGTCGATTATCTTGAAATCTTGCCGCTTTCATGAATGACGCTTCTTCTTTTAACTCTTCCTTTCAGCATATCCTCAAATCCCAACAGGAAATGCTTATTTTAACCCTTTTTTTGGAATTTCTTTTGCCTTACACAAATAGCCTTGACTTTTCACCTTTTACCGAGTCTAAGCTTTTGAATAAAAGATCGTGTGTTGTGGGTGAATGGCTAAAGCGCGACTCTGCACAAGGCTTTCTCTACAATTCTGAATGATTCATTGGTAATATTTTGTGTATTATGATTGTTTGTTGTTTTTATTTGTAATTTGTTGTACTTTATGAGTCACATTTGTATTGAGGATGAAAAGCGAATTGGTGGAGTGCCTCAAATAGCTAAAGACTCCATTCGAAAAGCAATAAATTGATCGTCCATTCGTTTTTGCGTGTCAATGAGCAGCTACTCATTTTCACGCAGCTCATTCACCGCTGGCCAAATTGTCTTCAATAATTCTTGACCTTTCCCCTCACTCTTATCAACGTTTCTCTATTAATTCTCATTAAAGTTGTTTTCTTGTTTTTGATTCTTATAATATATAGTTAATAGATTTTTCTTTGATTTAGGTCTTTAATAGATTTTTCTGCGTCCAGAAAAACATGGGTGTATAACGGCAGTGTCTGTTAATCTTTTAATGTTTTCATAGCAAAGACAACGTTCATTGAATTTCATTGAATTTCATTGAAATTCAAAACAAAGACAACAAAAAAGCAAGAGAACGTCCTGCGATCTGGGGCCGAACCTACGACCCCCAGATCTAAAGACCGGGACGCTATCCCCTCGGCCACATCCCCTTCTGCTAAACCCGAAAAATTTTCCGCTACATGGACAGACAGACAGCCTCAGTAGATTGAAGGGGTGATTTCTCAACCGGTGGGAGTAAATTGAGAGAGAAAAGGTGTGAGTGGGGGTGGAGTGCAAAAAGGGGAAAGCATTGGCGGGCAATTTTTGGTCTTTGACTTCTCAGGCAATCTCAGGACGCGGGTCTACACACCAACTCGCGAGGGCACCACTTCCGTCCGCGTTAGCAGTTGGGGAACAGACCGCCACAACACCCCCCCCCCCCCATCTCTATCTGCTCCACATCGAATTTGCACTTCATTTCCCTTGCCCCGGTTCGTCGAAGCAACTTCTTCTCCGAAAATTTTTGCCTCTTTCCCTTTCCACTTTGACGGGTCGGTGCCCTCAATTTCACTCGGGCCCCATAACAACTTGTCTCATTCTGGCTTTATTGCCACCTTTCTTGTCGATTTGGTTATTTTAAGTCATCCTTACGAAATCGGTTAAATTTCAGAATTTTTCTTGAAAAGTTTTTGTTAGAACCGATGTTTGTGGATTCATTCATAAGGTTTATCTTTTTGCTGAGTGTATCTTAATTAGGATTTGAATTCAACACCTCCAGACGCCTCCAGTTCGTGTTTAATTGCTTACTCAATTCGTTACATCTATTTTTATTTCAAAAACCCAAGATCTCATTCAGTTTTTTTTTTAAAAACTAAAGTATTGGGTTGGTGAATTGAAAACTGCCGGCTATTGTCATATGTGACAGTTTGAGCACTTTCTTCAAAAGAAACCCATTTTGGTGTCAATGGAAAAGTTGTAGAGAATCAAAAATCAAGCTTATATCCAAATTTTCAGAACGATTCAAAAACTGGTTTTCAAGAAATGCGAAATTTACGAATTTTCACAAAACTTGCAACAAATCTTGCATTTTAAGCGAAACTGCTAAGTGTATCTTTTTGGAAATTTGGCTATAAGCCTCATTTTTGATTCTCTACAACTTTTCTATTGACACCAAAATGGGTTTCTTTTGAAGAAAGTGCTCAAACTGGGACATCTCCAGTCCTCCATTTTTGAGTCTCACACTTGTCTCACACACAAACCAAAATCAAACCAAAGAGGAATCCGCAAATTGCCTGTAAAATGGGCAGAAATTGTCAATAATAATGGAAATTATTTGGAATGAATTGATGGTTTTATGTTGAATAAATTTTAGTTCAAAGTCCGGAAGTTTTCAATTCACCAACCCAATAGAACAGCATTTTGTTGCGTTAATCTTTGCACTCTTGCGATAAAAAGCTCCAGAGAGGAAAATAAGACAAGATCATGAATTATGAATTGTGTGGATTGGCCAGACGTTTCATTGTGTTTTGATTTTCGTTTCATTTAGGAGAAAACTCTCATGACTATCGGAAAATGCTAATAAACAGACAAAAGACAAAGCAATCTACGAAATATGCGGCTGAAAAGGAATGTTTTTGCGTGTTCGGCTCACCAAATTCGGTATTCCTCGTGGCCAAAAAAAAAGGAAAAAAAAACCCAAAAGCCTTTTGAGCGAAATTGCTGTGTCGATCCGACCACTCGTTTCTTTATTTTTTTTTTTCAGAGAGACAGAGAATCTGAAATGGTCACTCAAGAAAATCCGACTCTTCATCTAACTCTTGAATCAAACAAATTAATCACTACTCAAAAATTCTTGTTTTCCATCTAATCCTAATGCTTTTTGCTTTCTCCTGAAAGCCCCAGACGTATGATTCTTGATTTCTTTAATCTTTTTTTCTTAAAATGAAAGCCACTTTCGACTAATTGTACGGCTTTGAAATTGGCACTTTTCATTGTTTTCGTTTTTGAAAATTTCACATGATTTTTCTCGAAAAGTTTAGAGGGGAAACTATAGAGATTTGTAGGGGAAACTATAGAGATTTGTAGGGGAAACCATAGAGATTTGTAGGGGAAACTATAGAGGTTTGTAGGGGAAACTATAGAGATTTGTAGGGGAAACTATAGAGACTTGTCTCAAATTTCACAAATTTTATGGTTAATTCTTTCTCACAAAGAGCTGAGCTCTTAAAATTGCGTTTTCTTGATCGACGGAGTCAATTTAAAACTTTGATCTATTAAAAGCTCTTTCTACAGGGTGACCAGAATTAACGTTGCGGGATTTTCGCCGCATGGAAGTCAAATTTTGAATTGAAATCCATAGATCTTTTAAGTCAATTCCTTTAAGCTCAAGAGATTTGTCGACTCCTGTACCCCAAGTGAGCCAAGGTTTACCTACATCGATGTCATTGCCACCATTCCCTGTACCTTCACCTATGCCATCGCTTCAATTCCCTTTCACTGATCCTACACCGATTTTATTCTATTCTATTATTTTAAGGGAAAGCTGCACTCATTTTTTTTACGAGTAATTTCTTGGAGTCGACTTGTAAATAATATAATAAAATGTTCTTGAATTGGTGGATTCGTTTTTAAGAAATTCCATTCAAACTTTTTCCGAGAACTTTCTTTCCAAACTAATAGCTTTGATTTCGGGGGAAAAACATGACTCAAAAAAGAAGTTATAGCAATTAAAAATTCGTAGGGGCGTTCGTGAGTGTAATTTCGAAATCGAAAAATTTCGCATTCCAATTCCCAAAGTAGTTTTCCTCTCGATCTCCATAAAGCATTTGATGACAAATCTGTGCTTGTTGAACTCCTCTCCACCTTGGCTAGTTTTAAAGCCGCAATTTTCGGCAATTGATTTGACTGCTCTGTGATTCTTTCTTGAGGTATCTATTTATCTTTTGGGTGTGTTTTGAGTGCTATAATTATTGTGATTTTGTTTTATCGCTATTCAACTGAATAAAGCATATATATATATGTCGTAGCCGCTTACGAAATTCAGCCGATTACGAATCATTCGTTAACGGCTAGTCGATTACGAATCATTCGTTAACGGCTGAATTTCGTAAGCGGCTACGACATATATATGTTGTGTCCGATTTAGATTTCCGTCCGATTTAGATTTCCGTCCGATTTAGATTGAACTTATCGCGGACGTCCGATTTAGATTACAGTCTATATCGGACGTCCGATTTAGATTCAATCTAAATCTTATATAGATTGAACAATAATACGTCTTATATAGATTGAACAATAATATAAACATGCTTAATATATGTTCTTAAGCGTTTTCTGTAGTTTTCTGCATTTTTCAAAGGTCTTTTATTGATTACAGTCTATATCGGACGTCCGATACAGATCGAACAATAATAAACGTGCTTAATATCGACAATAAAATTTCTTTGAAAAGCGCAGAAAATTGCAAAAAAACGCTTAAGAACATATCTTAAGCATGTTTATATTATTGTTCAATCTATATAAGATTTAGATTGAATCTAAATCGGACGGAAATCTAAATCGGACACAACATATATACACTACTGGACAATGAAATATCATAATTGAAAAAAGATCGTCACTTTTGCGCGTCTATAACTCCTTTGTCTTTACCTTAGCACGTTTATTATTGTTCGATCTGTATCGGACGTCCGATATAGACTGTAATCTAAATCGAACGTCCGCGATAAGTTCAATCTAAATCGGACGGAAATCTAAATCGAACACAACATATATATCAATCTTTCTCCCTTTCCTGAATTCTTCTCATTTCACGCCATTTCCTATTTACGGCTATCGAGTGAGAAGTTCTTTTCACGAGAAATAAAAGGAACATCCAATTTTGAGTACCTAGAAGTGTTGATGGGAGGCAGACTCGAGTGTGTTCACGACATCAACTTTAATTACAGAGAAATACCTCTTCTTTTGTTCTCAAATAAATCAAAGGGACACAATTTGTCTCGCCTTTTCTTGAAAAACATTTTGACGGTGTTTTCTTTTATAAAATTGTTTTTTTTTATTCCTTTGAAATTCTAGCTTTATCTGCTCTTTAAAAGCTTTCTTTCTTTCTTTCTTTTAAGGATTTAAATTTCTATTAAATCCCTTTAAAAGTTTTCTTTCTTTTGAGAATTGAAATCTATATTAGATTTTATTCCAGACTGAAAGTGGAGGGTTTTGCGTGAAGCTAATTTTCCTTATGACGGTTTGTGACGGTGATCCTCCTCTATTCGATCTCACCTCAAATGGCACAAAAGCTTTCCTACAACAATTAGCAAATTTTCAAGAGTTTGTAACTTTTAAATAATAAAGATTATAATAAAGAAAGAAAGAAAGAAAGAAAAACTAGAATTTAATGTTTCAAGGTATTTTCTAGAACAAAAAGAAAAAGAACTTCTTTTCAAAGGACTTTCGAGGAACTTCTTTTCAGTTCCTACTCGGCGGTGCATCGATGGCTGTGCGTGATGATTTGTATGTTGGGCATTGTCCTCAATACAGCCCACATTTTTGTGCTCTCACGGAAACAAATGCGAATATTTGCAATCAATAGTGAGTTAGATGAAAAATATTGCATTTTTGCAATCTCCAAAAAGCTCTCCAAAAAGCTTAGCCTTTTAGTGAAACAAAAAAGATTCTCAATAAGATTTAATCATTTCTGGAAGGTTCAGTGATAAGCGAACTTTTAAAATGTACCGTAAATACTATAATCGTACCCCACCCGGATAATGACGGTGCGGAGCGTTGCGTAGTCTAGCTTTGGACGAGTTTTTCTCGACACTGGTTTATGCTACAATAGCAATACAATTATCAAAAAATAGCCCTGAATTTCAGCTATTTTTTGATACTAAAGACGCATTTTTTGAAAGTACGGATGCTTTGAAAAACAATGAAATACTAAAAAACTTTTGCGACTACGCGACTGTACGGGTCCAATTACAGTATTTACGGTAGTTTAAGGTATTCTTTGCGTGATGGCGGTGTGCGATGTGGTGACAATGATATCCTATCTCATATATATTGTTCGTTTCAAAATTCTCGACAATGATGCTCATCAAATGGGGTAAGTGAAACAAGAGCTTTTTCCTATTACCTTAAAAAAAGTACTTTAACCGTCTAACGGGTTTCCTTATACAGCGATTCACCAATCAACTTTTAACATTTGCATTTTCCCTCATTGATGTTGGCAAATCCATTTGGAGAGCAACGAAACACTCCATTTGACACCATCGTATAGCAACAAAAAAAATCGCCTCCCGACATATCTTTTAGAATAGAATTTCAAGAAACAACTAGAAAGAAACAAGCTTTTAGCTTGTTTCTTTCTAGTTTCTTTCTTTTAGCTTGTTTCAAGCTTGGTTGTTGGTAAGAAAGTGCGAAAGAGAATCCATTACCATCAAAAAATCTCAGCCTTTATTCAAAAAACACTTTTAATAAAAGAAATAAAGGCTGAGATTCTGAGATTGAGATTTTGAGATTGAGCTGAGATAAAAGTCTTTTATACAGCGTAGCGCAAACTTTGCGCAAACTCGCAAACTTATGAAAACTCGGTTTTTCGATCGTAACTTCAAGCCCAATTATTCTATTTCCATAATTTCATATTTATATGAAATTTCAAGTTAATTTCTCCGGTCAATTTCACTTTTAAGTTCAGAAACACAGTGTTACGCTTTTTTTATAGTACTTCGAAGTTCAGAGGTGCCACCCTCTCGGCAGAAACTCTGTTTCGCAGGATTTGCACATATTTTCAAGAATTTCCCGCTTCGTATTTGCTCATTTTTTGCTTTTTATTAAGAAATAGAAATATCTCGAGCATTTCACATCAGAAGATTTTCAATAATTTCAAAATTTTGAAAGCCAATCCCCTGAAAGCTGAACAGAGCACAGCGATCTGTATAATAACTCCTAAATCATTTCTGATTTGCTGTCTTGCAAAGTTTATGCATTCATTTTATGATATTTGTCTAAATTTAACTAAGAAGTGGAAAAAAAACTAAAAGAATTTGGTTGATTTGGTTGATTTGTGATTTCTTGAGAGTTAAAAACTATCGAAAACAACTTCTAAACTTCGAAGTATTATAAAAGGCGTAACACGGTGTTTTTAAACTAAAAATTGAAATTGATCGCATTGAAATTAACTTAAAATTTTTATATAAATATGAAATTAGAGGAATCGAATGATTGAGCATAGAGTTAGAATCGAAAAACCGAGTTATGTTTGCTGGATTACGCTATTTAGTGTAGATCGGGTATTCAGTCTACTTTAGCTTGATTACGGTATTTCGTGTAGATTGTGTATTCAGCTTAGAATAAGGTATTCAGTTTACTTTAGCTGGATTACGGTATTTAGTGTACAAACTTTGCGAGTTTTTACTCGCTATAAACATAATATCATTTTTCTCATAAGCTTTTCCGATATAATGTAACTAATTTTGAGGTTGGACAATTTATTCAAAAATATTTATTTATTTATTCAAAAACAAGCTATAAACTAAATTACGCTATTGAAAATTGTCCAGAATGAAAATTTCTGTCAAAAATTTTCCTTTTAAACACGATTAACCACGAACTAGCCCTTGACGGGTTACGGTAAACAACTTATAAGAAAAATACCCATTTCCATCGTTCCATAATCGTGCGCCACCCCTTTACATATAAACATAAACATCAACGCAAAAGCAAAACCACAAATCACTCTATAAGGTATCCAATTTTTTGATTTCTTTTGATACCTAATAATAAGAAAGAGCCAAAATAAATAATAATAATAATAAAAAAAACCCTCAAAATTCAGCTATCCCTACATTTGGCTGATCTTCTTGATGTACCACGTGGTTGCATCGATCGCTTTGCACACAGTATCGCTGTATTTGAGTGTGATCATGGCATATATCAGGTTGGAAATCTGCTTAAACTTTGCGAATTTTCAACTAAACACTAAAAAAAGCTTGTAAATACTGTAATTGGACCCCCCCCCCCTCTAATAGTACCCCACCCTAGAGGGGGAGGGAAAAAATAGTACCCCATGGGGTCCAATTACAGTATTTACGGTAATCATTTAAACAATTTCCACAAGAAAAGCGAGGAAATTTTTTTTTCAGATGGACGGCTCTTGATCGACTTGATAGTAAATGGGTTCGAAGTCGATCTGTTGGGTGAGACTTAACTTAAAGTTTACTTCACCAATAACCAATCACAATAAAACTTCACTTAGCACAACCCTTTAGTCACATATTTTTCTTCACTTGTTTGGTGGTGGCAGCGGTTTCGATACCCACATTGATGGTGCATCGAATTGTCCCCGTCAAAGAAGTATTGCCTCCAGATTTTGGATACAATTACTCGGTGAGTTTACATTTTTTTTAATGATTCAAGTTGTTTTTTGATCATCCAAAGAGTCAATCTAGTTAAATATCTAAAAAAAACGTTGCACAAATTTGCATCGATTTCAGTTGGATGGCCTTTACACAGTGACTTTGGATGAACAGGTACTCGCCCATGGGTGTCTTCTCTTCAAAATAAATCTCTGGATTACTGGGATTTGTTTTAAAGTTTGTGAAAAGTTTTCTTTATATAATTCCTTTAAATTTTAGGCTTTTCCTTGTTTTTTACTCTTTTGGTTCACTTGTGCATTGATTCACAAATTGTGCGAAATGAGTGAGAAACGGCGAAGACTTCGCGGAACCGATCCACCGTCGGGGAGTGTTGAATGGAGCACGATGAATGCCTATTCGACAATTAATAATGCTAGGTTGGTTTTTAGTAATATATTTAGGCAATATACTTACCGTGAATACTGCCATATGATGGTGCGGAGTGTTGCGTAGTCTAGCTTTGAACGAGTTTTTCTCGACACTGGTTTATGCTACAATGCGCGCTTAGGTATCAAAAAATAGCTGAAATTCAGGGCTATTTTTTGATACCAAAGACGCTTTTTTTGGTATCAAAAAATGCGTAGTCTAGCTTTGAACGAGTAGCTGTTTGATCTTATTTTTTACAGCTGTTTGATTTGTTACTTAGTCGTAAATACTGTAATAGTACCCCACCCGCATAATGACGGTGCGGAGTGTTGCGTAGTCTAGCTTTGAACGAGTTTTTCTCGACACTGGTTTATGCTACAATGCGCGCTTAGGTATCAAAAAATAGCCCTGAATTTCAGCTATTTTTTGATACCAAAGACGCATTTTTGAAAGTACGGTCGCTTTGAAAAAAATGAAATACTAAAAAAACTTTTGCGACTACGTGACTGTACGAGAGCGGTGGGGTACTATTACAGTATTTACGCTAGGCAATATACTAGACAATAAACTTATTTTAATGTCTCAAATTTGTCTCAAAAAAAGATTCAGAAAGAAGAAATTAGCGGTGGATAAAACGACCGTGATGCTCATCATCATGTTGACCGTTTTCCTGTGCACCGAATTGCCTCAAGGTTTGGGAAAAAATGAAAAACCACAGTAGAATTTTCTCTAAATAGCTGACAATGAGATTTTTCAGGGCTCCTCGTCATACTGAATGCAATTTACACCACTCACGTCCACTATTATGTGTATTTGAATCTCGGGGAGGTGGGCTAACAAAATAAAAGCTAACAAGGGAAAAGCACCGAGTCAAGCTGGCTTTTTGACTTGAGACCAAGTTCATTTTATTGAGTTGTCCATAGGATCTTGAATCCGCTTTTAGTTTTTGCATAACGCTGCTCACGTCTTCGCAATAGAGAAATTTCGGATTCCTTAAGAAGCCGTCACAAGTTTCCCGCAGCTGTTTCCACGGTCTAGAGGATAGTCTGCTAGAATACTGAACCTATTACACCCCTTGCCCCAAGTTCGAGTCCCACTCTCGCCAAACTTTTTTGCTTTTTTTAAAAATCTCTCCCTACGTATTTGTAATGAAGAAACGAGTTGAATTTTATGCACCGCTTTCTGTATCTTTCAGAAATGTGTTAAAATGTTGAATGTTAATTCAGTAATATGTTTAAATGTTTCAAAAACAAATGTCAAACTCTTTAATGTTTATCTAATGATTCTGATACTTTGGAAGGTTGCAGCTTTTGTAAATTATTTGTTGAAGTCACAGAAATCTGTGTATAAAACTCGAGTCAATCATTCAATGCGTAAGGAAACCGTTTTTTTGTTAAAACAAAAAGAGTTTGACGAGAGTGCGACTCGAACTAGAGGGTAAAGAATGTAGGCTCGGTAGTCTAGCAGACCACTAGACCAATATCCACTAGACCACTGTCCACTATCCACTATCCACTAGACCACTGTCCACTAGACCACTATCCACTAGACCACTATCCACTAGACCACCGATGCAAGAAAAGATCAGGATAATTCGGTGCCTTTTCTTTGTAAAGACTTAAAAGAATCATGCTGACCATGATCTTTAGGTGTTGGACTTGCTCTCGTTGGTCAACTGCAATGTGGGCTTTGTGCTGTATTGTTTCATGTCATCTCGGTATCGGGCCACTTTCCGAGCCGTTTTCCTCACACCGCTCACTCGACCAGCGAACTCAAATACCTACACATTGCACTCATTTAAAGCTCTTATCACTTGAGAATCCTTAGAAGTTGGACTTGCTTTTTTTAAACTAAATATTACAAAATTTAAAGCACTTGTACAGCTTTTTTTTGGTTCTAGAAGCTGAAAAGGTAGTTAAATTATTGTATTCAGTTCAAAAGATATACTTTAAAGTAATTCCAGGGACACGATACAGTAATCGTTTCCCATATATTACATTGTTTTGACGATAAGCAAGTCTAGCAAACGCTTCAACAATGTTTGTATGTATTGTGTTTATCTCAAAAGCCTTACAAAGGTTTATTTCTGTTCTCAAGTATTTCTGTTCTTAAATATTTCTGTTCTCAGATACTTCTGTTCTCAAATACTTCTGTTCTCAGATATTTCTGTTCTCAGATACTTTTGTTCTTAAATACTTCTGTTCTTAAATACTTCTGTTGTCAAATACTTCTGTTCTTAAATACTTCTATACTTAAATATTTCTGTTCTTAAATACTTCTGTTCTCAGATATTTCTGTTCTCAGATATTTCTGTTCTTAAATCCTTCTCTTTTCAAATCCTTCTCTTCTCAAATCCTTCTCTTCTCAAATCTTTCTCTTCTCAAATCCTTCTCTTCTCAAATCCTTCTCTTCTCAAATCCTTCTCTTCTCAAATCCTTCTCTTCTCAAATCCTTCTCTTCTCAAATCCTTCTCTTCTCAAATCTTTCTCTTCTCAAATCCTTCTCTTCTCAAATCCTTCTCTTCTCAAATCCTTCTCTTCTCAAATCCTTCTCTTCTCAAATCTTTCTCTTCTCAAATCCTTCTCTTCTCAAATCCTTCTCTTCTCAAATCCTTCTCTTCTCAAATCTTTCTCTTCTCAAATCCTTCTCTTCTCAAATCCTTCTCTTCTCAAATCCTTCTCTTCTCAAATCTTTCTCTTCTCAAATCCTTCTCTTCTCAAATGCTTTTTATGTCTCATTTATTCCTTTATATGCTTTTTTCGTGTAAAATTTACGGGTCTTTTTTTTTCACGGCCAAAATCTTCTTTTCTCTCGTGGTATTTATCACTTTTTTCCCCTCTAATGAACTCACAAAATTGAAAAACGAGACGAAAAATAAATACTGTATTTTGTCCAATAATTCCTGATTCACAAACACACAAAAAGCAACCATATTTCCCCTTCTTTTCAAAATTTGATATGATAAGCTATGCAAAAAAAATCTTATAACTAAAACTATTGTAAAATCTCAGCCTTTTCAACATTATAGTAAGCTAATTTTAAAGTATAAAGCTCAAAAATTTTGTAAACTAATCCTAAGACTTAGAAAGATAAAAATATAAATAAAAACTTGTTTCTAAGGAAAAATTTTTGCACATAATTTGTACTAAGTGGTGCCGACAAAAGAAAATTCGGAAAGAAAAAGCTATTCAAAGAAAGGAAAAATGTTCATTGTTTGCTAATTTAGCTTAAAAAAAACTATTACCGTATTTTCTCTAATAGTAGTGCACCCCGGCGAGCCGAGTTGGTGACGATTTTACGGTTTCCCAAACTTCTCCCAGAAACCCAACACTCAAATCCCCCACAAGATCTCATTGTCAGCTACATTTTCCGACCCCACATCGATAGGTTCTGATAAGCGGTTCTCGAGATTTCGAGGAATTTAGGCGAAGCTCAGGGTGCACTACTATTAGAGAAGTCTAAATTTGTCTATCTATTGGGAAAAAGGTTGTCCGGATTATATAACGAGCCGGTTGATCACTGCTTTACGTTTCCAAGTTCTCACAGAAGCTCAACACTCAAATCCCCACTAGATCTCATCGTCAGCTACATTTTCCGACCCCACATCGATAGGTTCTGATAAGCGGTTCTCGAGATTTCGAGGAATTTAGGCGACGCTCATGGTGCACTACTATTAGAGAAAATACGGTAATAGAATTGAAAAATTACTAAAATCAAAAAAAAACTCTAGGCTTGATTGTCTTTTTCTTGAAGTGGGACCTCCTCTTCGACTTTTTCACTTGGTTTCACTTTTGCCCATTCCTCAACTTCGCCCTGGAATCCGAATTGCCACTTTGATACTTATTTTTATACGAATTTTATCTATGAAATTTTAAAAACGAATACAATATTATTTCTGTTTCGATATTTTTAGATAAAAATACCTTTGCAAGAAGGGCGAAAAGAGCCGCACCGACCACCAAAATCCCCCCAGTCAACCACATGATCACTTGCCATTCGCCTCGAGTTCCCTAAGATATTAATATATTCAATTATATTAATATATTAATATATTCGGTACTTGTGAATCCGTTGCACGCAAATCATTCGGAAAATTTGCATATAAACTGTTTGTAATGAATTTTCTAAAAAAAACGTTTGGAAACACCTCTAATCCTTAGTAGCTTGAGTAACCTTGCACTCATTTAAGAGCTTTAAATGAGTGCAATGTGTAGGTATTTGAGTTCGCTGGTAGTAAAGTAAAAATGTAAGAATGCGGTCCGCGGATGGCACATCACATGGTTTCCTAGAGCACCTGCGGTAGGTCAATAAAAAAAAACACGGTGTAACGCAGGTCACTTCCCGTCACTTCTTATCACTTCTCATCACAGGCTAGCACGAGCGTCGCCTACATCGCCTAATTTAAAAGCCATTTGAAACCCTTTAGCAGATTTCAAATGCATATTTGCACATATATTAATGCAAATTTTGTAATACAAATCTTGTAATACAAATTTTTTAAACAAATACTAATTGGGTAGTATGCGTGCAACAGATTTACGAGTACCAATTATTCTTTTTTTTATTTTAAACTTAAATATCATAAACTTAGAATTGAAATATCTTACATTTGGTGTGAGTTTTTTGGTGATAATTGGAGAAAGCATGCCACCAAAGCACGACAAAGTGTTCCCAATGCCCATGATTGTTCCCGAAAATGGCGGAGCAATGTCCAAATAGTTTACCACAAATCCAGAATACTGGAAATCGTTTTAAACTAAATTATTTATCGTCTTTTTACCTGGAATCCAGAAATTCCAGTGCCAATGATTAAGAAAATGATGAAAAGCGTTTCTTGGCCACAGTTACAGTGTGCAGCTAGCACCAAGAAGACGGCTTGACCGACGAGGGCTGAAAGTTAAATGCAAATTGATTGTCTGTCTGTCTGTCTGTCTGTCTGTCTGTCTGTCTTCTTTTCTTTCTTTCTTTCATCCTTTCTTCCTTTCTTCTTCTCCTTTGTCTTTCCCTCTTTCTCTTGACAAGTTAAGGATAGCTTAGTGGTTAGAAAGCAAAAGCAAGATTGCCTGGAAAGGGAAACATCGAGGGTTCAATCCCCTTTCCGGAAAACTTTATTACCTAAAACCATAGCCAATCTTCGTGTGTTCAATGTGCTGAGAATCCTCTTTTCTCGTAGAGTATCCGCTGCGGCACCTCCACAATTAATCGCGATAAAGTAAGCCAAATATGGAGCAGCGGAAAGGAAACCGAGCTGAAATTTGAGTAAACTATATAAGTACGCTTTCATGGATTATTGTACCTAATACTTACCGAACTGAGGCTGACTCCGAGGACATCTTTCAAAAACGAGGGCAACACTGTCATCATCGTGTAGGCACCCCAATCACCCGCAAAATGTCCCAACCAACACGCCCAAACCGCTCGAGATGTCAACATTTTTAACCAAGGAGTTGCTGGCGGCTAAAGATGAATATAAAGATCGATTTCTTTTAGATTTCTTTATTTCTACCTTGTCAGTACTTTTTCCCATTGTTTCTTCTAGTGATCCCTCAATGTAATCCCTTTCCTCTTTTGAGATTCTCTTGTGAGTGCTCGGTCGATCCGAGGTGAAGAAATGCCAAAGTCCACACCACAAAACTCCAAGAACACCTGGGAATTGATTTTTTTCAAAAAAAAATGTTAACCTTTTTACCGAAAGAATAGAAGATCGACGGCCATCCTCCATCAAAACCACGCTCGCAAAGAACGCCAGCAATTGATAGAACCAACATGTTGCCGATTTGAGCTCCTAAAGGAATGAGAACTTGTCAAAAGAACAAGTCAAGTTAAAGATCTTTTACTCTTTTTATACAAACCTGCATACGATACCCCGGTGAGCACAGAGCGCTCAAGTGGTGGACCCCAAAGAGCCCACATTGTATGCATTGCTGGGAAAGTTGCACCCTAAAAAAAACAAGTAAAAATCAGTGGCTATCTGTATTCTTTGTACTTGCAAAAAACCAATGACGATTCGAAGCCCATAAAGTAGCCAATGATGAGTTCGAGCTGCAATCGGGCTTAATAGAGTGAGTACAGAGGAGCCGAGCACTGTGTAGAGAATCACACGCTTTCCACCAAATCTAGTGGCCAGGTAACCGCCAAGAACCTATATAAAGAACTATTTTTTTGAAAAAAGATATATTCGATTTCACTTGAGAACAGAGATATCCATTGAAGAAAGCTCCTAAAATACTGCCCGCCACATCTTCTGACCAATCAAATTCACCAGCGATTATCTAGAAAAAGTTTGATAGAGACGATAATGTCGCACAAAACTAGAGCAGATCAAAAACTTGTGCACCGCCGGGACCCGAACCCTCGACCTTTCGCTTACCAGCTAACTGTGCTAACCATTACACCACAAAGCATTCGATTTCCCTTTTTCCTGAGGGGGGTTAACTCACGAATTGGATGGATAAACTTACTTACATTGAAAAAACATTCAATGAACTTACTTTATGCACAAATTCAGCTTTAACTTACAGGATCAGTGGGCAAATGTTGTGGCTCTTCCAAAATCGACACCGTTGGAGCACATTCACTTTTCTTTGCCTCCTAAAAGACTTTCCAAGAATCATCTTCGTTCTTTTACCGTTCCATTCCCAGATCCAGCTCTTCGAACCATACAAACAATAGCCATTGACATATTCGTTCTCAATGCATACGTCACCAGACATCCCACAAAGCACAGTGCCGCCAAAGTCAATCGTGTTGATGGGAATAATGCTTAAAAAGATTTTCCTCACAAATCTCTGCTATGAACTTGTTGTTTTAAAAAGAGACGTCCCCTTGGGGATTATCTTTCTAATTCATTCTCACATTCGCATTCGCAACATTTACCCTTCTTTTGAGAAAATGAATCAATTTCCTGCTTTTTTTTTGAATGAGTTGACCAAAAGCGTTTCTTGAAGCCCTTTTATTCATTCCCTTTCAAATATTCTTAAAAAAACGAGGCTCCTTTTACTAGACAACTAACGTATTTCTTCAAAAATTCCCCTTTAAGTACAAGTGAATGGATTCAGGGATAATCATAGGCTCCCCATAGAACAAAGAAAAGAGAAAACTCCCCTAATCGACCTGTCAAGAGCAGATTGCTATTCCCGCTAGAAAAAAAGCGCCCCGAAATAGGTTTGAGATGAATTCCCTCTAGAAATTTCACTTTTTTCAAAAACCTCATAAATCTTCACGAGTCAAGCTGTTATCAATATTTAGAAAAAGCGAACATTGCACTGTGAAATTTACAGGGAAGTCTCAAAAAAGCTGATTCAATCTACTAACAATTTTAAGATATAGTGACGTAGATGGGATAATCGAAGGAAAAGAATCCAGAGCAATGGAGTGAAAGGGGATTGGTAAGGTGATCCATCAGAGGGAATCAGCAACCACTCTCATTTTTCTCGTTTCTTTTTAATCATTGACAACTTACGAGGTTTTCTATCGGAAGTTGCCATTTTATTTGACCTAAAATATCTATCATATTCTGAAAAGCTTTAAAACAAAGGAAGAAATCACAGAAAGAAAGAAAGAGAGAAAGAAAGAGAGAAAGAAAGAGAGAGAGAGAGAGAAAGAAAGAAAGAAAGAAAGAAAGAAAGAAAGAAAGAAAGAAAGAAAGAAAGAAAGAAAAGAGTTGAGTAAAGAAAACGATTCATAACAAAAAATGTTGTGTTGAGGGTTGATTTTTGAAAAAGAAAACTTAAAAATTAAGAGGATTAGTGCAATGATTTCTCTAGAAAGCTATTGCAAAAGAATGATTTCTCTAGAGGAAAAGGGAGAGTTTTTTTTTCGGATAGACGAAAAAGAAAAAGAAAAGCGTAAAAAAAGAGGTGTGAATACAACGATGCCACAAATTGATAACAAAAATACAAGAGAGTGACCACGATTTCGTCGAGATAATAACCCCCGAGATGGAAAATATTTCAAAGAAATCTCTCAGAAAAAAAAAACTTTAGTCAAAGACTACTATTTTATTCTATAAAGTCAAGCATTTTACATCCTAGCGATGCCAAAAATAGATTACTTTAGATAAAATATATTTTTCGGTGAGAGTATTGTAGCAATATGTCGTATGCAGTTATGATTATCTGATTCGCTTCTATTCGTCCCATGAATAAAGCATATATATATATATATATATATGAATGATTTAAAGGCTAAACTGTATTAGACTAGTCATAGGCGTGTAAAACTATTATAATATACGTAGGATAGTTGTTATTTTGGAAAAACACCTTTGATTGATGAAAAACACAAAACAACTTATGATTATTAGAAAATTCTATTCGAAATCTTGAAAACACGATTCTTCAGATGGCACATTCACAGACTCACTAATCTTGCCAATTTTTAAGCGTTTAAATAACAATAACCGACTAATAACAAGCTTTTATCATATACAATTTCTGTGCAAAATCTTCCCTCAAAACAAGCAAATAGGCGAAGTTTAAAATATGATTATTATATGATTATATGATTAAAATTATTATATGATCCATGCCAATTTAGGGCAAGTGCTTTGGGATTGATAAACGTAAAAAAAAGAAATAGGAGGGAACAAGTGTGTTTTCGCGAGTGCTGTTGCAAAGAGAATGAACGGGAGAAAGAGCGAACGGGATCGAGAGAATGGGTGAACTAGGAGAGGATTGAAGATTGGGAAGGGGGAAAGGATGACGGGAGAAAGGGGCAGGTCAGCTAGTGCAGAGAAGAGGGAAAGGGGAAGCTATAGCTATCGGAAGGGCAAAGGAAGACGCGAGGCGGGGTACCCTGATGAGGGATATTGGTACCTATTAAATTGCGTACTAATTCTTCAAAAAAACTTTCTGTTTTTTGTTTCATCAAAGAGTAAACCGTGGCTTTTCATAAAGTTCTTCGCTTTTTATAAAGTATAATAATCAGACACGCATTGCCTAGCTTTGGGCAAATTTTCATCCCGATCTAATGGCTTGGCTTCAAGCAGGAAGCTTTTGCTTGCAATCGGTCGATGCAATCAGGCAAACTACTAACTTGAAATTAAAAAAACAAGAATTTCGAATTCTGATGCAAGAATTTTGCTTTTATTTTTGCTAATTTGTGCTTTTGCAATGTTCAAAAAATGTCATTTATCGATTTTTGTTTTTTTTTCGATCGAATCACAACGATGAGAACGGGAGGATAAATGCCTCTTTCAATGAATGCAATCTCTTTCCTCTCCTTCGAATTTTGCCTCCAAATTCAAAACACCGATATCAAAATAACGATCTGGAGCATCTCTAGAAAATTTTTGAAATTTCAAAGATTGGGGAGCAATTTTTTTTTCTTCAAACGTCGTTTTTCTAATGTTTTAAATTCGAATTTCTAATTTCTAATGTTTCTAATTTCATGCTGAATCTGAATTTCAACATTCCAAGCCCGGAAAAAAGTTTTTACTACAAAAACCCACTTTTTTTGCATTTTTAAGGGCTTTTGTTTACTTGAAATGCAAATTACCCTTTTCCATGGTAACTTGTGGCTTATATCGACATGGTTTGTGATGGTTTAACAAGATTAAACACATTTAAACAGGGCAGATACTAGCGTTGGCGTTTTCCGTATGGCGTAGCGACGCTTGACGGTCAATCAACTCGTTTCAACTTTGTCAACCCTATCAACGGTGCGCACACGCAAAACTTTGAATCAATGTGCCCTCGTTTTAAGAAGTCGATGATCCAACGCCGCGATGAAATCAGTGTTCGCTTCAATCAACGCTACACCGATTACATCAACGAGTTCTTATGGAAGCAAGAATTCAGAGCCGATGTCTTTTTCAATTTCTGGAATCAGATCACATCACTGTACCAATGCGAGCAAAATGCTTTGTAGTAAAATGCCAAAGCAAACCCTCAACTCAACAATCCTTTTTACGGCCACAAATTACCATGGGAAAGGGTAATTTGCATTTAAAGTAAAAGAAAACCCTTAAAAATGCACAATTTGTAGTGTTTTTGTAGAAAAAACTTATTTTTCAAGCTTAGGATGTTGAAATTCGGATTCAGCATGAAAAACTAGATTAGAAAAACGACATATAAAGAAAAAAAAATAGCCGCCCAACCGGCATAGTACCAATATTTTAGCTCAAACCTTCCATCTGTGACATAACTCGGTGGCAAATGAATCGAAACTTTGCGTTGACATGGCTGTAAATCATTTATTAGAGTTGGAAGAGTCTTAAAGTATTACAAAAACACCGTGTACTTACCGCTCCATCCTCGCAATCGTGGTAGATATTGAGTTTTGGATCAATAGTCATAACTTCTGAAGCGGTTCCATGCAAAAGGAATTGACCCAAAGAATCCGTCGCTCCTTCAGCCATCAAATCATCCAAATCAGGACCTAAAAAGTTTAGATAATTGTGAAATACTATCAAAATTCCATTCCTCAATCAATTTTCTTACCACTATCATCATCGTAGAGTTTGACTTTGATATTGGCTGCCGGTTCATTTCCGCACATCAACACTCCTCTCACACCCGCTGCTTGCTTTCCGCAATCGATAACAACAAATAAAAATGTTAAAAGAAAAAGTTTTAGCATTTTTCAAAATAAATAGTTAATAGTTTGCTTGAAAAAGCAAATCTAGCACTGGTGAGCGGAGATTTTCGAGTGAGTTTCGTGCGCAATAAATATCTTTGATTGAGAGATCCGCCAAAGCGCCAGTGAAAGAGGAAAGAGAAAAATATCACAAGGTTTTTGTCTTGTATGACTCATTAGTTTTTTTTGGTTGGATTTAAGTGTTGATGAGGAGGTCACTGTGCAAAGAAATTCTTTTATACAAACATTGGTTGGTTTAAAAATGAAACAGCTATTAGCTTGTTTAAAAGTTTGAAGATTTCAATGGTAATTTGTTTATTATTTGCAACAAGTTACAGTCAACAGTTGAGTAAAAATGAATCAGATTTCAATGCAGCAGAGTGCTTTCAGGAGTCTAACTTTGCTAGACTTTAAAAGACGCAAAAGTTGTACAGACTTATGACAGTTGTACATAGTTCTAAAACAAAGTATAAACACAGTTCAAGCCTCTCTACAAGCCAAGAGTGATTGGCTGTAAAGATATTGTAAAACTGTAAGACCCATAACTCATAGTATCAAAAAATCCCCATCTTTGATTGTTCAAAAACCTAAACCTTGAAATTGTCTGGAAGACCGGTGGTCAAGCCAGTGATAAATCTGCGGCCGCTTTTGACTCAAAAAAAACGAGGAGAATCCATTTTTCACCTCTCAATCTTTTCCCGAAAACCCAAGGGTCAGCTGTTCGATTTGAATTCAAAACTATCTTTTATCGGGAGAAGGGATGACTTTTCAAAACATTGCATCCCCCTATTGCCTTCATCTTCGATTCGACCACATTTTTTTCTTTTAAAAAAACACTGTCATCGATTCAAATATTTTCTTCAATTGTTTGAAATCATTTTAAAATCTTAAAAATTAAAATAGCTTTAGATGTTGTTCTTTCTATTGTTTTCAATAGTTGGAGTGGAGGCTCGTGTCTCGTCAATGGATCCGGTGGCTTTCTCGAATTCGCGGATCTTGAAGGTAATCTTTGAAATTTTGTAGAATTGATTTACATTAATTGTAGTATTAGATCTTAAATTCATTTTTAAATCATACTTTAGAACTATTGGGGAGAGATGAGCTCGAGAAATGGCTATAAATGGAAAGAGGAATGGTACCCGGAGATGCCGATCGATCATTTTGCTTTCGCCAACAACTACACGTTTCCACTTCGGTACAATATCATTTAATTTCAAAACTAATACAATTACAGGTATTTCATCAACACTGAATCCTATGAATCCGGTGGCCCGATTTTGTTCTACACGGGGAATGAGGGAAAATTGGAGGGATTCGCCGAGAATACTGTATTTGATCGATTAAAGTTGTAAAGTTGCTTTTTTTTAGGGATTTATGTGGGATATTGCTCCTGAATTCAAAGCGGCTGTTGTCTTTGCTGAACATCGCTTCTATGGGAAGACTCAACCGTATGGAAATGACAGCTATACGAGCACGAAAAATTTGGGGTAATGAAATGAAAAGTAAAACTTCGATAAATGGGGATTTAGATATTTGAGCTCCGAACAAGCATTGGCCGACTTTGTGGTTTTGATTGATTACCTCAAGAAAGAAGTAAGAGTAATGATAGAAATTTCTATAAAAAACTCCAGCGACTCACTGGGGCGACTAATTCACCTGTGATTGCTTTTGGTGGAAGTTATGGAGGAATGCTAGCCGCTTGGATTCGAGTCAAATATCCTCATAAAGTTGATGGGTACAAGAAAATGAAAAGTAAATATATTATTGTGGAATTTTTCAGAGCCATCGCCGCTTCTGCACCCGTGTTTTGGTTTGGAGACTCCGGTGTTCAGGAGAATATCTACGACAAAATTGTTACCCGGGCTTTCGTGGGCTCTGGTATTTAAATGAGTTGATCCTTTCAATATTTAACTTTTTAGGTTGCAACTTCGATGCTGTAAAAAAGGGCTGGGATGCTATTGATGAATTATGTAAAACGGGTTAGTTGGGTAACTTGAACTCCTCACTTCAAAATATTTTAGATGATGGACGATCTTTCTTGAACAACTTGTTCCATTTTTCTTCAAAGTCACGAATTGAAAGCTCTAAAGATGCCGTTTGGTTGAAAGGGTAGATAAAGCTTTAAAATGGAAGCATTTCCAAAATCTAGATATATTCGTGAGACAATTGAAAGTGTGGCTATGGTGAATTATCCGGTTCCCACCAACTTTTTGGCCCCATTGCCTGGTTGGCCGGTGAAGAAAATTTGCCGACATTTCCAACAAGTTGCACCCAACGATAAAGAGGCCGCTGAACAAATGTTTGAGGTAAGAAAGATAGATAAGAAAGATTTCGATAAGATAAACGTTTAGAAAGACAATTAAATTTAGGGTAGCTCACCCTTTAGAACTTCATTGAATCAAGAGACAGCACTCTAGGATTTGAATCGAAAGTTCAATGCTAAGAAAATTGTAAGAAAATTTAGATTGTCAACCTTTACTACAACTCCACTGGAGATAAGAAATCGTTCTGTGCGAATCCGGCTAGTTGCGATGGTGCATTCGCTGAATTAGGTGATCCCTTGGGTTGGCCATGGCAGGTTGGTGGTCCACAAGATCACTTAATTATGGTATTTAAAGACATGCACCGAGATGGTGATGCCGATTTGCGGTGGCGGGCCACCATCGGACTTTTTCTGGAAGGATTGCCCATTCACTTACGATGGTGCAGCAGAAAATTGTGCGCAATGGTGTGTTCTGAGAATGAGACATGGAATTGGAAAAGTTTTATTGCAGGTTCGGCAAATTGGGCTACGACAAGAAGTTGTTCAGACCGCATTGGGCCATTCAGAATTATGGAGCCACATTCCCTACCGCCACAAACATCGTTTTCAGGTGATTTGAATGTGAACTAGTTTTTAGGTGATTGGCTTTTAGCAATGGCTTTTTGGATCCATGGTCCGGCGGTGGCTGGGCCTTGAAACCCAAGGTTGAGGTAAGTTAAAAAGAATGTCCAACGTAAGATTTGAACTTTCAGGGATCGCTTGTCAGCATTATTTTGTTGGATGGAGCTCATCACTATGATCTACGCGGAGCACATCCACAGGTAGCAAAAAAAGCTATCAGTATAATGGAGAATTTAAATTTAGGACACTGCCGAGGTGAAGAAAGTGCGTGAACAAGAGAAAGGCTACATTGCAAAATGGATCAAAGAAGCTCGCAAAAGAACATGATTTGAGTCACGAAAAGATTTATTGATAAATTCATTAGACAAATACACTGAAACATTATAATTATTAGAATTCAAAGAGTTAATCCGAAGCACTTTGGGAGGCTGGTAGTTGGCCTCGGCAAACCTTTGATCCGCACAAGCAAAGAATTCCAGATGGCGTCTTTGATTCCCCATAATTGTAGCTGAGCTCTTCGTTCGGAGAGATATCTCTGAATTAGAACATTTATTTTAAAAAAAACATGAGCTGAGTCTTAATCTGCCTATTTATCTTGAAAAAACTTACCTAGATGCAAAAAGTCCTATACTTGGAGCCATACACCCGGTTCTCACGATGAAAATATCCAAATTCGGCTCGCACGAATGATTGATAAAGCGTGAAATCTTTCCTTTCAGCCTTGGATCAATGAACGTTGTGGAAATTCGATCTGAATTTTTCGTTATTTCCTTATTTTTATAATGAATCACATTTGGAAAAAACAGAAATGTAACAAACCTCCGAAATGTTCTTTCACCGTCAAAGTGTAGTTGTCCCCTTTGTAATGAGCGGCTCTTCTTTCAACTTCTTCTTTCCCCAACAACTCTCCGGCGTATTCTGCTACAAAAGTAGCTTTAGGAATCATCCGCTTTGTGAGCACTCCTTTTCCTTTGCCTTTGAAATCAATTACCTAGATGACGGTAGATTAAATGGCAAACAAGTTCAAACTTGTAGATCTAGCGAATTTGTTGTCCTAATCACCCGATTTTGGCAAGGATTGATCCACTCGTTGCAACTACAATTAGCATGGCATTCAAGTATCGGCAATGATGTATTCTCGAGTCTAAAAACTCTCAAAATACCTAATTGTAACAAATGAAAATACCTCTTTTCCTGACCATAATTGTCTACTTTATACATTAGGCAGCTACACGAAGAGGCGGCTGTGCATTCTGCCTCACATTCACATCCCTAAAACTGAATTAGATACTTTTATTTCTGTAAATTCTGTAAATTACTTCGAAAATCACATCGAGTTCCTCGTTTTCAAAGCCCGGACCAGCCACATTTTCGTGAATTTCTTCGTATTCCATAACCAAATCTGAAATTGTACAATTCAATTTGAGGGATTTTAAAATCAATCCCACCAACCAAGTGGGTTTTTCTTTCACAACATTTAGGGTAATAGGGGTAATAGGGGTAACGGCCGCAGTGCTATAAAATTGTGTGTTGAGACCTTTATGTCTTATTACAGTACTGGACAATGAAATATCATATTTGAAAAAAAAAGATCCTGTTGCACTGAATTTACGTCAAAGAAAAACAAAAAACTGAAGAAATTAGTACATTAGCATTCAACTTTCGACTATATGCAAATCTGTATAAATGGCGCGTTTTGCACAAAGCACAAAGCTCAGTTACTCAAAATTGTTCAAAACTCAAAAGCGCAAACTGCTGTGAATTAATGTTTTATGATGTTTTCATCATTGTAAAGTTCACATAAGTCTTTTATATTGTTTTACTTGCTAAAAACGGCGACATCCCAATGACAAACGATTCCTGCGCTTTGTTGACACTGCCGTTTATTATTTTCTGCGGCGTAACTTGATATGACTTCAAGTTTAATGTAAACACAACTTTAATAGCGTGATTTAATTTTAAAATTTCTCTGTCCGAGCTTAAAAATATAGCGCTCAAGCATATTGTTCATATTGATTTGTTCATAACTTTATTTTATTGTTTTAATAGACTTTTGTGCAAAGAACCAGATTATAACTTTTTAAAATTTTTAGACATGTTCAGCCGGTTATTGGGATCTCGTCTGTGGTCTCAAACAAGCCAGCGAGCAGTTTCTTCGAAATATCAACGACCCAAGCCCAGGTCTTACAGGAGACGATGGTTTGAAGCGGCTGTACAACCGGTGTTGCCGCGAGAAGTCAAAGTGTGCACTCCTCCCGGCTTGCTTCATCAAGAAAATGTTCAAAAAGGCAAGGGATATGATGATTTCGAATTGGCTCTCGCTAAGCACGTGAAAGGCTGGATGCAGAAGGAACAATTCCGAGTATTAGCCGTTTGCCAATTACTCCCAGTGCAAGGACGAACGCTATGGTTTACGAAAAATCAATGGAGACTAAAAGGAGTCGAATACAAGAATTACGGAGGTAAAATCATGAGGAAAGTATTCGAAGGAACACCAATGGATTCAACGGATGTTTTGTTCACCGGCTACACAGCGTGTCTTTTTGGAAGAGACTTTGCTACGCTCAAAACGATAATGAGTGAAACGAATAAAGTCAATTGGTTAGTTCCATTGGGGTTCTTTATCGATGGAAAACTGTTGTCATGTGCCGATGTTAAAGAGCTTTGCGAACTTTCGAATTTGGAAACTCTGCGAGCACTAACAACTACCAGCTTGACCGGCCCTTCTATTGCTTTGACAACAACGCTTGATCGGCTAACGAACGAATTACCCTCTACATTGAATTCGTTGGAAACTTCATTGAAAAATTCTTAATTTATTTTCGCGTTAAGATTGTTGATTTTTTTGTATTTACTTTCTTATTGTTTTTAGTTATTATAGATAAATTTCTTTTTAGGAACATGAATGCTAGAAGAGCGATTAACTGGCCAAGTCAATTGTACTGGAGTTGCATACCGGGATTTGCAACTGGTTATTTGTTAGTACATGGTTGGTTTTTAAAATGCTACCGTTTAAATGCTTGCAATATATGGTTTTAGGAATTCGAAATGAGCGTCTTCCCTTCACAAATTTCTACATTCATCGACATTCAGAGCCTTCCGAATATTTGCGAAATTTAGTGGATTCTGAATTGTTCAAAACGAAAGAATTGCAAAATAAAAAGGCCCATTTTAGTTTAACTCTTTTTAAACTAAATCTTTTTAGATGCGAATTTTTCTGACGGATGACATGGAGCCGCGAGTTTATGGTGGATTCTTCTTTAACGAAGGTGGATACTAAATTTTTTCGAGAAAGACATTTTATTGATTTAGGCCCTGAACTACAATTCCCCTTACGATTTTCTTTTTCTGATGTTGAACATATGAGGAGACAAGGAGCTCATCTCGAAGTAGATTTGGGTTATGCGAAGTAAGGCCTGGTTTAGAAATTAGTTAAAAGTGTTAAATTTTAGAGACAGAAGGAAATTGGAAGTGAACAGTGACATTTGTCAAGAATTATTCGCCCGTGTGATCCTTAGCGAATCCGCAATGCGCTTTATTATTCAACGTCAACTACAAATTGCAAATAAGTTGGTTTTTTAAAGTTTGAAAAAGCTATCATAATTTAGTGGCACAATGTTATTTACACCAATCATTGCTCAGGCGGCCATATTTTCAATTGGCTCCATATTTCTAAAGTTGTTAACACCTGTTTTCGGCGGGCCTTTTGCTTGCGCGGCGGCTATTGGAATTTCGTCGTCCATTTTTATTGCGGTTAGTCAATTAACCATGGTAGTCAAAATGTATCTTTAGGTTAAACCAACGATAAATGCTTACTTGGTGAAAAAGGCTGATCGACTTGTGCTAGAGCAGTAAGTCTTTTGAAATCTTTCCATTGTTGCACATCATATATTGGTGATCCCAAAAATAAAATTAACATTTTTTCAGGGATCCTGAATACATGATTGGCGCTCGAGATTATTTTGAAAACGTCTTACGACTAAACCGTTTGCTACGAAAAGTAATGGGAACAGACGGGGAGGATTGCATTCAAAAGGTGAATTTTTTCGTTAAACTTTGCTTTATTGTGTTATTTTAGAATGGGGAGTCGAAACTTGATGCCGTATCAATTCGATCAAGGATGAAAAACATGGAGGGCTTTTTGAAGACATTGTGAAGAAACCGGATTTGATGAGTTGTTTAGTCTTTACGGGTGATTTTTTGTGCAGATAGTTTTTTATACAGTCAATGTAGCCACTTTTTGTATAAGCTTGATAGTTAGGTTTACATCTTTTTTGCCTTGTTGAGAGTTGATAATTCTTTTTTTTTAAATCCTACGCAATAATAAATTTTTTTTTGATTTGTGTAAATTTGACTTTTCTTTTCAATGATATGCAACCAGGTATCTAATCGATTTTTACGGCTAACTTTCATTTTGTTAATGGTTTGTTTAGGATCGGTATTTGTTTTTCTTGGCAATGTTCACGATTCGACGGTTTTTGAGCTACAGGTTTGGTTAAATGGGAACTAATACAATTTTTGTGTTTAGAAGTTTCAACCACAAAGCCACGGAGTTTCTGAAGACAAAATGGGGACAACGATTTAAAATTGGATTGTTGGGTGGAACGATTATCGCCTATCCGCTTGGTGTCATGGCCTTGAATGGACCATTAGTTAATCTCACGTTTCCATTGCGACACACTATCGAAGAAATGCCACCCTATTTGGCTCCAATTTTTAAGGAGGTATCTTTTAAAACAAGTTAGTTATGGTATTATGAATTTAGGAGTATACACGGTTCCTCGATAAAGAAGGCCGTAGAAGTGAAGACGCGGTAGTCCGAATGGAGATGCTTAGCAAAGCAGGTCGGCAGTTGTCTTAGATTTTATTATTTTTTTCTTTATTTTTTAGAAGACCAAGATACTGTTTACGCGGGAACTCTTGGCATACGAACTGGATTGCGACTTGCGGTTCCATTCTTTGCACGATTTCGAACGCTTGAAGACGCTATTGGATTTTTAAAGTAAGTTTTTTCTTTTTCTTTCTCGTGGTATTGCTAGATCAAATTATCCAAATGGTTTCCCTCAACTCGGAGAAAATATTGTAATTGATTGGGATTCGAAACTTGGACGTTTACTTGCAGAAACATTCGTCTTAAGTGAGCAAGTTGGTTTTTATTGCATAGGATCATAAATTTCATTCTCTATTAGGCCTGGAGATTTGTGTTTTTGCGAGATCTCTATGCTCATGACGGATATGCAGCGCTAGGGCAAAGCGCTCTCACATGGGCCACATTTACTAGTTTCAGCGGCATCTTTACTTTTTGGTTGGTATTCAAGCTACACATATCATCTTATTGTTCAGGATGCATCGCGCGTCCAATATGTTTAAAGGCTCTTTTATGTCGTTTATTGGATTTTACATTGGCTTCACGGGAGCAGCAGCCTTTGGAAGCAGGCATTGGCATTTGCTCTACAGGTCAGTGATTACATTATAGTTTAAATTTTCTGGAAGTTTTATCAATAATGTGCTAGCGTTTTTTATCTAGGTACTTAACGGATATTTATGCTGATTCAACTGCATCACGCGTATCACCTGAACATTCGGCTGGTGGAAGAGAATATTACTTCAAATGGCTAAAACGAAACAGGTCATGATTTTTTGTTTTAGTTTTAATTCTACCACTTTCCTCTGCTGAAATTACTCTCATGTCGTTTGTTTAGGATATTGAGAGAAATTTATTCGCCACTCTACACCAAAGTAACGTTATCTGGTGATGTTCGAGGAATTGCCACACAAATCATTATCAGGTTAATAATAGCTAGCTTTATGGATTCCTGAATATGTTCAGATATGATCACTTGAAAGACGTCGATGAGGAAGATGATGCGATGAGCGAAGTGTTTCGTGGAGACTTTTAGCTGTGTCTTATGTTTATATTAGGTTAAATTAACTTCAATTCTGATTTCTAGTCGCTCTTGTAGTTGGCGTTTTTGTAATTTACTTCGAATTCGGGTCACTTGTTGCTTTGTTTTAATAAATTGTGAATATATGATTTAAACATGCTTATTTGGATGAATGCGACTTTTGGGCAACACCAATTTCTGACGAATATGAGGCTCTTGGCCAAAATCCGGGTATTTCCGGGTAACAGTTTATCAACAAAAAAATCTCAAAAATCGTTGTAGACTCGAGGATGTTCGAAAGCCAAGGGAGCAAGAATTTCGGCTTCACTTTGTGTTGTCCGGGTCCGAAAGGTTTAAAATAAAGTGTTAGGAAACTCATTTCCTGAGAGTTCAAAGTTTAACTTACCCCATTTTTAAGCCGTAGAGAGGTTCCTTTTCATAACGAACCCAAGAAGACATCAACTCCAATCCTTGTGATGGTAGGATCAAGCTAAACTTGGAGGACAAGGGAAAGTGGTCGAAATCGATTAGAGCTACTTCTTCAAAGCTAAACATAATAAAGGAAAAATGTTGAACCGATCATATCAGTGGGTGTTTGGTGTGGTTGAACGTGGATCCAATCAAATAGCCTTTTTTCCCTTTCCTTGTGATGCCACTACTATATTTCCTTTGATTCAACAATATATTGCTCCAGGTAAAAAACAACAAAAAAGAAAAGAAAACTTTTTTAGGTACAAAATTTTTTCAAAATACCCTGATTTCGGTCAAGATTCGAATATGCTTTAAAAACTACTTACTTTGCATGCATCTCCTGGTTTTCTTTATAGGCAACTGAATACAAAATGACGAATACCGTGTTAGGGCTTGGAGCCTGCGCATTGTCATGCGTTTTCTTCGGCTCAATGTTTGTATGTTTAAAGAAGTACGACGCTGGGAATGGTAGGTTATATTTTTACACCAAAAAACAATCTATCTAGGAATTTTTGCCCAATGGATCATGTCAGCGGCTATCTTGCTCGTTGGTATTGCATTAAATGGAATAAGAAATTTTCCCGTTTTTCATCCACTCGCGATGCTTGGTGGAGCCTCTTGGGCGATTGGTTCGTAAGCTTTTTTGAGGGCTTTAATCACTGCTAATTTTTTAGGAAATGCGACTGCAATTCCTATTATGAATCAACTGGGAATCGGCTTAGGAATGTTGATTTGGGGAATAACGAATTGTGTGATGGGATGGGCTAGTGGCAGGTAAATATTTTTTTATTGTTGAATAATTCTACTTACTATTTTAGATTTGGTCTTTTTGGAATTAAGGCCACTACTCCATCGATAATATGGCTAAACTATTTTGGACTGGCAGCTGTGGTTGTTGGCGGAGTTATTTTCTCACAAGTTAAGCCTACACCAAGATCTGCTTCAAGTGACGAGTGGACCACTCCGAGTTCCGCTTCGCCTTCACATACAGTAAGAATGGCTTTTTAGTCTTTAAACGAAATCTTAGGTCCGAGGCGATGATGATCCAGAAACGCCACTTATTTCTCAGCATAGCTCCAGCAGTCCTGTTGCGTATCGCAACCAGAAACGAGTGATGTGAGTATCATTAAAATTATCTTTTATCACTTACTGAAGGGAATTTTAGATCTATTGCTACTGCTCTCGTTGCAGGCTTTCTGTATGGTGTTACATTTGTTCCAGTGATCTATATGCAAGACAATAAAGATTTGGTAGATTTTTTTGGTTGACATGTAATTTAGAAATTTAGTATCCCGATGCTTCTGATGTTGGTCTCGATTACGTATTTGCGCATTTCAATGGAATTTTCGTCACGTCTTCTATCATCTTCATCTCATATATTGCATACAGGTATTTAATATTTTAAATTTTATTTAAATTTTAGTTTCGGGAGAGTTTGAATGTGATTGAAATTAGCTACTATTTAGCCAAAACGCACCATTCATGAACGCCTCTCTGGTTGGACCTAGTCTGATTGCTGGGACGATGTGGGCGATTGCACAGTCCTCTTGGTAAAATTTTTATTTTTGAACTTTTAACCCGCTGTTTGTTTGACCTTTTAAATACACGTTTTAGGTTCGTTGCAAACGATAATCTATCACAAGCTGTCACCTTTCCAATAATTTCGATGGTTCCTGGAGTCGTTGCCGCTTTGTGGAGTGTCTTCTATTTCAAGGTAAAAATTCAGAATTTTGATTTTGATAAATGATTAAAACTATCGTTTAGGAAATAGCCGGATCTCGCAATCTCAAATTGTTGATCCTGGCTATTGCGGTAACGCTTCTCGGCGCTATTTTTGTAGGAATATCAAAGTAGATAATTGCTTTTTTGCATTTTATTATGATGAAAGCTTTACGGCTAAAAATTGTGGTTTGGATGAACTACTAGTTACATTTTTATTCTTTTCGATAAACACGAAATTGTTTTTTTTGCAGGCTTACTCTCCATTTTGTTGTGATAATCTATTATATACGTATCAAATTGTGATAAAAATTTATTAGATAATTTCATGAAATGACAAGTGAAATTGTAAGTTACCCTATACAAGTATGGCTGCATTTGTAAGTACGTATTTACAATATTATATGTTTTTTGATTATCTTCACACAATTGTTAAAATCAAGGAGAAAGTCGTTTAAGAAACCATCCATTATCCGCTGGCTTTGCATCAGTGGAATCTTTCGTGAAAATAAGGCGATCGTGCACCCGATCACTTTGACCTTGCCAGAATTCGTACATGTTTGGGCGTACCAAAAATCCGCCCCTAAAATTGTAAATTATCCGTCACGTCAAATTATCCGAATTCATACCAATTCTTTGGTCGTGTAATGGTGTTGGGTCCTTCCTCGGCGGCAAGTTTCTCTAAAGTTGCCCTTCTGTCCAAGAGTATCTAAAATTTTGGCCATTCGCTTTGCAAAATTTCGGATCTCTTGCCTGCCGATTTTCGATCACTTTGCTTTGCTCACTGCATTTTGTACCAATTCTATTAGGCAGAGGTCGCGAATTCCAATAAGCATCATTTTCAGCCTCTGTCCAGTACTCGGCACGACCTTCTACTCGTACCTTAATAAAATGCGCATTTAAAGAAAAAAAAAAGCTTTTTTACTTGTCGATGAACTTTTGGCCAAAAGAACAAGAGCGCCACCCTGTTGTTTTTCGCAATTTCTTGTCCCTAAACTTCGTGAGAATAGCCGGAACCATATAAGCTCACTTTTCGACTGTCGTAATTCGTGTGAAAAACAAATCCATCGCGAGTGTAGCTTCTCATCAGCACCATTCTTGATGAAGGTTGACCTTCTCTAAAAAATTAAATTACAGAAGGAAAAAAAAGGAAAAACCAACTCGGAAACGGTCGAGACACAAACTGCATTTGTTTCCTCAAACAACAAATCGGCTTTTGAGGAGATATTCTTAAACCTAAACGAATAAACAAATTTACACTCTTGAAAAGTTTTTTTTTTATTTACCAAATGTCGAAAAGAATATAGGGATCATTTGTAGGAAGTTGATCTTCTATAAGCACCGGCTCATCTTCGTTATGGTAATGACGACGCCATGCTAAACAAAATTATTAATTTTTTGGCAAAAAGTAGAGATGGAAGTACTTGTAATATCGAGTGGCGTGTCGGCCATTCTCCTGACGCCGATTTGAGCTAAACGCAACGAACGAAGAATATTGCTGAGAAAAGCAAACGAGCAACTCGAAAATGTTGACCGCTTTTCTAAAATGCTTTTTGGTGTCTCGGTATTTTTCGATTTTACATATAAACAAACAAATTTTTATTTCATTGCAAATTTGAGAACTACGCATGACCTTGAAAAAGATTTTTCATTGATAAGGTAATAAATAAGATTATGCAAAATTTAGAAAATTTTTAATTTTTTACAATTCTAAAGGGTTAAAGACCCGGAAGAGCTTTTTAGTGGCTTGAAAAAAGTTTGTCAATGAAGTAAAAGGGCATAGACGGGGTGAGGGGGATTGTGGGAGATAGAGAGATCGAAAGAAAAAGATGAAAAAAGGGTGAGAGATCGGGAGAGAGACGAAAATGACGTCATTTTCATTATGTGTGCACTCTTTCTTTTCATATCGGTGTTATTTTGAGAGCAGTAAGTGTAGCAATCGCTGAAATGGCTTATAGCTTCGCCGATAGACTTTGAAAGTTTGATTCTTTTTGTATCATTGGTGTTTGTGGTTGAAATAGGTAGTGAAAAATATTTACACACATGCAGAACGCGCGCTCAATTTGAATGCATAACATTCTTGGACTCAAGATCTCTTTACTGTAGTAGATTGAGAGTAAAAAGTTGAGATTTTAAAGCCTCGAAGAGCTTTTCTTGTCTCTCATTCTTTCTCTCCATTGTCAAGACGACGATCAACGACGTCAGATGATAGTTCAAAGTTTCACCTCTGGATTACACCCAGGAAGCACCACGTTCATTGCTAATTTTTTCCACACACACACAAGCGCGACAAAACAACGTTATAATGAGGGATCAAGAGCGAGCAAATGGGTTGCACGTCGATCCGCGTCGACCCATATCGTTCAACCACATCTCGTTCGATCACCATTCTGCTCAAACTATCATTTTCTGCCAGAATTTTTAAAATCGTCCACGAGCATGTTCACGAGATGCTCCTCATTGTGACGGTAATTTAAGATCTCGAACTTGCACGGCTTTGCTCCTCATCTAAATTGAAGCCTTAAATTGCGTTAAATTGCCCTAAATTGCCATAAATTGAAATTTAAACTAAACCGGAATACAGCAGCTTTTTCAAAAGCGCATTTTAAAAATAGAACATAAAGAACATAAAGGAAACATAAATGATATAGAAAATAAGTAATCAAATCATAAATTAGCTACATTTTTAAGCAATCAACCATTCTCAGATTTTTCCTTTCCATCTCCTTTCCATCTACGAAAATTTACAGCCTATCAAAAACTTACACCAAACTGCAGCCATTATTCCCGAGTTTTGAGACTTTGGAATCAGTGAAAGATCTTCGAATCGATGCTCCAAAACTTCAAACAATCACAAAAATTTTGGTTTGTTTTTTGTGAGAAAAACGAAAATTTACAGCCTATCAAGAAATTTTCAGCTTCGTGAAGCAAATCGTCAAGAACTCAAAGCTTACAATTAGATTACGATGAAAATTTTGGCACAAATATGTGTAAAGTCGTTTTTTAAAGATGAATTGACTTGTAAATAAATATTTAATACCCGTATGAGATGTAAAGAAGCAATGATGGATGAAGGAAATGTGAGATCAGACATCAAACAGAATCAATGATGGACAAAATGACAAAAAAAAACAGTGAGATCTTTTCTTAGGATTCTTTTTGTAGGAAACAGGATGGATCATCGTCGAGCCACTAAATTTTCAAATAATTATGAGATTTTACTGTCAACTTAAACTTAAAATATCTGCCAATTTTTTCCAGAACTTACATTTATCAAAGCTTTATGAGCCGGATCGTTGGCAGCCTCGACTTTCGAATCTCGAAGTGCTGAGGCAGAGATCTGTAAAGCTTACTAGTTGTCAAACCATCTTTTCTCCTTACTCTAATATTCTTTAAAGTTTCTTCTTCGGAGACATTGGTTGGTGCTGTGCCTTTTTTCATGATTTCTAGAAATTTTCTAAATTTTCTTTTGAGTTTTCCTTTTTCACCTGCAATGTGCATGTAAGTCCATAGAAGAAGTGAATGATCGAAGAGTTTTTTCGTCCATTGCAAGGTGCCGATTCCCGCTGTAAATTTGTTATTTTATAGAAATTAGAATCGACACTTTTTGGACATTTTGAAACCGACAAAGTTTTGAAGGTGATTCAAAAGTAAATTTACATTGCTATTCTAGCTTTATGCTAGTATTTTGCTTACATAGAACATTCTGCGGATTTCCATGAAAACATGTCGAGAACATCTGGAAAACGATCGAATGACTCCGGAAAAGATCTTCTCTTTTCGAAACTTCCAAACAAGCGACCACGTGTGAGCTGAAATTTCAGAATTCAGAATTCTTTCGATCAAAGAGAAACAACAAAATCGAATCTCGGAATCATTCAAAAGGGAAAAACTCTTTCAATCTCAAAATCTTCAAAAATTTCAAGTTATCATACAGTTTTGCTTACAGTTTTGCGGGCACAACGTGTTGAATAATGCTCGGGTTAATAACACAATTTTGCTAAAAGAATAGATTTTTAGCTTGTACAACTTTTTCTATTGCCCGATGAATTAAAAATTTGATTTTAAACGAGAATTTTTACCGGAATTCGTTGTGCTTTTTGAAGAGATAGGTGTGATAAATGTGCAAGATATGACCCATTGCCACCACCGACGGCGCCATGTTCTCCCATGAACGTTGGGCGACTCTGGAAGTTATTTTGTTAAAGCCATTTCCCGTGAAAGCAAGGAAACTATTGATTTTAAAGGTAAACCTGTCAGCGATCGAATAGTAGTCGGCTTGCTTGCAATGACTCAAATAAAAGAGAGCCGCTTGCAAGTGAGCCATCGTGTTCAGCGATCGGTCTTTGATCTTCTGAAATAAAAGATCAACAATAAAAGTTGTATAATCAAAAGAAAAAGATTATACATTTGGGTTCTGTCTAGTACTCGTCAACCATTCTGACCGTTAACCAGCATGCCCCAAATTAAACAGCTTTTTTTAAAAACTAACTTTTAGTGCAATGGCAAAATGCTTGTCAGCGTAGTCGGCATTCTCCTCAAAGTATACACAGTAGTTGGCCTAAATCATGTTTTTAAATTGCTAACACTCATTAAAATTTACCATAAGCAAGTGCACCATCGGATAATATTCTTCAGCGAGTTGGAGATGTCTAGAAGAAATGTCCAACATTGAGCGCATCTACAAATCGATAATATTGGGAATGTGATTTAAAACAAACATTCGTGATAGCGGCTTTTGGTTGGCAGGAGATGATGTGCATTTGGGCAAGGACTTCTTCCAACACCTGGAAAGATTGTTTAGGACTATCTTAAAACTTGTGAAAACAAAGTATTTCTTTTAACACTTACAAGTCGCATTCGATCAAGACACCGTATGACACCGGCCTCATAGGGTTTCGTGGAATATTTCAGAGCCAGACCCTTGATGTGATTTGTGGCCACCCCATAATACTTGATTGCTTTCTCCAGTAAACATGTCTCCGCACAATGCACCTAGGAATTGTCGGTTTTCAGAGGCTTGCTCAATTTTTTCACTCACCACAGTGAAGACACAGGTCAAAATGGTGAGTGCATCCATTTCACCCCAGAGAAAATCTAAAACAAGAGTGTTTTTTTGAATTGCGATAAGCTATAAGTGCTAGACATGGAAAAATTCCAAACCGAACCCAACTCCACCTTCGTTTTTCGGCCGTTTCTTGGCCGATTACTTCGAAATTTTGTCTACAAGCTGATAATGTCGATTTCTATCTGTAGACAAAAATTTCAGAGCAATCGGCCAAGAAAGCGAAGGTAGAATTAGGTTCGAGTTGAAATTTTCTCCATGTCTAATAAGTACTGAATTACTAGATGATCGGTATGGACAAAAGCTTTACCTTCAGGCATCGGCGCGTTGGCGTTTGTTTGGCAATCCATTTGCATTATTTTCAAGAACTGACGTGCAGTCTTTGCCTAATCAAAGAAAAATTTGAAAGTTTTCGCTAAAAAATTGCTCTACTTGGCCTCTGGAAAGCCAAAAGGCAAGCTGGGATCCCATCGCAAAGAGGCGAAGATTGAGAGCGTGCGGCAGGTGCTGGGGAAGAGCCTGAAATTGCACTTTTTATCGCTTGACAGCACATAGTTTTCTTCCTGGCTCTAACTATGACATAAGAGCAAATGAAATAGCATTGAAATTTTGGATAAAATACCTGAATCGTTTGCGAGACGACGGCCATCTCTTCAGGGTCACAAATAAGCCCCTTTATCCTCATATTTACCTAAAAAAATTTCATAACTATTTCAAAGCTTTCTCAACTTACAAGGTTCTTCGTCAACTTGTAATAGATGATCAGTGTCTCGCTGGGATTATTCTGAATGCCGACTTCTAAAATTTTAAGCGCATCCTCCGCGTTTCCTTCTAGCGTGAAGATTTCCTGAAAGCGTAGTTTTCAAGTGATTTCTGATAGAAAAAAAACCGCTAAATAAAAGATGAGCTTGTTGTAAATTGATGGAATACTTTTGGCGGCCGCCATTTCATTTTTCAATTGTGAGGCAATCTAAAGTTCGAAATTGAAAGCTGGGAATTTTTAGGCATACTTGTGGTCCGGCACCATTGATAATGTAGATTTCGCAGATGATACAGAAAGCTTGTAGGCGTGCCTCTTTGAACACATCGCCTAGTGTGGTCATCATTTTGTACTAAATAATCTACAGTATTTGCGCAGTTTTATTTATCTACTCACACTTTTCAATAGATTCTCCTTTGCCTCGTCGATTTGATCCGTGTGAAAATAGAGCATTTTCCCGTAGACCAAATGACAATGGGCAAGCAATTGCGTGGACATTTGCTGTTTGAAGCAGCTCTGAAAAGTAAAAATGTGATTTAAAAAAAGTTAAAGCCTTTTTGCATTGTAAGCTCAATTTTTGGGACAATTTTTTTGCAACTATCGAAGCAAAGGAAGAGCATTTAGAAAACACAGTCACAATTTTTCTATAGCGCATCGTTTCAAAAATCATCTGTTATTATACAAGATTTCCCAAAAGTTCTTATACTTTTTCCGTAAACAATAATTTTTTGACTTAAAAAACACGTGAATTTCGGAAAACTATCGCCGGATTCTAAACATTCAGGTATTTTTACCCCAATATGCCGATTTTCATAAAAGATTTCAAATCTCAACAACTTTTTGATTAGGATTTTTTTTACATTCGGGTCTGGTCGCTGAAGATATTTTCCAAAAACTGTTGTTAGCATTTGATCGGCCTAAGTTTTTTCTTGAAAACAAGCCACAAACAAACTTTATATCTCAAAAACGAAAGATTTTCAAGCGATTCTACGAAGGGCACCCAAATCTCAAAAGCAAGATAAGCGCTGTGACGACCTTTAAACAAAAAGTTATCAAAAAGTTGTTTAGAGTTGCGACTTTTATGCAAAAAAAAGTATAATAGGGGTAAAAACATGAATTTTCATAATCCGGCGTTAGTTTTTCAAAAACAGCGTGTCTTCCGAGTCAAACGGTTCGTTTACAAAAAGTATAAGAACTTTTGGAGCACCCTGTATTATTCTCAAACCAACCAGCACACATTTGATGGCCATTTTGAATTTCGGCGGTTGCTGCGTGCGTAGGCATTCCCCCATTGCCAACAATCCCAACGCGACATGGTCGCCACTTGACATTCGACTCTGATCTAAAACTTTGAGCAAAGTTTTGAAGAAAATTGACAAAATTACCTGCAATTTAGCTCAATGACGAGAAAGCTCGATTCTTAAACAGATTGACGGAAAAAGATCTCAGCGGCTGACCTGTCTTTGTTGGAAGAAAGGGTGGCTACGGTAGAAGGTACAACATTTAGGATGGCTAGATGAGCAAATGGAGAAGAAACGTAGATGGTGGGGTTTCATTTCGAACATTCTAACAGTAACAATAGCAATAAAAATAACATTTCTGAAAGAAAATGAATTGGCAAACAGCTGATAACATTCTGAAATCATGGAAAATATCTGAAAGACTTTATCAATTACAAAAAGCATCAACCATCATCATCAATTTTAAGCCCAGCCCTTTTTTTGTTCTTTCAAAAAAGTGAATAAATCTTTCAGACAAACATTTTTTAGGCTTAGCTATCTAGGAATGACTTAGCTATCTAGGAATGGTTTAGCTATCTAGGAATGGCTTAGCTGTCTAGGAATGGCTTAGCTATCTAGGAATGGTTTAGCTACTTTTCTAGATTGAATTTTGTAGTCGTTTTGAAGCCACAGTGCAAACAAACATCTCTGGCTCTGGTCTTGGCTCTGTAAAAAACCCTATTGCTCTAACTCTATCTTCTACTCGATTTCAAGAGTGTTTCATTGAAAATACTGATTGCTGACTGAAATATTGTTTTTATTCACGAAAACTTTCCCACAAGTGGTCTTCAATTCTTTTATGTGCTCAAGTCCCTTTAGAATGGGGTGGTCGTGCGATCCTCAAAAGAAGCCCTTCGGCGCAGCCATTTTTTTTTCTCAGGCCACACACTACTTGAGTGTTGTTTGTACGGTCACCAGCTTTTCCTTTTTTTTCCTTTTCAAGCACACGATCTTCTCACAGCCGCTAGCCGGGGGCTTTCGATCAGATTTACTTCGGCTTGACCCCGATTGATTCGATTTGTAACTTTTACAGTACTCGGATCGTTTCAGCCTTTACCAAATTTAGCAATTAATTCAAATCTATAAATAACGACCTTTGACATGCTTTAAACGTCTAACTTCTTGTGATCTTTTCCTAAAATTTTCCACATCAGAGTTGAAACCTGTTAAGTTCTTATCATAAGTAAAAGCTCAGTTCTTCAAACTCTTTAACAAATGCTATAGTTTGATAGATTGAAGACTTTTTGAACACTTTTTTTCAAGGTTTTGCAAATCGCCAATTGAAATTACAGTTGTCAGTCTAATGAATCAAATTTGGAGCCTATTTTTATTGGCAATAGTTGTCACCGCTCAGCACCCATGGTATCAGGCATTTAATCCCGATGAAGAGGCACGAGAAGAGATACAAATGTGTACACAAGGTTGATAGATGAATTTTCATTCAATTGGATCAAATGCAATTTGAATCAGCACTTACAGAATGCACAACGACATCAGACTGCGAAACCGGGTTGAGTTGTTTCCATGCGACTCTCGATAGTAAAGGATGCTGTCTACCAAGTGGGTCATGTAAAGATACTTGTTTTGGTCTTGTTTTGCTACAGTATTTCTCGAATATTCTTTATCCGGTATACTGTCGTGAAATATAATCTTATCAATATCAATCAATACTTCTGCTAGATCTAGATCTATATTTTAACTATTACCCAATTTCAGCACTGAAACCGAATGAGACGGGTTGCGTGGTTGACGATCAATGTAAACGTGCATGCGAAAGCACGTTTTGTGACAAGGTAAAGACGAAATTGCATATTTTCTATGGGTTTATTTATTTTGAAAAAGAACAAAGGCCCAGGAGAGGCCAATGGGCCATGGGGTACTTTCAATTCACAGCAATCACCGCTGTAGGCCAAATAGGCAAAAAGTTACAAGTTATTTAGAGAGGCAGTTCAAAATAGATAAAATAGTCTTAGCAAAAAAAAGTTCAATCTCCTCTCCGGAAATCTTTCTTTACCATTCCTTACTTTACTTTATTAGCAGCTGTAGACGAGTCTATAGAGTAGGCAAATGCAGTGATTATTTGAAATTAAAGCAAGTGTCATACAAATTTAGACTCAACGGCCATCAAGGTGTCTTTGTGAACGGGGAAGACATTTCCTTTTCAATAAATGTTGTGAGTTTTTTTTTTTGAAAAGCTTATTGCTATAAAATACATTTCAGGGAAAAAGTGCCCAGATTTTGCACATCCTGAGCCCGAGGTTGATCCACAGGGATTTTCATTTTGTCGATTAAAGGTAGTATAGATGAATTTTGAAATTTTCGAATTATTCAATCATTTTGAATAATATAGTGCAAAATTTTCGGGTTCTCTGAGTGGATTGTATTCAAAGTATCAAGTTTGAATCAAGTAAATGAGGTTAAGCTCAAGTTGAGCCGTTAAGTGAACGTTAAGTGTTAAGTGTTAAGTGAGTGTATTAGTTAAGTGTTAAGTGAGTGTATTAGTTAAGTGTTAAGTGAACGTTAAGTGTTAAATGAACGTTAAGTGTTAAGTGAGTGTATTAGTTAAGTGTTAAGTATGTATAGTATGTATTAGTTGAGTGTATTAGTTGGGTTTCTTGTCTTTTGAACATAAATAAATAGTACTGAACTTTCATATCTATCACAGAAACAATAAATAAAGCTTAACTTTTAATGAATAACAATATTATATTGCTTTTTTAAGACCGACGAAGCGACAGCGCTTCAATGGATTCGCCGGCACAAACGACAACTGCGAAATGCTTTCTGTTAGCCGCAAGCTGTACGAAATATACGAAAAACTATAATTAAGTATAATCGTTTACATAAAGATTAACATATTTGTGCTAAACATTATCTAGAATCAATTTTCAATATAAAATCCTCACTTTTCTAGCGCTAAAATCAGTATTTCCCTATTTTTCCTAGTCTTTCATTGTGTTTTGTTTTTTTTTTCGGGTATCTCATTGATTAAAAACTTTTATTAAACTCTTTAGTGTTAAAAAGAAATTTGCAAATCTTATACCCAAAAATAAGAAAAAATAAAGCTCCACACAAAACCCGTAAACAATGAAAACTGAGAGACAGACAGACAAAAAATTCTTCTTTATTGAGCAAAATTTTTTTCCTAATTAAGAATTGGGGAAGTCTAATCTAAAGTTTTAAAAAAAATATTTAAAGAAATCAAGTAATGAAAGTAAACTAAATATTCAAATAAACACCCCAATAAACGAGATGAAAAAGACAAAAGAAAGAAGGGAAAGCAACGCGCGAGAAGAGATCCACTTGAGCCGGTCTCACCGATCGGAAATATGGTTGCGGTTGAATGGGAATCGGTATGTTCGGCATCATGGCCAACAATGGAATCCGTTGATCTGTTGCATTCATCGACTCCAATTCCACCTAAAATCGTTGTCATTTGTGTCACTTTTTCTTGCATTCTCGAGTTCTTATAATACACTACTGGACAATGAAATATCATATTTGAAAAAACGATCGTCACTTCCGCGCTTCTGTAGCTGCTCCCTTGCATTTCCCAAATCTAACTGATAGAATTGACCATGGGAAATTTGAAAGATTCCAGCTTTCGTAAATTTATTGAAATTGCAGAAAGCTGTGTGTAAAATTCGAGTCAATGATTCAATACAAATACGTAAAGAAACAGTTTTCTAAAAAACTTTGACGAGGATTCGAACTTGGGTGCAAAGAGGTGGCAGGATCAGCAGTCTAGCAGACTATCCACTAGACCACCGTGGCGCCTGTTGAGCCAGCGTGTATAAGCTATAAGTTAGCTCGAGCCTTAAGCTCGAGTCAAAAGGCCAGCTTAAGTTGGTGCCTTTTAGAAATGAGAAAATTCCAACGCGAACCTAATTCCACCTTCGTTTTCTCGACCCTTTCTTGGCCGAGCAAAATACAAGTGGAATTACACTACTGGACAATGAAATATCATACAGGGTGGCTGATAATTACGTGCGCGCAGCATCAGCATCATAGTTTTAAACAATGTATAAAGCATTACTACTCATCTTTTTGTGTTTTAATATTCTTTTTATCGTGGTCTAATAATTTTTTGTTAAAAAAGTTGTTTTCTAGGTCATGACAAAGACGTGCGCTAGTCGGGACGCAATCGCACAGCTGGCGACGAGCGGCATGAAGAACTCGTCGATCGCATCGAGGCTTGGGGTGGCTCTGAGGACCGTCCAGAAGATCGTAAAGCAATGGAAAGATGAGGGGCATGTTCAGTCTAAGCCCGGAAGAGGACCAAAGAGGACCGTTAACACCCGAAAGATGCGTGGGATCATCAAGAGGAGGATCGAGCGAAAAGACGATCGTAGTTTGAACAAGATGGCAAAACAGCTTCAAATTTCGCGTTTCTCGGTTCAATCGATAGTGAAAAATGAGCTCGGACTTCGAAGTTATCGACTGTTAAACGGGCAAGTGCTCACCGATCAAGCCAAGCAAAACCGGAAGGAGAAATGCAAGAAATTGCGAGCTTTTTTCAAGGTGCGGCGCATTGACGATGTTCTTTGGTCAGATGGAAGATTTTCACCTTGGAAGTGGCTAAAAACTCACAAAATCACCGTCAACTTCTCAGTCCAGCTCTCAAGAGCACTCGTAAACGAAAAGTCGCTACAAAGGTCTGTTTCCAAAAAGTTTGATGGTTTGGGGTGGCATCAGTGCTTCGGGCAAGACCCCGTTGGTTTTTATCGATAAAAATGTGAAGATTAACGCAAAAGTCTATCAAAAGAGATTCTCGAGAAAGCTGTGGTGCCATGGAAGAGAGCCATCCCAATTTGACCCTTCAACAAGATGGGCGCCGGCCCACGGAGCCAAAACAACAATTCGCTTTCTCGAAACCAAAATTGGCTCTTTTTTGACGAAGGATCAATGGCCTGCAAACAGCCCGGATCTCAATCCGTTGGACTTTTCGGTTTGGGGTTTTATGGAAGAACAATTGAGAAATAGAAAAATCACCAATTTGAATGATTTACGTCGAGAATTGATCAAAATCTGGAACGACTTAGATGCAAATTATCTCCGCCGCACCGTCGATTCTGTAAAGAAGCGAATTGAAGCCTGTATCAAAGCGGATGGAGGCCACTTCGAAAATTTCTTGTGATTATTAAATGCTTTTGTTACAACTATTATATAAATAAAGATTTTTACATTTTCTTTGAAAGAAAATTAAATTATGGCGTTTTCTTTGGCGCACGTAATTATCAGCCACCCTGTATTTGAAAAAAGGTCGCCACTTCCGCGCGTCTGTAACTCCCTTGTCTTTACCGTATCTCTAAATATTAATATTACGATTGTGTAGCCCTTGAAAAGAGCTTTCAGAAAATGTATAACACTAATAGTTTAAACTCAAAGACAAGGGAGTTACAGACGCGCGAAAGTGACGATCGTTTTTCAAATATCATATTTCATTGTCCAGTACTGTATCTTCTATCCAATATCCAATAAAATCTACAATCCTTTCTTTCATTCACTCACTTTCACACTCTTTTTCTTCTTCTTCGCCACCGTATTCCTTCGTAGTTCACCTTCACTGCTTTCATAGTATTGTATTGGTGCTTGATTTAAAACCGCTCGATTTCTTTTCATCAAATACCCCACTGTTGCGTATTCTACCAATGAGGCAAAGACTGAAAATTTCTCTTTAAACTAATTTTCTTATTAATAAAGAAGATTAGACTCACCGATAAAAAAGCAAACTCCCAGAAAAATGTCTAAACTTTTCACATAGCTAACCTAAAAAAAAACACTTTTTAATTGTTTGACTTTTTAAGAATAACCTTTGGTAGACTCGAGTTCGTGCTGGTCATTAAAGTTGTCATCGTCAAGACAGTGGTTACGCCTAGAAATTTCCCCGAGTGTAATTATTTCAAAGAAAAAGCGTTCAAAGGGTAAGAATGTAAGAATGTAGGAAAATTGTTTGAAACAAAAAGAACATCGAATTTGACCAGGAATTCAGGAATTCAGCGAGTTCACACACCCACGAGAGACGGAAGTTATTATATGAAAAGACGGGAACAAAAATTTCAGTGACATAATTTTCTTCTTCTTCTTCAGTTTCTTCTCCCCCCCAAATTCCCCCAAGTTCATTGAAGAGATAAACGTTTGGTTTTGAAATGAGAAAAGACAATGAGAAGTTTTCCCCAAAGAAAAGCAAAGAAAAGCAAAGAACTTTGAAACTCACCAATGCCCACTCGAGCTTGGACAGCTTCGCGATTCAGCCAAAAAGATACCCAAGAGATGACAACTGGAAAAAAAAGACGAAAATCAGAAATCAAGGATTCTGATGTTTCTCTGATAAGAATCAGAAGTAATCATAAGTTAAAAGTTTACCAATAAGCGAAGAAGGAAAGTAGATTTGAATTAGAAAGAACCCAATATTGCGTTGAAAGGTGAAATAGGCAGTGAGACGTGAGTAGTTACCTGAAATGTTAGATTGATTTGCTCTTATCAATGTCGGAGCACAGAATTCACCAAGTAAAGATCATTTAAAATTAGTCAGTGATTTCTATTTGGTTAGTATACGGTATAAAGTTTATAGAATTTATAGAAATCAACATGAAAAGCCTTTAATTGTTAAGCAGATCAATGATTTCTATTTTACATCAGCTTTTAGCTAGTGTTCATATAGCCAAATATCTTCTTCTTTGCCAAATATCTTTGAAACTTCGAAACTTTCAGTTAAATTCGATCAATATTTAGATTTTCCAGGAAGCAAACCAGAGCAGCCATGGCCAGACGGCCATGGCTGCGGGTTAAGAGCCTTGTCTCTTACTCGAGAGGTCAAGGGTTCAATCCCGCCCGCTAGGTTATTTTTTTCCTATATATGGGTTTTCCCCTACATTTAGGCTAGTGATTTTCCTGCATATTTATGAGGCAAAAGGTTAAATCGCCCCCATCATGCGCCGAGTTTCGGTTTTTAGCCAACAACTTTGCGTGGATATTATATTTTGAATTGGTTTTGGTATCATTTGATGTGCAATTTTATTCTGCATCGAATGATAGTCAAAATAGTCAAACTATTTTGGTTCGTGCTGAGGAGAGAATGGTCTCAACTCAAAGTTGGGAATCGATCCGAAACCAAGTGAACCTTATAAACCTTGTGTATTTTTTATATCACATTATTCGTGTGAATAAATGTTTTTTTTTAAAAACCAACCTGTGGACAATGATATGACTCGTTCGACGTGATAGTGTTCGCCGATTGAGAAATGAGCCAAGTGCACGTTTTTGTCAATGGTCACAGAGTTTGTCTGATGCCAATGATAGATGATATCTTTTGTTGAGTAGCCGTAGCTCTAAAGTTTTTATTTAATTTCAACTTTTTGAAATTTTTCACCTCAATCTCCAAAGCGCACACTTGAACATCGAGTGGAAACTGAAAAAATTGAGAGTTTTAAGAGAGAAAATTTCTCAAACCGTATGCAAGTTCATCGGACAATTGGCAGTGACCGTTAGGCTGAAATGTTTATGTAACTTTTTATATGATATATAATATTATAATATGTTCATTCCTATGAACATATACTAAAATTGGAACAATACAGAGAAGATTAGCATGGCCCCTGCGCAAGGATGACACGCAAATTCGTGAAGCGTTCCAAATTTTTTTGGGGCCCTCATGGTGTATTGGTTAAGTTATCACTTCCAAACTGAGGGTGTGGGGTTCGACCCCCCTAGGGTTCTCTTCCCTAGCCCGTGCGCCCAGACTAGAGGTCTCTTCTCTAGAGCTGACTAGAGATCCCTTCTCTAGCGGAGTTCACTCTTCCACTGGGTTGGCCCATTCATGGCCTGAGGTTATTAAAGCAAGAAGCCTATCTTCTATCTATCTTCTTTTCTCCCCGCCTCCACATCGCCGAGTAAAATATCTCATCTTTCTCTATGTATTTATGTGTAGATTTGTGTATTGTCTGACTGATTACGCTTTATTTCATGTCCTGAATAAAGTATGAATATATATATATATAATATATACCGTAAATACTGTAATAGTACCCGCCCCCTCGTACAGTCGCGTAGTCGCAAAAGTTTTTTAGTATTTCATTTTTTGCAAAGCACCCGTACTTTCAAAAAATGCGTCTTTGATATCAAAAAAATAGCCCTGAATTTCAGCTATTTTTTGATACCTAAGCGCGCATTGTAGCATAAACCAGTGTCGAGAAAAACGCGTCCAAAGCTAGACTACGCAACACTCCGCACCGTCATTATGGGAGTGGGGGTACTATTACAGTATTTGCGGTAGTATATAATATATAATATATTCATTTCCTTTTCTCACCGAATACTCCTCAACACGTTTCCCTGGCTGTCTATCCGCAAAAACGAGTTATGTGAGGTGGCCTCATGGAAAAACGATTTCTTTTCGTTCGGGAAAAACGTATCCGGTGTCCAGATTTGTTTCACCATATCAATTCCTATAAAAAAATAAATATTGATCCTTAAACAACTTTAGATTCCAATAACTTTACCTATAGTCAGTGATGAGTTGCCGTCATTACCGAAAGCGAGTCGAGGATCACGCCAAATTTGTCGCAAATACAAATCGACCGTGTAATCCTGTAAAAAAATTAAACTTTAAAATTAACTCACAATAAACTTGAAACTATTTATTTACCAAAGTATATTGCTATATTGCAAAGCTCAAAAGCTACCATTGAAACTTCAGAGATTGCTGAAATGGTTGTCACGTGAGCCGTCACATTCACTTCAATTGGTGCTCCTAAAAAAAAAATAATTTTTAGTACTTTATATCTTCAATAGTTAGATCTTCAAAGCCTTTTTGATCAGTTTGTTTTTAGAGAAAAAAGATTTTTCGAGGGTGGCTCACGTGCCTCTAAAGAGTGATTCTTTTTCTCCGAAATTGTGGCTACTCGAGGAAATTGGGTTTCCTCTTCCACGAGTGCAACTCGCTGAAGATTGAAGAAAAGGTTTGCTAATTTCAAAAAATAAAGCATGTTGTAAAGCACATACGTTTACAAAAGGTTTCAGAAGTTGTCAAACTTTTGCGCCGTCAAAGATTTGGAGCGCTCGAGTGTTTGAAAGTTCGAGAGTTGTGGCCATGTGAGAGTTTACTTTTCATGTTTGAGAGTAAACTTAGACTACGCGACGCTCCTGTAAGGGAACTTCTAATAGAATATTAGAATAGAATACCACTTACTATTAGTTTTTTTTCATGAAAAGTGAACGACCACAACTCTTGCACATTTTATTTCTCAAATGGTAACTCTCGAGCACTCGAAGCTTCGAGCTCTAATTCTTGAACGTGTGAACAAGAACCTCGAACTCGAGCACTAGAGTGTGCTTTACAAAATGCCAAAAAAAACTCATTTAACAAGCTGACTTCAGTCTTCAGTTTCTCTTCCTTATTTAAAACCCACCTCCATAGTTGGGACGAATTCTTCGATCGTGGCTAGCGATGAGGCGATCGAGTAACCTAATTATTGAGAAAGTTTTTAAGTGAATATATAATTGGTATTAGCTGAATATCCATTACCAACCTGGACACGTTTGTCTCCAGCTTATCGTCCACTACCACCCTAAAATCTCAAACTATCAAATCCGCAAAGCAGCTCACTCACGTGTCTTTCGATGAAACTGCTTTTGCCGGCTTATACTCGATCTCCTTATCGGATTTCGTGTTCTGAATTCATTTCTTAAGTCATACCGCAAATCCTTTAGATACAACAAACGGTTGGGGTAGGGATTTGGTTGCATTTGTGGGAAAACTCCTTCCTATTTCTGACATTTCTGTTCATTTCATAAAGCCAAGCACTTATTTGAAAGCCAAACTCGTTTGAGCGTTTTGTTTTCAAAAAAACAAATAAGTGTGGAAGAAATGGGCACGCAAAGGACTTACCGAAGCATTAGTTGGGCGTCGAGGTCGCTGAAAGCGTTAAAAAGCTGATTACTGGTTGTTAAATGGGTAGATTATTATCTAAGGCTTGGTTTTGAATATTTTATAGATATGTTAAACGCTTGTTGAGCTGACGGTTAGATTTTATTGGAGGCTACCGTATTTTCTCTAATAGTAGTGCACCGCGGCGAGCCGAGTTGATGACTATTTTACGGTTTCCAAGCTTTTGCAGAAACTCAACACTCAAATCCCCCACTAGATCTTATCGTCAGCTACATTTTCCGACCCCACATCGATAGGTTCTGATAAACGGTTCTCGAGATTTCGAGGAATTTAGGCGACGCTCAGGGTGCACTACTATTGGAGAAAATACGGTATTTGTTATGCCATTATGGTGATAGTTGTTAGATAAGTTGAAAGAGTAAAATAATGGTAATAAAAAGCTTTATTTGTTGTCTTTACTACAGTAGTTTTCTTAGGATTGAGAAAGATTTAAAGATAAGAACTTCTTTTAAAACCAACCTCGAGTAATGGAGGTGGCTTCTTGAGTGAGATGCTTTTTGCGTGCAGGTGAAGTGGGATGAGTGAGATGATCGTGAAGATCACCACTGGCTTCCACATTTCATTCATCGCTCGGAGAAATCTCGATGCAAGCACATCTCCGTAACAAAAATCTTAAAATCTTAAAATCTTCTTCCTGCTAAATCTTAAATGCATAAAGAAAAAGGAATTTGCAATGTTCAATGAAACGATGGAAAGAATTCAACAAAATGGTTTCGTTAGTCGACTAAAAGTCTATGAATAACTTTCATTTCCGGAAATTCTCAATCTCAAACATCAAAACTCTTTTTTTCAAAAAGAGGAAAACAACTTAATCCATTAATATTGAGGATTTGGTTGAAATGAGGCAAAACACAAATGAATGGAATGACTAAGCTTTAGAGGAACACTAGCATGTTGGCCATAAAACCATAAAACATAAAAATTCGTTTCTCCTTTACACAACAAAGGGCACATGGTTGAAAGTAATGGAGAGTAATTTTGGAAGCGGATTAATGAGTAAAAAGAACGATTTTAATGAAATATAAAGATTAGGAGAAACGTTCAAATATTGCCGAGATTGTATTGGAAAATATGAGTAAAGAAATATTTCATGCAAAAAAAGATTCAGCGGGACTCGAACCCGTAATCTTTCGGTTAGAAATCCAACGCTTTCGCCTCTAGGCCATGGGGCTACGTGATTGTGATTTGAAAAAGCTTTTTAAAGTTTACTTTACAAGGGATAATCCTAATTTTAATTGTCTCTTTTGAATTCTTTTTTCATGGCTTATTTTCGATGTAACTTTGATTATTTTATTGTTTAACATAATAAAAACTAGCTAGTAAATATGTAGATCTATATATTGGAGAAGGGGTACTCAAATGAAACGAGAATGGGTGCAGAAGAGAGGGAGTGCAGGAGGGTGGAGCCTTTTGTGTGGAGGTCTTCAATGGATCGGGCCAGAAAGACCCGCATGCCAGTTGTGTCTGTTTTTTTTCTTTTCTGAGTCTTCCTTTCCATTTGTGGATATCTTTTACGAGGAACCAAAATGGATTAAGAGAAGAAACACACAAATCTAGAAGAAGCGCCTCTCAATTCGAAACAACGACCCGGGAAAGGCTGATAGTCGCATTTATATTTCGAGATGTTGTAGCATTTTAGACATTCTATATTCTATAGTATAGTAAAAATTGTAAGTAAAGCTTTCTAGATCAATTCGTAACTTTTCTTAATGATATATAGCTATATAGCTAAACTATGTCAGCTATCTCGAGCTACAATTGGGTCCAAAGAATTTGATATTAAAAAATTGTTGAAAAAACTTAGAATAAACGACCCATTGAAATCGCTTACTGCCAAACTATGCATCTAGACAATAAAAATAAAGTGAAAGCCAAGAATAGAGGGATTTTGCAGATCTCCCCTCTCGTATTTCCCAGTGAGCATTTCCCCCGGAAGCATGAAATCAGACAATGCAAATTAAAGCCCTCCATTCAACACCAAAAAAAGGAAATGGTTAAGAATGAAAAAGATTGAGGCTTTCATAGAATAAGAGAATCCTTCTAGAGAATAGACCCTCTATCTTCTAAAAGAAGGTTTTCAAAGATTTTTAGTAGATCAAGCTTTTAAGGTATTGGATTGCACCTAGATGAACTAGGTGCAATCCAATATAACTCTTAGCTTGCTTACTAGCTACAGTCATGTGCAAAAGTCTTTTAACACAAGACAAAATTAAGCTAAAATTAAGCTACAATTTATTTACACAAACGCTGTTGCTATACAAAACTTATTCATCGAGAAAAAAAATATAATTGTCAAAACACCCCTGAAAATCGTGGTGCAAAAGTCTTTTAACACAAGACAAAATTAAGCTATAATCAATATTTTGTTGACCCTCCTTTTGCCAAAAGTACTTCTTTAATACGAGTAGGCATCGATCTAATTAATCCATCAAAGAATGTTCAATCGTCTTCCAAATTTTTCTGATGTGAAGCCATAGCTCGACTTTGGAAGTGACTCGTTTTCCTCGCAATTTCAAATAAGCCCATAGATTCTCGATAACATTTAAATCCGGTGAAAATAGCGAAGCTTTGATCAAAGAAACGTGATTGACCCCAAACCATCCCGGTAAATGGGATTTTCCTTCATTCGAGAGAGTCACAAAGTGGCCCATCAAAAGTTTGCTTTTGTGTACTGGCGAATTATCTTGATAAAGAAACCATCCTGGATTCATCGAAGCAGTCGCAAATGGAAGTAGACATCTGTCCAATATCTCAATATATTGGCGGGAATCCATTGTTGACTTTACAAGGACAAGCGGACGTGTTGAACTTTTACACATCGCACCTAAAGAAATCACGTTGAGCTGCATAAAAAGAAAATTATCCTTACCGAAACACATAATTGATCCTCCGCCTCTTTTCACCGTAGGTTGCAAGTACTTGAGTTGATATCGCTTTCCGACTGGACGTCGGATCAGGTGATTTAGATTCGAAGGAAAAATATCAACTTTTGTTTCATCAAATCACTCGGGCCCAATCATCGATTGTCCAACTTGAATAGGTTCGAGGAAATTTGAAGCCGTTGCCCTTCTGTGTTTGGCTGTCATTATAAGCTTGAGAGCAGGTTTTCTGGTATAAAATGCTACTTGAAGCAAACGTCGATGCAGAAGTCCAGCGGGAAATATTCTTGTTTAGAGTTTGCTTGAAAAAAGTTACTCCATCGTTTAACGTCAAATTCGGATCCTCCTTGAAAGCTCTCGTAAAGAATCGCCCCTCATTCTTTGTTGTAATCCTCGGTCGTCCCTTTCTCCCACACCTGGGTACATTTTCAGATTTTTGCCATAACAAGAGAAACTGTTGTGGGCGTACATCCAAAGAGGTGAGCAACGTCTTGTCGTGGCATTTCTCGGTTCCTTTCCTCGACGATCATTTCTTTATCCGGAGTTGAAAAAGATCATTTCTTTATCCGGAGTTGACGCTTCAGGCATCTAAAAAAAATAAATTAGTACCAGTAAATAAGAAGAGAACGAAAATAATAAAAAATTCTTTCAAGTGTTAAAAGACTTTTGCACATGACTGTAGCTTAGGCTAAAGTTTAAGCCGTTTTTTTTTCTAGAACTGTCGAGAGAAGTGCTCTTGGCTATCAATACTTAGAAAGAATAAAAATTACATAATCATCATTTTTAATCTCAAGATGATAAAGTATCGATAAAATGTGAGCAATCAACAAGTGTTGAGTGTTGAGTGTTGAGTTGAGGGAAGGGGGTGACGAGGATTGTGAAGAAGGGGGGAAAAAAGGGGGCAAATTGAGGGGGAAAGCGCGGTGTGGAGGGTATATCTCGACATGCACCTAAATGTGTGAAATGTGCGTGAAAGCATGAAAAATGGCTGTATGGAAGAGGTGAGAGAGAGGCAATGGACGGGGAGGGCACACCACCAACGAGGGGAATCTGAATGGCCGCTCGAATTCGATTCTCCTTCTCTTTCCTCTTTCCACTCCCTCCGCATTCCAAACCTCGATCTCCTACTCGACTTGTCCATGCTCGTTTTTGTGTCGTCAGCTTTTTGGTTTCTGAGCGCCTCAAGTGTTCCCAAAAAGCGGCGCTCTATCTTTGGGAATCCAGCAAACTTTTTTTGGGTAAACGCTTGCAAACAAAATTTTTCCCTAACTCTGTAGATACTAGCGGTGATCTTTGAGCTGAAATCATTTTCTTAAGTTTTAGAACTTGGTAGTTTGTATGAAGTTTGCATGAAAGATTACTCAAATGTTTAGCTGTTGACACCATTGCTCTGAAATTTCTGCAAATTATTGGTGAATGAGTTTTTCGTTTCTTTTCGTACTTTTGTTTAAAACCAACAGTGGCAAAAAAAGAGAGCCGATTTTCAATAATTTTTTTCTAAGCGCTGGTTAATGCTAAAAATATGTGTTATATCTGAAAAAATCACCCATCCTCTCTACTTTAATTTGATACCCAAGCACGCAGAACCAAACGTACTGGTTAAGAGATATGAGCGTTTTTTTTGAGAGTAAATTTAAACTACACGACGCTCCTATAGGGGCGCCGTTCTAGAGGCCTTAGAGTTTTTTTTACGGTATCTTGATGTAAATAGAGAAAAAGATAGAGCATAAGAAGTTAGATGTATAGCCAAATTTTTCAGAGAAATTCATTCAGCTAATTTCTTCGTAGGGATTTTTATAGATTTTTACGAAAAACACTTTTCACTCGAATTTCCTCTTGAAAGTGAACCGAAATTGACTTAAAAAGATAGGAAATTGGACAATAAACACTTTTTATTTAAAGGAAACCATAAATTAATTGGTGAATATTTTGTTATTTTTCAACACAAGTACGAAAAGAAATGAAAAGACATATTCACCAACCAAATAGCTCTTTCCTAGCTTTCTATCTACCTTTAAAGCGTTCAAAATTTAAAAAAGAGCTTTAAAAACAAGCGTTTAGTCAAGTTAATCAATGAAATAATCAAAATTACATCAAAAATAAGTCAAGAAAAATGGGAACAGTTTACACGGAAAAGAAAACAAAAATTAGCATTAAAATTAGCATTTATTCTTTCCTACTTTACATTTGCACAGTAAACTTTAAAAAGCTCTTTCAAACCACAAGAAACATAGCCCCCGTGGCCTAAAGGCGAAGGCGTTGGATTTCTAACCCAAAGATTGCGGGTTCGAGTCCCGCCGGGGGTCGAAATTTTTCAAAAAAGTTTCAAAAATTTTTTCGACTTTTTTTTTTCTAGATTTTTTCTAGATTGCTCTCTAAATTTCAGTCTTCGACAAGCTGAAGGAGAAATTTGAGATCAGTCATCAAGAAGGCTTTGCAAAAGTCTGTGAAGGTGACTTTTTTGAGATTGATGAGACAAAGTGGGAGGCTCAAATCTCAAAAAGGAACGCCAGAGCGGAGGACAGCCGCGGGCGTTCAAAGAGCACGTGAGTCAAAAATTTCAGAAAACGGGAAAATCAGATTTTAAGATAATTTTTCACAAACATGTAGCTGTTTTTCTTCCGGAATTGAAATCAGCAAGTGTTTTTGGGGCTAGTGCGAAAGAGTGGGATCTGTGGTTTGTGAGAGAAAGCAAAGAAAAGAGGGAAAGAAGGAAATCCCCGGTCTGTCTCGTAACACCAAGCAACCCATAGTTGAATATTCATCGTCAGGCTGCCGTTTTGGGCGTTTGGCGTTTCGAGGTGAATCTCAAAAATCACGTGAAAGCAAAGAATCGATCATTTTGCAACAAAATTCTGCAACAAAATTTTGAGGCAACAATTTTGTAGAGTTGGGCAAAATTCCCCGGAAAACTTTTTGGAAAAGTTGTTTTCGCATGCTTAATTTATTTCAAAGTGTTAAGTGTTATATAGAGAATTGTAGCCCTTAATCTTGGCTACATTTATCTACTAAAAACTTCTTAATCGGATTTATGCAACTCATTTAACAAGTCCTTGAATGAGCACTAGTTGATCTCTATGCGGCGCTGCCATTCTAAACTTTGGTTTTGGTGCAAAACTTCTGTTGATGTTTTTCTTCCCGAGGGCGCGGGTGGGGTTTGGCGTTTTTTTGGAGGAATTACGCCTTCTCGTTGTGATATTCGTGATCAGCACACAAAAGTACCTAAGAAAACGAATTTTCGGGGTTTAAAAATGGGCTCAACTTTTTGTTTGATTTTTCAAAAAGGCATCAAGTTTTTTTCTTTATATTATCAAGTCAAATCTCGTTTCAAATCGAATCTACATCTTCAACGAATCAATGGCAATCTTTTCGAGCAAATCTTTGCCTCTAAAATCTAAAATATAATCTAAAGAGTTTAAATTAAGCGGATTTTAAAGGTTACATTTGATTTCAGCCGGCTTTTTGTTTTGTTTTATGGGATTTGTTGAACGGGAATGAGAAAAATGATTGTGAAAAAAAACGGTTAAACAAGGAGAAAAAGAGAAATTCTTAAAGAAAGCATAAAGCATATTTTCAAAAAGAAAAACCCAACTTTTCTAAACAATAAGCTTTTGCTAATAAAGAGAAAGGCGTTCGTTTTGAACAAAGGATGAGTCAAAAAAAAGAGAGAAAATGGATGAGCAGCGGAAAGGAGGAGAAGAAGTGAGTCTTTTGTGGGCACGAAGTCTAGGGTCATGAGAAAATATTCTGGGGCACGTTGTTTGGGTGTATGATGGCGAGGTTCCTTTTTTCTTTTCCCTTTCTCTCACCTCTCCAATGGTCCATGGTTTTCCTCAAGGGACCCCATCGGAATGGCCTCCGAATAGAGCCTGTGTCTTCACATGGTCAGCTCTTCTCATCCACTTTTCATCTCAAAAAAGAGCCGTTTCTTTTGCGGGAAAGAGAACGCAAAAAAAACATTAGAAACTCCTTGTGGCAACTCTTTGATAAACTCAGAATCTAGCGGGAAAAAAATGCGCACTGATTGACAAAGCGGTTCAGCTATTTTTTCTCAATTTTGGTTTGATATTTTAAGAAATTTTTAAGAGTAAAATGAATGGTTTAACTAGAAAATAGTGTTTTCAAAGATGATGAGTACTGAAGAGATTCTAGATAACTTTTGTACCTTAGATACTAGATAACTTTTGTAACTTAGATTCTAGAGAATTTTTGTACCTTAGATTCTAGATAATTTTGGTAACTTAGATTCTAGATAACTTTTTTACCTTAGATTCTAGATAACTTTTCTACCTTAGATTCTAGATAACTCTTGTACCTTAGAATCTAGATAACTCTTGTACCTTAGATTCTAGATAATTTTCTTAGTGATTTTCGTTTTCCTGGCTTTACCTAGTTAGCCGAGAATTATCCAGAAATTTAAGTAAATTTTTGATTTAGTTAAATACGTTTATGACTTTTTAAAGTTAAAGTCAGTTATTTGTCAGTTGTCAATCAGTTATTCGATCAGTAGAACTTTGCACAGTTCTAGTTCTGCTTTGAAGACTTTCAAAGATCGTTGAGAGCTCTTCTCTAATAATCTTAAGAAAGCGCTTAGAAATGCAAGGATTGCAGATTCATGATTGTTTTTTTCAGGATGAAAATCTTCATCTTTTTCTATCTGTTGATTGAGAGCGAAAGTGATCAACGATGCATGCAGTCTTTTGTAGAAGGCAATTGTGAGAAGAGTTGGTATAGAAGAGGTCTAGAGGAGGTCTAGAAGAGGTTTAGAAGAGTAGAATGAAGAAAAGAGAAGCGAATGACTTTGTCATGCATGTCGCTCAACAAATTTCTTGACATCAACGCTTTCTATAAATAAAAGTTCCAGTAGAGGTGCTTCTTTAAATTTCTTTCATTCCAGATCCCATCTTCATTCTTTTGGAGCTACCTAGAGTAATAACTCAAGCTTACTTACAGTTAAACAATTTGGAACTAAGGTAAACAAGTTCTCTACAAGTTTTCTACAAGTTTCTATTATCTAGTTTCTACAATTTATTTATATCTAGTCTCTAGAAACTTTCGAATTGTTTAAATCTTTCAAATCCACTCTTTTTTTTTTCTAAACTTAATTTGTAAAGATAGGAATAGCAATAGTTAAGAATATTAAAGTTAAAGCCCGACCAGATGGGATTCTTTTTCTCAGGGATTACTCGTAGTGTTCAAAAGTTAGTAAAACCCTCTTGGGAGTCAAAAGAGAAGCTCAGTAAAGGCTAATCTTTGACCATGGCTTTTCGGCCCCGACTTTCGCAATCTGCTATTTTCAATAACGATCGTCTTCTCGTCTGTTTCACCTTTCCAGAACTTTTAAGAATTACCAGTGCACCAGCTTCACTATCTTTTATGATTCCACTTCTGTAACTGTCAGTTTTCTAATTGTAAGTAGTTTTGTTGACTTTTCTGGCTTCTGTATAATACTTTTTATTTGTCCATATCATGTAAATGTTCCAAAATTATTGCAACAACTATTATTTGCTTATAATTTCTCTCTCGTTTCTTTGATTGAAATAATTTTTATATCAATCGAAAGGAGACGACACGACGAGTATCATAATGGCAAAACTATTTCAATCGGACAACTGAGCGCTAAGAAATTTGAGTTTAAAGTTAGATTGTCGATGAAGTAAAAAGTGGACTGAAATCAAATGTCAGAGAATCTTTGTGTTTAAATTAGGCGAATTTTGTGTTTCTCGAGCTTCTCTTCTTCGTAATTCTCATTCTCATTCACTCTCTCTCTCCTCATCTCTAACCTCGAAACACGCATCTCCTCTCCAAATCCAAAAAAGAGCTTTCAAAAAGACAACAAGATAAAATTCGCCTAATTTAAACACCTTAGATTATTATATATTTTAAGAAATTTTTAAGAGTAAAATGAATGGTTTAATTAGAAAATAGTGTTTTCAAAGATGATGAGTACTGAAGAGATTCTAGATAACTTTTGTACCTTAGATTCTAGATAACTTTTGTAACTTAGATTCTAGAGAATTTTTGTACCTAGATTCTAGATAACTCTTGTACCTTAGATTCTAGATAACTTTTGTAACTTAGATTCTAGATAACTTTTGTAACTTAGATTCTAGAGAATTTTTGTACCTAGATTCTAGATAACTCTTGTACCTTAGAATCTAGATAACTCTTGTACCTTAGATTCTAGATAACTTTTCTACCTTAGAATCTAGATAACTCTTGTACCTTAGATTCTAGATAATTTTCTTAGTGATTTTCGTTTTCCTGGCTTTACCTAGTTAGCGAAGAACTATCCAGAAATTTAAGTAAATGTCTAGATTTTTGTTTTACTTAATTTTAATCTACAAATTTTTCCCTCAAAATTTTATTGCACAATTTTGGGAAATTAGTTCTTGAATCTTTAAATAGTTCAATGATTTTATTGAGCAACGAGTTTAGGCCAGTTGTTTGCTTTTCATAAAATTCCGGAGAAGATAGGATGGAAATGAGGCTAAGAATTTTCCGGACTGGTGTCCAAATCCTTGCACCCAGGATGAAGGGGAAGAGAGGTGGGAAGGTTTTTTTTTGTTTGTTGGAGCGCATGAGTCTTCTCCCCTTCTCCCAAGCTGTCGGTCGCACGCCTTCCCCCAGTCGTTCCCTCAAATTTTCACCTCTCACTTTTTAATGTTTTACTAATCAATTCCTATCTTTTCCAAGCATACTTTCACCCAGTTTTATTCATTTAGATTCATTTAGAATTCAGCTTGATGAGCGACTCGATGGAGACGTTGAAAACGAAAGAATGGGGTAATTTGTGAAGAATTTCATGAGATGAAATAAAATTTCAGATGAAATTCAGCAAGAGAATGATGACCCGGAAATGCAATTTGATCCGATAATAACTCAGGGAAATGACTTTGGCAATCAGGTTGGCTTAGTAAAAGAAATATAGACAAGGCTTTTTTAGGGGATGATCGAAGAGAGTTTTGTGATCGAACATTATCAGCAACCACAGATTTTGAGCGTCGAGAGTTACGAAGAACCGAATGAGAATGTTTTTGAGGGAAATTTTGATAATAGGGAGGAAGAGGAAGAGGAAGAGAAAGAGGAAGAGGAAGAGATGGTTGAAGATGATGGGGAAGAACCGGAAGAAACCACTTCGGATCATGAAAACGGTAGGAGGTTAAGAGAGGAATTGGGTGTGGCAATTTGCCGTTGAATGTAGCAAAGTGTCTGCTGAAACCGGTTGCAGAATTATTAGCTCTCTTCTTTGAAGAGCAGTTTTGTGATTTGCTAATAAAGTTATTTCGGAAGAAGTAAATAATTTAGAATCAAAATTTCTTTTGGTTAAGATCAGACAGATTCTCAAGATGAAACTTGTAAGCTTTATGAGCTATGAAAGCTATGAAGGCTTTGAACTATGAAAGCTTCATAACCTATGATACTTGTAAGCTTTATGAGCTATGAAAGCTATGAAGGCTTTATGAACTATGAAAGCTATGAAGGCTTTGAACTATGAAAGCTTCATAACCTATGAAACTAGTAAGCTTTATAAGCTATGAAAGCTTCATAACCTCTAAGATCTTTATGAGCTATGAAAGCTATGAAGGCTTTGAACTATGAAAGCTTCATAACCTATGAAACTTGTAAGCTTTATTAAAAATAAAACCTATTGCCAAAACCTATTGCTTTTTCAAATTGTTGTAAATGACTCAAGAATCACTTTTTTTTACAGAAACTTCTGCCGACCTTGAACAAAATGTTCTTAATGTGGAAGAAAATGTACAAGAACAACAGGTATTTCTTTCAAGAATAGCATATTGCCGATGTTCTTCAATCCCAAATTTCATTGTTCGATTTTTAATGAGAGACCAAGAGTGCTGGCTCCTTTTCAAATAAGACACCTGAGCAAACATGAATCCTCCCTTTTCCTCTTCTTTACATATTCCAGCTTTACCTCTTCTTTTCATATTGCAGCTTTACCTCTTCGCCCCTTTGCAAAGTCTTATCAAAACTTTGCATGTTCCCTCTTCTTACAAAAAAAATTTCAAAACTACTTCAAATACTTCAAATTTTTGATCTTTTTTTGAAATAAACTTTCAACTTTGGTTATTTGTGAATGCGAATAGCCTTTGTGAATGCGAATAGCCTTTGTGAATGCGAATAGCCCCAAAGCCAAACTTTGTTTTTTTATAAAAACTCATATTTTTAGTAATATCTTTTTTAAGGTATTGTTGTTTTTTTGAAAGCTCTTTTTTTGGAGAGGAGATGCGTGTTTCGTTGTGAGAGATGAGGAGAGAGAGAGTGAATGGGAATGAGAATTACGAAGAAGAGAAGCTCGAGAAACACAAACCGCTAAAGCAAATACTGAGCGCTTGCTTGTAGGCTTCGATAGCACAAAAAAACCCTCTCACCTTCTGGCTCCTCACAGAAGCTAGCGTTTTTGTTTTTAAAGATTTTTGATCTTTCTTTATGCAAATTTTTGAAGTTGACTTGATTCTAAGCTAAGTTAGCATTATCATTGTCCATTATCCGTGAAGTTAGCATTATCATTGCCCATTAAGCATTATCCGTTTTTTGAAAACTAGTTTAGATTGATTTTTTATAAACAAATCAACAAAATTCAGATGGAGAACTCTTCAAAGATTGAGGGAAATGATGAAAACGAACCAATTCAGACAAAAGAAGAGAACGCTGAGGCAAGGTGAGAAAATCGTTAGCCTTATCTCGAAAGAGTACATAAAATTTGCAGCTTGAGCAATCAAATTTCACAGATCGACCCTTCAAATGTGTGTGTAGAGGTGTGTGAAATGACGATTTAAAACTTGGAAAGCTTGAAAGCTTTCCTTTTGTTTGCATTTTCTTTCAGAAACCACCAAAACTTCAACAACTAAACGCAAACGTCGAGAAGAAACAAGCAACAGAAGAACAGGTGAATTCGCATCAAAAAGAAGGCGATTCATCGATTTCTTTAGACAAAAACGAAATCTCAAATTCGACCGCCACAAATAAAGCCAAGTCCAGCAAAAACGTTGGTTGTTTTGTTTTTATTTTTAACACGTTGACGACAATGGCGTTTTTGCACAAACAATCGCATGGGACAAGGGTGTTTTTTTCGACAAAAAATGTCACCTGACATCAGGTGACAATGTCCCACAGAGTTCTTTTTTTTCAAACATAAAATTTTTGTGAAAGTTTAAAATGATTATTTGATAATTATGAAATAACAATAATCTAGAAATTTTTATTTATTGGTGATGTTTCTAAGTAGGAGATAACTAGCACTTATCGCCGTTGGCTCTCTAAATAATTCCAGATCGTAAAGGCTGGTGACTATAAATCACCACGGATGTCCTAGTAGTTGAAGACTACAATAAGATGAAAGGATTTGTTGACCTGAGCGATAGTCCTTTTTCTTAGTAGTTATTTTTAGTTGTTGTTTTTAGTTGTTGTTATTAGTTGTTATTCTTGCAAGGAAATGGTCAGAGGGGTCCGTATTAGACTTGGGCCGGAATTTTGGTTCCGGTTCCGGAATCCGGCTTTTTTTAGCATTTCGGTTCCGAATCGGTTCGGATTTTTGAGCCGTTCCGGTTCCACGTCCGGTTGGGCTGCTTTTTCCGGTTGGTTTCGGTTTTTCAAGAAACCCATTCTGGCCCAAGTATGGTCCGTACGCGAGTTATATTCCCTCAAAGTTCAAACAAACTGTTGTAGCTACCCTGGTATTAAAGCTGGTACAAAAGTTGGGGCCAAAATAATAGTCAAAGTCGTTTTCCTCGCCCCCAAAAACCCCCATAAATCAGTTTCGCACGCGTCAGACTCCTCTAATTTGTCGAAGTGCCCTCCGTTCCAGTCCCAGGCTCACTTTATATGACGCGTGCGAAATTCTACATTTTTCTCTCGAAGTAGTAACAGTTTGGCAAGTTAGAGGCGTCTGACATGCTTGAATCTGATTCCTAGGGGTCTCGAGGAAAAGATTTTGGCCATTATTTTTGCACCAACTTTTGCAGGGCCTATAACTCGCGTACTAGAAGTCATTGGCAAAAACGGAATTCGGGTTCTGAATCCTCTCGAAGAGACGCTTCAAATAAGCTATAGCTCGTAGCGAAAGGCCACAGACCCCGCTGACCACTCCCTTGTTAGTTGTAGTTCTTATTGTTCTTATATCTATTATGTTATAAAAAATTTAAATTTCAATAATCAACGGTTAAATCGACATTTTCCGGGACCAAGTCGAATATAGATACTACCCTACTTGCTTATTTAATATCCATCATCAGCAAACATAAATATGCACAAAAAAATCAATTTTGGTACTGTCACCTGACATCAGGTGACAATGTCCCAGGCGAACGAATATGTGTCAGACAGCATCAGGTGACAATGTCGTCAACGTGTTAAATTAAAGATTTTAAATGTCATTTACAGTAGTTTTCCATAGAGTTCGGCAAACAAAACCAAAACCAAAACCAAAACAAGCCAAAACTCAATTTGCATATAAATTAACATGTAAATTTAAAATTGTAAAATGCAAATTTGCCTTTCACTTTTTCTCACTCCACAAAATCAAAAAAAAAAGCACCAAAACACGACCTCGAAATTTCGAAACAAAAAATAGCCTATGGTATAGATTTTTGGACGCTGATTTCAAATCTGCAAACAGATTTTCGCTAGCTCCTCCCAATCGCGAGATATTGACGAGTTTTGGTTAGTTTTGGTTTGTTTTGGTTTTGGTCTGTTTTGGTTTTGGTGGTTTTGGTTTTGGTTAAGTTTTGTTTTTCGAAGTCTAGTTTTTCATTTCTTTTTATTCTAAAAATCCTGGATTTTCGCTGAAAAAAAAGACGTGAATCTAAAAAAAGAAATAGGGTGAAAGAAAGCCATTTAGGGTGAAAGAAAGCCAAAAAGTCAAGGAGAAAGCTAGCAGAAAAACGAATTTTAGGTAGAGATCGGGAAATTTCTTAAAAGAAGTGATGGGAAAGGAGACATATTCGCTCCTTCATAGGATTGGGATGGAGTGGAGGGGAAGTCAAGAAGGGAGGAAGAGTAAGCGTGAGAGGAGTTTGTGTGACTCGATGCTCCATCTACGGAGCTCTCGCCTATTGATCTCTCTCTCTCTCTCGAGCCCTTCTACGAGTTGTACTAGCCCACTCTCGCTCACCACCTTGTATGAGGCTTTTCTTTGAGGTTGGGGGATGAGAGAGTAGATGAGAAAAAAGAGCTTCACTCACTCGCTCAATCCATCTCTCTCTTTTCACCAAAAAAAGCTTTTTCTCATGCTTAATATTTATAGATGTTTATGATATTGTGAACTATTTTTTTTCAACTTGAAAAGTATTAAAACTAAAAGTTCTATTGCTATTTAACTTGAAAAACAATAGGAATGTTTATTAGACTTACTGAATCTGAATCTTCTGATTTCTTTTATCAATTAGCTTTAATACTTTATTCTTTAACTACTTTTTAACAAAGATATGATGTTAAATAATTTAGAAATCATATCTAAATATATAAAACTTTTTAGATACTAATCTTTCAAAGCTTTCTTTTCAGCTTTCTTTTCAGCTTTCTTTTCAGCTTTCTTTTCAGCTTTCTTTCTTAAAGCTTTCTTCCTTCAACTTTCTGCTTTTGACAGCTATAGAAGGGAAAAGAAGCGATTGTCATTTGCATATTCAAATTATTCACACTTTGATGTAGCAATTGAATGCTAGTCGAGAGCCGGACTCTTCTCTTTCTCTTTCGATTTCTTTTTACCACTCCTTTTACCAATGGAAATAATGGGGGCAAAAAGGGCGGTCTTCTCGAATTTCCCCCTCCTCCTCCTTCTCTTTCTTCATCCATGCATCGACAATTCTTAGCTAAATCCATATTCAATTCACTACCAAATATATATCCCATTTGTAACTTCAAAGCACTATCTTTGTTTTCTTATTTTTGCCTTTTTTGTTCAGAAAAACCGCGCCCAAGGAGAAGACACCTAGCAACTCAAAGGCCGAGGCGGCCAGAATGCCTACATCTAGGTAAAAAAAAAAATAAAAACAAAAATGAAATTTACGGGTTGTTTTTTTGATTTCAGTTCGGCTCGATCCAGCCGATCACAGTCTCAGTCGAGAACACCGCTTTCTGGAACGCCGAGAAGCGGTTTGTGACTCATTTTCTGAAGCGTCACCTTTTTATATCATTTTATATCATTTTAAATCATTTTATATCATTTTATAGGTGTGCCCAGCTTGCCAGCAACTCCGAAACTCAGTCAGAAGTATCAAAATGTGCAAAGGTTTGTAGAGAAATTCTGAATTTCACATAATCTTTGAGAAAAAAAGGGAAGCAGCTTGGGTAGATGGTGAAAAGTGGTAATTAGGTGGGGGTGAAAATGCAAGGCGATTTATTCAAGTGCACTGTTGCGTGCACGATGAGAAATCGAGGGGTAAAGAGATGGTGAGTGTGGGCAAGGGTTAGGGTACTAATATACTTTTCAGACAGACACTATTTTAAAGCAAGAAAATGCTTTCAAACTTGTGAAAGAAAGTGAAAGTTTCAACTCTAAACCTAGAAAGGTATTAGTAATAAAATCAATATCAAAAAGCCTACTTTGAAAACTTTAAAATAAAAAACTTATTGATAACACGGGCCTTTTATATTTTAAATTTAATTTGGTGCATCATATTGATTACCCGTTCTCTCGATTTGAATTAGAATTATTGGGTTGGGGAGAATGAGTCGGCGCCAAACTTTAAAGGGACTTTTTGCACACATAAAGCCTTCTTTAAACATACGTTTGGTTTCATCAAAAGGATCCACTATTTCTCTACAAAATGACTTTTGAGAGATTCCACAAAGCTTTTCTTTCGTGGAGTTTATGAACTTCCAAACGCAGCTGGTTAAAATGGCAAAGAGTCCGACTCATCATTTGAACAGTTTCTTTCACATAAACCTTCTTTGGTGTTTATATAAAAAGATAGAGCACATTCAATTACTTAAGTTGCCAAATTTGCAGGAAGATCCCACCAATGGTTTTTTCTAGATGACAGTTTGTAGTTTTTGTGAAAAAATGGCTTTTTCTTGAGCGGAGGCGCTGTTTGAATTTTCTTTTAAATGTCATTTTGTAGAGAATTAGTTAACCATTCTACTCATATCAAACGCATATTATTTGACGAAGTCGAATAGAAGTTTTAGACATTTTTTTCATTTTCGGCGCCGACTCATTCTCCCCAACCCAATAGAATTAGAATTTCTATTGGGTTTTCCAGTTATGAATGCGCGTTTTTTACTATTTTGTAAATTTCTCAAGATATCGAAATCAAGAAAAAGATATATATGAGTATTATTCGAAAGCTGAAGATCTCCTCTACATTTTGATATAAAAAGTTTTTGAATTTGTCCAGCTTTTGGGCAAACTGACTGCACAGAAGAAGAGGTGGCCAAAAAAATGGAAGGATGCCTTTGGATCAAGTTTTGGCTCCGCTCAAATTGAGTTAACCGTTTGATGTTTGGCTAATAGATATATCAATACAACTTTTTTTAAATACAACAATTTCAGAGCATCTTTTCTTTTCTGCTCTTTTCTGGGCGGTTATTTTACATCATCAAACTTGAGGAATAGCTAAGCTGGAATAGGTTTTTTCGAAAACGACCTCTCCCTTTGTGCAGTCAATTTCCCAAAAAGTTGCATGAATTCAAAAACTTTTTTATTCCAAAATGTAGAAGAGATCTTCAGCTTTCGAATGATATATAACACTCATATACATCTGTTCGATGTCTTGAGAAATTTACAAAATAGTAAAAACGCGCATTCATAACTGGACAACCCAATATTTCTATTTCTATTTCACTTTCTAAAATTTATGTAAACATTTAAAATCCAAAAGCAACAAACGCTTTTTTACAATAAATTTCATATTATTGAAGAATTATTTTGTTGTCAACAACAACAAAAAAACAACAAAACAATGTCAACAATTGTGTAATTGGGCTCTCTACGGGGCGCCTCCAGAAGGCTCTCTACGGGGCCTTTTCTCATACGTCAACTTTCCGATTCCTCTAAAAACTCTCACAGTTTCTTTCTTTTTAAGCGAGCTATTAAATTGTGGAACCTCTTACCCTCTCATATTCGTGATATTCCCACTGTGGCTAGATTTAAAGCCGCAATTTTCGGCAATTGATTTGACTGCTCTTTGATTCTTTCTTGAGGTTTCTTTTTAACTTTTGGGTGTTTTTTGAGTGGTGTCCTGGGTGATTTTTGTGATCTTGTTTTGCCGCTATTCAACCGAATAAAGCATATATATGTGTCTCTTCGATTTCCCTGATAAAAGTCTAGTTATGGTCGAAGTCATGGCGGATAAAAATGAATCGTGTAATCAACATGATGCATTCAGATGCTAATTTAGAGAAAGAAAAAACGGGCCTTTGTAATCAATAAGTAAAAAGATTTCTTTTAGCCGAGTCACCTCAAAAACATCTCATTCGCCCGGTGGTGGGAATGTGCAAATTTTTGATGAAAAGCGTCGATACAGTGCTTCGTCTAAAGTCGGCTCTTTACAAAACGTCAATCACAAACCAGGTAAATGTTTTTGAAAAATGAATTTGAAAGTCATTGTCGAATTTTATTTACGGTAATTGCCGGACGTAGCTTGAACTCTTTAAGGTGGCGGCAATGTGAAAGTAGAGACGGCAAAGTTGAACTTCAAAGAGATTGCAAAGCCGCGTATTGAGGCCCGATCTGAGCATGTGGCTGTACAAAGTGAAAAAAAGGTAGACACAGACAAATATTTCATTAATTCAAAAATTTCATTGCTAGATTTCCATATTTTCTATAGAATTTTCTATAGATTGCCTCTCAAAAACTTCAATGGAACGCTCAGAGTCGGATTGGCTCCATGGAAAACGCGACACACAAAGCTGGTGGCGGAAATGTAAAGGTAAACAACTCAATAGCTTGTTCTCATGTCCAAATTTTCATCTTTTAAGAATGGTTTTCAGATTTTCAACGAAAAAATCGATCTCACGAAAGCCGCGTCGCGGGTCGGCTCAATGGAAAACGCGACACATAAAGCAGGAGGTGGAAATGTAAAGGTAAACCCTTGCTTGGGGGTTTTTCTTTGAATTCATTTAAATGTATTATTTGAAATATTAAAAATAACCCTTAAATTTCTAGATATTCAATCAAAAAGTCGACACCGCGAGTGCCACGTCGAAAGTCGGCTCTCTTGAAAATGCTGCTCATACACCTGGTGGCGGAAATGTTTTGGTGAAAATAAAAGAAAATTTAAAGGCTATTCAGTTGAAAAGTTAGAAAAGTAAAAATTAATTATAAAGAAATGAAAAGTATCAATTTAGATTGAGGATCGTAAACTCGATTTCTCGCGTAATGCACGCTCAAAAATCGCCTCAACTTCACCTGGCGGCTCTGCTGGCATGTCGAGAGGGTTTGCTTTTGCATATTTCTCTGAAAAAAAACTTAAAAAATGTTCTACTGAAAGTCAAATATAATTTGTAAACAGCTTATTTAAAGTTTTCATTCAAAAACTTACCGTAAATACTGTAATTGGACCCCGCCCCCATCATGACGGTGCGGAGTGTTGTGTAGTCTAGCTTTGAACGAGTTTTTCTCGACACTGGTTTATGCTACAATGCGCGTTTAGGTATCAAAAAATAGCCCTGAATTTCAGCTATTTTTTCATACCAAAGACGCATTTTTTGAAAGTACGGGCGCTTTGGAAAAAATGAAATACTAAAAAACTTTTGCGACTACGTGACTGTACGAGGGCGGTGGGGTACTATTACAGTATTTACAGTAGATATAAAATGAATCTCTTAAACTTTATCTTTTACTATATAATTTCTTGATAAAGTCTTTAAAACAAAAGCTAAAAATAACAAAACTTTTTTGTCAGATCAAGTGAACGATCGATGCCGGGAGCAGTGGATCCATTAAGAGCTGAACAAATTCTCGGACCTGCTTAAATATTTCTCAGAACATTTCCCCAGTTATATTTTTTACATTTTTGTGTAAATGATACTCGAGTTTTCTCTCTTTTAGAATAAATATTTATTCGAATTCATTTCAAAACGAAGAAACAGATTAGATAAATCAAAAAAATTGACTCGAATCTGATCTCTTGGCAAAAACAGAAGCATGAGAAGAATTCGGAAAACGGAAAACTGTGCGAAAACGGAGATTTTGGGGTTATCGCGTTAATCGGCTTTACGTGAAGGAAAAAGCTGTTCCAAAAGAAGATACAATTGCGCTTTTTGGGATCAGCTTCTTCTTTCACCTCTATCTTCTCCTTCTTCTCCTTCTTCTTCTTCTTCTTTTTCTTCTTCTTCTCCTTCTTCTCCTCCTCCTTCTCCTTCTCCTTCTTCTCCTTCTCCTTCTTCTCCTTCTCCTTCTTCTCATTGTTACCCACCAACTGATCACATCACTTGCATTCTTGAACTCAATATTATTCCTTTTTTTTTAAAATGAATAATATTCCGTATTCTCGTCAAAATTCTCAAGTTGAGAATGCTCTTGGCGCAAGGTTGGTTGAATTAAAACGAGATTTGACTTTGATTTCATTTGACTTAAATCTTTGCCAATCTTTGGACTGGACACCCTTCAAATAAAAACAAAACTTTTCCAAATTCTTCGACTTCTCATTGAGAAAAAATGATTTAAATAATGCCGAGAAAGGATGCGTTTCGATTGTTCTAAACAAAGTACACGCATCTCAAAAGGCTGTCTTTCTTTTGCTAATGGTTGATTGCTAAAAAAAAGCTATTTGTTTTTAAAGTTAGAATCTATAGCTCATATCCAGGAAGTCATTTCGTTCCTTTTCTGTTGAAAAATAACAAATATTCACCAATTAATTCATTTTCTTTAAATAAAAATGTTTTTTTGTTCAATTTCCCATCTTTTTAAGTCAATTTTGGCTCACTTTCACGAGGAAATTCGAGAGTGAAAACGGGTTTTTCTATAAAAAAAACTCTACAAAGAAATTGACTTAATGAATTTCTTTAAAAATTTAGCTATATACCAAACCTTTTATGCTCAATCTTTTATCTATAGACATCAAGATATTAGCTTGGTAAATATGAAAGGTTATTTTTTACAAAAAATATTGCCCTGTCGTTACGAAGAACATTCGCTGTCTAGGATTTTTCTCAATAATATGTCAAAATGTGCTAATGCTTTTTTTGCAAAAACCTTTTTTGTTTTGAATAATATTTGTATTGTTTCAGCTCAGCAAAGATGGGTGACCAAAAATTTAAAATCAGGGCCGCCATTTTCTTTGAATTCAATTTAAACAAGAAAGCTACGGAATGCCATCAGAACATTTGTACTGTTTTTGGAGAAGCTGCTCTTACTTACAAACAATGTTGTGTTTGGTACGATCACTTCAAAACGGGAAATGAGTCATTGGAAGATGTACCACATGGAAAGCCACCGATTACTTTGGACGATCAGCTGTTACTGAACGAGGTCGACTTGGATCCATTGCAAAAGTGTAGAAAATTAGCAGAAAAGTTCGGATGCACTCATGTTACCATTTACACGTTCTTGGGAATCCATATCGAAGCGGGAAATGACTCCCCCACGACCTCACCGATGCCCACAAAGTCACACGAGTCACCTTGAGCTCTGTTCTTCTACGTAAAGCTCACCATCGTGACTTTTGAAAGTATTTTTTGACATCTGATGAGACTTGGCTTTCGTATGAAAATATTCAACTCTATGGACAGTGGCTGAGTTCGAAGCAGACCTCTCATCCTATCCCGAAGCCTCCGAAAAAGTTATGCTTTGTGTGTGGTGGAATGCTAAGGGATTGGCTCATTTGGAAATATTAGATAAAGGAGACACTGTTGACGGAAGACTTTATGCAGAACAAATGGGTCGAGTCGATCCAGCATTGAGGAAAAAGAGGATCGATCCATCGAAGGTCAGATTTCTTCACGACAATGCTAGGCCTCACATTTCAAAGATCGTCCACGAACAAATCGACAAGTTGAGCTGGAAACTTCTTCCACACCCACCATACAGCCCTGATCTAGCCCCATCGGATTACCATCTCTTTCGGTCAATGAAACAAGCAGTTTCTGGACAGCAGTTCAAACAAAAGCAGGACATCGAAAATTGGGTTGCCAACTATTTTGCCCCTAAAAATCTTTAATTTTACGAGGACGGTACTCGTGATTTGGGGCGATGTTGGAAAGAAGTTATTAATGCTTGTGGTGGATACATTTGATTTTGAAAGTGTTTAAATAAGTTTTCCTGTTATGTTACAAATGATCAAAAAAATAACCTTTCATATTTACCAAGCTAATAGGTTTCCTTAGAGCTAAAGTGTCAAGTCATCATCAAGTCGTCGCCCTTTTTGACTACCGCTCAAAGAAAATCCAGACATAAGACATCAAGTTAATCTTTAAACAAATTCATCATCAAATGATTTGCTCGAAATAAAAAGTGTTTCTTGTTGAATTTTCGATCTTTTAAAGTTAATCTCGGTTCACTTTCAAGAGGAAATTCGTGAAAACGTGTTTCTCGTAAAAACCTATGAAAATCGAAGAAATTGGCTTTATAAATTTTTGAAAATTTAGCTATATACCAAACTTTTTATGCTCTATCTTTTTTCTATTGACACCGGGATAGATTTCCTTAGAGCTAAAGTGTCAAGTCATCATCAACCCCATCATCCCCATCAAGTCGTCGTCCTTCTTGACTACCGCCCAAAGAAAATCCAGACATAAGACATTTTAAAGCAATTTTAATGTTATTTTGTAGAAAAATAATTGATCTTTCAAATGAAATAAACCGTAGTTCAATTGGTGCATTTGTTGGTTTTAAACAAAAGTACAAAAAGGAAAGAAAAGACTTTCTGGAAAGCTTAATATTAAAATATCTTCCAGCGGCTATATGGTCTCACGAATTTACGGAATTCAAACGGTTTTCGGTGAACGCATTGATCAAAGGATGAGAAGATCCTCTTCACAATCCACATGCAATAGTTATGAGCCCGAGTTTGGTGTTTCTTTTTGCTTAAATGCTTAAAGAATGCTTAAAGAATGCTTAAAGATTTCTACTTTATACTTCTTTATGGTTACAATGTAAAAATTACAAAACGGTGGTGATGAGGGGAGTGGGACAAATGCGACCTTTTTTTTGAGCACCCGGACATTTAGACATTTTTTAGATCCAATACGGTTCCAATACGGTTCTTTTTAGATCCAATACGGTTCCAATACGGTTCTTTCTAGATCCAATACGGTTCCAATACGGTTCTTTTTAGATCCAATACTGTTCCAATACGGCTCCAATACGGTTCTTTTTAGAACTATCTGAATATCAGAGCTTGTGGAAACAAACGGACGGAGTTATACAAAGAGAAAAATCGACAATTTTCTGTAATTTGATCTAGCCGTTTTGTCTTTCAAATTGGTTCCACACGCACTGTTATGTCAAAATTTCGATTCTACGCCCTCAAATTACCTAGAAAAACAACTTTTGGAATAGAAATTGGTTAATAATAGCTTTTTAGAGCTTTTTTAAAACGCGAAAAAAGGTGCGCTAATGGGCAAGGTGCGGAAAAAAAGGTGCGCAAACGTCCGGGTGCACAAAAAAAAGGTCGCATTTGTCCCACTCCCGGTGATGAGTGTTTGTGATTTCAGTTGAATCCCGAATCGTTACCGTATTTGCCAGGGATTCCTATTGGAATTGATGTCGCACAGTTGGCAAAGCAACACCATAAAAGGTTTATATACCTTAAAACCATTTATATCTTTGACACCAGCAATTTAACCGTGACTTTTAAACCTCTAGATCTTTGATTTAGCAAAAGGGTATCGAAATCGAGAGTCCAGGCCTATTAGGGTTAAATTGAAGGTCAAAGATTTGTTGAGAAGCTCTTTCTCAACAAATTTGAGAAATTTGAGAAATTTTTCCAGCCCAGTTCAACTATTTTAAGATTCCCCAACGGTCAATTTGAAAATGCGATTAATTTAGCCGTCACCACTCTTTGGAGAGTAATCACAGGAATAAAGTGAAGGGAAGAGACTCGGCAGCGATTCCCGGCAGCGATCAAAGTTTGTTTGGAAATGAAAAATAAAGAAAATGAATGGTTTATTCTTCTACCGCTCAACCCTTTCAAAAAACAAAAAAAACCATGAGAAAAATCTAATTTTCTAGAAAAAAACTTTAGCTTTACCTTTCAACGTGAGCGCTTATCGACGAAGACGTTATTTCTATGTGTTGATCTTCGCGATTATTCTTATCGCATTGATCATTTTTCTTCTCGTTATGTTGGTGCGTGTTTGGAAATGAAAAATAAAGAAAACGAATGGTTTATTGCTAGAGATTTATTGATTTTTGGGTAAAAGATTCTTTGGTTTTAAAGTCCAGCATCATAATTGGCGGCGCCTTTCTTGTAGCTTTCCAAGAAGGCAAGTGCGTGCTCGATTGGCATAATATTTTTGGAAATCTAAATAGTTTATTATATTTGTTGTTTATCTTTTTTGAAATTTGTATTTGTAAATGAATTAGATGTTAAAAGATTCAGCTCATTTTTAGCTCATTTTTAAAGAAATTTAAGTCCTCAAATCTTGAAGCAAATCTAGGAATTGTTATTTTTTTTCTTCAAATTTCCTTAAATCCTTAAAATTCTTTAAAAAAAGCGAATAATTATGTAATATTATATTATATGTCGTAGCCGTTTACGAAATTCAGCCGCTAACGAATCATTCGTTAACGGCTAGCCGGCTAGCCATCGATACCCGTACGAATAATTCGTTAGCGGCTAGCCGATTGATTAGTAATGGCTGGCCGTAACGATCATTCGTACGGGTATCAATGGCTAGCTGGCTAGCCGATTAACGGCTAGCCGATTACGAATAATTCGTTAGCGACTAGCCATCGATACCCGTACGAATGATTCATTAGCGGCTAGCCATCGATACCCGTACGAATGATTCGTTAGCGGCTAGCCATCGATACCCCTACGAATAATTCGTTAGCGGCTAGCCATCGATACCCGTACGAATGATTCATTAGCGGCTAGCCATCGATACCCGTACGAATGATTCGTTAGCGGCTGAATTTCGTAAACGGCTACGACATATATTTATGTAATATAATAGATATTATATAATAGCTAGTATATAATAGATATTCTATAGTAAACAAATTTCTATACAATATACTTGTTTAAACTTTTTGAATTGCTCACCTCAGGACGGGACACCATGGCGTTAAACCATTTAGTCAAATGTGGGTAATCCTTTTCGCAGGGGAAATTCTGAAAGATTTTTTTGGTGAGAAATTTCGGAAATGTTTTAGACAATAGAAAATGTTCATTTTTCTTCATATTTACATAGAAAATGTTTTTTGCTAAATCACCTTGACGTTGAATCCGGTGAATCCTTCGATATGGCTCACCCACCACACTCGCTCCACGAATGGGAAAGTCAAATAGTCAGCAAATGAAGGCTCAGCTCCTGCATATTGTAACATATTTTACAAAAAACAATAATTTCACTAATACCTCCAAAATAGGTGTTCTCAAATAGCTTCTCGGTGTCGTTTAATGCTTTTTTGAGATTCCCCAATTTCTCTTCTTTCACTGATGGATCTTTGAACGCTGCTACTAAACCGTAGAAAGCGCTTGAGATCTAAAATCCAGCTTTTATTATAAATTTCTATATCTATATAAGATTTTACTAACCGCTAATGTTTTCTCGGAGAGAATCTTTTGCTTGACTCTCTCAAAGGGATCTTTGGGAAGCACTGAGTCCTCTGGAAGAATGTCATCGAGATATTGAGGGATCAAGCTCGATTCGATCACATACTGTAAATCTCGATTATAAATAGTACAATAAGTACAGGAAATTCCCATTATTGTCAAATAAACAAACAAACAAACAAACAGACAGACAGACAAACAGACAAACAAACAAACAAACAGACAAACAAGCAGACAAACAAACAAACAAACAAACAAACACTTTCCCCAATCACGTGTCGTCCAACTTCGGTAGGTCCGTGCAAAGTCAAGGTGCTGCTTTCGGTGCTTAGAATTTATCAGAGGTTTACGGGTAGCCCTTCTTGCATATAATCCAGCATGATTTAATCGTCGTCTGATCATTTCCGGCGATACAACCTTGTTAAATTGACAAACAACGAACAAACAAACAAACAAACAAACAAACAAACAAACAAACAAACAAACAAACAAACTTTTCCATTGTGCTCCAGGGTGGGCACTTTTCCTTGATAGTGCTTCTCAAAGTACCATTCCGGTTTCGCAGCAAGATCGATATTCACGACTTCGACACTAAAAATTAACTACTATGAAAAAAGATTTAGGCTATTATTTTGTAATACTTAAATCTCTTTTGGATTATTTTAATATCAAAAGCTTACTCAATCCCTTTCCTAGCCACATAGAGAAGCGCTCGTTCAGCCCATGGGCAAAATCTCATGTTGTAAAGGCGAAAAGTCCCAGCTGGGGCAGCAGTTGGTTCGGGATCTCCTGAAATTTTTGATTTTAAGCAAAATTTGCAAAACACTGACCTGCTTTGAGGGCTTTTGTGTTCAATCCTTTAAGAGTCATGTTGAGAAATGAAGATCTGAAGATCGATCGAAGATCTGAAGAGATGTTTCTGTGCAAAACAAAAAAGGAAAAATAGCAGAGAGCTTTAAAAGTATCTATAGGTTTTTCTAACAAAAAAAAGCTTTAAAACAATCTACACTACTGAACAATGAAATATCATATTTGAAAAACGATCGTCACTTTCGCACGTCTGTAACTCCCTTGTCTTTACCGTATTTCTAAATATTAATATTACCATTGTGTAGCCATTGAAAAGAGCTTTCAGAAAATGTATAACACTAATAGTTTAAACTCAAAGACAAGGGAGTTACAGACGCGCGAAAGTGACGATCGTTTTTCAAATATCATATTTCATTGTTCAGTACTGTAGTAACTAGATGAGTGAAGAAATCTCGTCAAGAAGATTGTTTAAAGATAAAGATATTCAAGTGTACAGTATTCTGAAATGAATGAATTCACAATGAGTTGACAATACTGAACAATCTTTGAGTTGACAAAAAATCATTCAAAAGGATTCGAGTGGGTAATTTGTTTCGTCGAGAAAACCTAGTAACTAGATGAGTGAAGAAATCTCGTCAAGAAATCTGTGTAGCCATTGAAAAGAGCTTTCAGAAAATGTATAACACTAATAGTTTAAACTCAAAGACAAGGGGAGTTACAGACGCGCGAAAGTGACGATCGTTTTTGAAATATGATATTTCATTGTCCAATACTGTATAAGTTTTCTTCAAAAGAAAACTTCAAAACAATCTATAGGTTTTTCTAACAGAAATACAACGATATAAAGCTAATATTTAAAGCTTAAAATCAAAAAAACTATTGTTAAGAATGAATGTAATTTGAGTAGTTTCTTGTGAGGGAAAATTTTTTGAGGCAAAAGAAACGAGCGCCCCTTTGCTTTAATATTTGAATGCTGGCGTTTTCACCACTCAGCACATTTCACAAACTACAAAATCGAGACCGCCTCATGAGCACACAAACACACTTTGCTTTTTGGGGAAGGGAAAAGAAAAGGTGAAAAAGGTGCAAAAGGGGAAAGGCGGCTTTCCTGGGGGAATTCTCGCAAACACCGCAGGAAACGCAGAAAAACTCCTACAAATTTCTTTGCTTTCCTTCATCAGAGCACAAAAACAACAAAGTTCATAAGAAGTTTTTGGCAAAAAGAAAAAAAAAAGGAAGAATCTAAATCAAAGATTAAAGGTTAAAGCAAACTTTAAAGTATTTGATGACAAAAATCTTGAATTTAATCTTTTTTTCCCCATTTTGACATAGGTTTAAAAAAGAAAACCCTTTATTTCTCATCTTGTAAACTCAAAAAAAAAATAGATTGATCTCAAAAAATGGAGGATCAAAAAAAAATCTCAATCGTTACTTAAAAAAACTCACGAATCTGCCCGCAACTTCACAATTTCGGCCGTTTTGTTTTCCCTTTCAAATTGTCTAGAGAGGAATTGATTGGAATGATTGGAATGGGTGTTTTGGGAGTGAAAAAGCCGTTTTCTCATGTCTCAGTCCATAAGAGATGCCAAATAAACTCACATTGGGGCTTCGAGGCCAGAGTTCTTGTTCTGCAACGCGTTCATTTTCCCGTCGAGCTCTCCAATCTTGACTTTTCCGCCTCTCACTTCCATTGAAATCTTTTGCCTAAAAAGGTATAATTTGAAGCTGAAAAAGTGGGGGAAAAAATGAGAAAGAAAAACTCTTTGATTACATTTTTCATAGACTATTTTAATCGCATATTTTAACAAAAAAAGTTTCTAATTATTTGATTGCAAAAAACAAAAAAATGCTCGTAACTTGAACAAGAAATCTGTGAATTCCGAATCAAGCGCTTAGGCCCCGTTTAGGCCTCCCGTTTAGGCCAGCAACTTATTCGAGTTTTTTTTAAAAGTTGCCTTTTAAACTATAAATGTTAACGATGTAGCTTTATTTGAAATTTTCTAAGACAACTTTTCCATTGACACCACAATGGGTTTCTTTTGAAGAAAGTGCTCAAACTGTCATATATTGAAATATTTTGCCTAAAAGGTATAATTTGAAGCTGAAAAAGTGGGGAAAAAAAATGAGAAAGAAAAACTCTTTGATTACATTTTTGATTGACTATTTTAATCGCATATTTTAACAAAAAAAAAGTTTCGAATTATTTGATTGCAAAAAACAAAAAAATGCTCGTAAGTTGAACAATAAAATCTGTGAATTCCGAATCAAGCGCTTTCCCGTTTAGGCCAGCAACTTATTCGAGTTTTTTTTAAAAGTTGCCTTTTAAACGATAAATGTTAACGATGTAGATTTAAATGGCTGTTATAAAACGGTTAATATTGTCTTAGAAATTTTCAAATAAAGCTGTTAAATTTGTTCAAATTTGTCGCCAAGCAGGTGAAAATTCGAATCGTTTCGATGGCTCCTGAATGGCTTTCGATGGCTCTCTTTGATTACATTTTTCTCTTCTCTTTCTCTTTTCCATTTTTTTTTCACTGTATTATTAGAAATTTTAGATTTAATGTATAATGTTTCAAAGTGATTATCGTAATTTTTATAGCTTTAATTGATGATGTCACTGTGAAGAGAATGGAGGACGAGATCCCGGAAGTGAGTCTTTTGAGTGCGGCGACGATTCTTGAAGATTCGGACTCGAAAAATGCATTTTTTCATCTAATCAGCTGGTGGGGTTTTAAAGATCAATGAACTGTACAACAATAAGCTTTCGTTGAAGAGATTTAAAGACTTAGCCAAGAGGGAGACTTGTACTGTAGGGAGACAGTTGGAACTAGGGAAGAGCAAAAACTTGTGCGTCGCCGGGATTCGAACCCGCGACCTTTCGCTTACCGGACAACTGTGCTAAACGCACTTGATCTCGTTGACTCACTTGTTGACTCGTTGACTACACCACAACGCACTTGATCTCTAGTTAACTCCAGAGGTTAGCTCCAGAGGTTAACTCCAGAGGTTAACTCCAGAGGTTAACTCCAGAGGTTAACTCCAGAGGTTAACCCCAGAGGTTAACTCCAGAGGTTAACTCCAGAGGTTAACCCCAGAGGTTAACTCCAGAGGTTAACTCCAGAGGGAGTCTAGTTAACTCCAGAGGGAGTCTAGTTAACTCCAGAGGGAGTCTAGTTAACTCCAGAGGGAGTTAACTAGACTATATCAGTTTCAAGTTTCAAACACAATAAAGCATTTAGGGCGTTTCTTTTCTCAACTTTACTCGTCGTATTTATCGTGATGATTCGAGTGGGTAAATGCATTCGTGGCTACTGTCGCGATTTTGAGCCTCTCAACGACATCGAGGAAATTCGAAAGAGATGTTTGTTCTCGAAATTCGAAAATTCCAAGCCGAACTTAATTCCACCTTTGTTTTCTCAGCCGATTTCTCAGCTCAGCGAAAATCTTATCTACAAGCTATGCCAATTTCTATTTGTAAAGCAGAGCAATCGATTCAATGGTTTCAGAGAAATCGATTAAGAGACGGCTGAGACAACGAAAGTGGAATTAGGTTCGGGTTGGCATTTTCCAATGTCTAGTTTGTTCTAAATTTTCGAAATTAGTTGGATCGAAAAGGTTTTCAGATGAAAGACACTGGCAAGAGTTTCAATTGTTGGAGAACTCGTTGACTCCGCGCAGCTATGCATCAACCACAGAAATGCAGCCGATCACCAGCTACATTTAATTCACCAAAATCTCATAGCAATAGCTAGCAATTTTAAAATTTTAAAAATCTACAGAATGCTAGCTTTTTTTCTATTCTTTTTTTCCATTTCCTATTTCCATTCCCATTCCATTTTTTCCATTTTTAAAAACTTTCCAACTTTGTCAGCTTTTCTTGTGATGTTTACGATCAAATTGTATACCGTATTTCTTCGAATAGAAGACCGGGTAAAGAGTATGATCGCGTACTCCTGCGTAGCAGCCCTTTTTAAAATTTCTTTTCTGCATAAAAGCTTTCAATCAAGTGCTATAGAGCTGGAAAATGACTCAAAAATCTGTTAGCTCATGTGGTATTTTTGAGCCATTTTCCAGCCCTATAGCACTTCATTGAAAGCTTTTATGCAGAAAAGAAATTTTAAAAAAGGGCTGCTACGCGGATGTACGCGAGTACGCGATGATACTCTTTACCCGGTCTGTAGTAGGAGTACGCGATGATACTCTTTACCCGGTCTTCTATTCGAAGGAATACGGCATTTTTCCTAAAACTAATCTTGAAATTTCTCTAGTTTTCTTTTCTGATTGTTTTAAAATCGATTTTAAGTCGTAACAAAAGTTGTAAACACAAATTTGTCAAATTTTCAAGAAAAACGATTGTTTTTCATGACTTTCAAGTAAAATAAATGCTAGGTTTTGATCAAAAAAGGCAAAAAAGAGTTCATAATTACCGATTTGATTGTGAGAGCTGACTCCCACCTTTTTGTGGCCACTCACTCACCAGCTTTCTCGTTTTGTACAAAACGAAAAAGCTGTGAGAGCTCTCCTCGAACAAAAATTTTCTTCGCCAAACGTGACCACAAATTGATCAATTAGTTTTTCGAAATTTTTGATTATGAATCACCGAGAAATTTTCGAGATTATCATGATTGGATTGGCGTCAGTTTTTTCGTTTTTTTGAAACGGCTTTTCGAATTTCAGATTTTTTGGTAGTATCTCGATTTTTCTTTGTTTAAAGTGTATATTGAAATGTACGGATCATCTTGTTGGCGAGATTGTGGATCGGGGAAGGCTCAATGACGACGAAATGAGCAGTTCGTGGTCTAGTGATATACCGTAAATCCTCTAATCGAACGCCATAATGACCGTCGCGTAGTCTAACTTTGAGCGTCCCGTTCTCCGCACTGCTTTAAGCTATAGTGTACTTTTGGTTGTCAAAAGATAGCCCTTGAAATCTAGTATTTTTTGGTACTAAAAGTGTAGTTGGAAAAAAATCTAGGAGCTGAGAAAAAATGATGAAAAGACGACTTTTTTTCGCAGATTTTCAATCATTTTTTTCTAAGCGCCGGTTAATGCTAAAAATATGTGTTATATCTGAAAAAATCACCCATCCTCTCTACTTTAATTTGATACCCAAGCACACAGAACCAAACGTACGGGTATCGAGATATGAGCGTTTTTTTGAGAGTAAACTTAGACTACGCGACGCTCCTATAGGGGCGCCGTTCTATTAGAGTTTTTACGGTATTCTGATGTAAATAGAGAAAAAGATAGAGCATAAGAAGTTAGATGTATAGCCAAATTTTTCAGAGAAACTCATTCAGCTAATTTCTTCTCCTTTAAAAAGAGCCGATTTTCGTCAATGACGTCAATGACGAAAATCGGCTCTTTTTGGCACTTTTCAACCATTTTTTTTCTAAGCGCTAAAAATATGTGTTATCTCTGAAAAAAATCACCCATCCTCTCTACTTTAATTTGATACCTAACGTACTGGTATCGAGATATGAGCGTTTTTTGAGAGTAAACTTAGACTACGCGACGCTCCACATCAGCGCGAAATAAGGCAAAAAAAAAAGCGTTCTCTATCAGAATTTCACGTTAGAGTATCCATTCGACGCAGAAAATTGTGCTGAATCGAATGGTGAAGAATCGAAATTCGAAATATCGATTTTTTAAATCGTTTTATCGACAAAATCGCACTTTTACAATCAACTCGTTCGCCGCGACCAACTTTCGGCGGCTCGTTTTCAGCGTGGTCGAAAGATTGCGCCCTCAAACCCGATAACTTTTGTGTGGACGTGTGCAAAGATCATTTTGATATCAAAAAAATAAAAATTGATCAACTTTGCGAAGACTTGATGCCTTTTTAAGTTGAAAATGACGTTTTGCGAAAATGACTGTTTTCAGCGTGGTCGAAAGATGGCGCCGAAAGACACTGAATCTATTAAAAAGCTTACTAAGAGTTTCTTTATTACCAATTTAAATAGAGATAAGTTAAGTAGAAGTTAAAAGTCTCTGGCAAAAAGGGCAAATTGAAATAGAGTGATATAAATATGAATGTAAATAGGTTGTTGGCGATTGTGCACGTTTTAGCGGGCAGAAAGTCGCAAAACGTCATTTTCAACTTAAAAAGGCATCAAGTCTTCGCAAAGTTGATCAATTTTTATTTTTTTTATACCAAAATGATCTTTACACACGTCCACACAAAAGTTATCGGTTTTGAGGGCGCAATCTTTCGACCACGCTGAAAACGAGCCGCCGAAAGTTGGTCGCGGCGAACGAGTTGATCTTAAAAGTGCGATTTTGTCGATAAAACGCGATTTTAAAAAAATCGAGTCAGACGGATTTCGATAATTTCTTCACCATTCGATTCAGTACAATTTTCTGCGTCGAATGGATACTCTAACGTGAAATTCTGATAGAGAACACCATTTCGAGCGGATTTGCGCTTCTATAAGGCGGCGCACATCGGCGCGAAAATGCGTTTTCTATAGGATTTTCCTGGGAGTACCTTTTTTAGATGCGGAAAATTGTGCTGATTCCGAATCTGAAGGAATTTTCCAAATCCCTCTGACAGAAATTTTTTAAATTGAGTTTAAGCGGTTTTTTGGCCATTTTGTATGGGAAATTTTGTGGTACCCTGCAGTTTGGGGCTCGTAACTCGACAAGCAGGGTCTAGAACAAAAAATGAGGGGATAAGTTTTATTCTAGAGACCCTTACGAACATTTTGATACAAAAATCATCAAATTTGCTCAACTCTACAAAAAGTTATAACATCTTTAAAGAAATTTTGCAAAATACACTAAAAACATAAGGGGAAACCGTGGCTGAGTGGTCTAAGGCGCGCGACGTGAATCCCGCGCAAAAGTTTTTAATTTCTTATGTTTGGGGAGGCGGTCTTCTATTAGAGCTTTTACGGTATTTACTGTAATAATTGACAACCTTGTTTTGACAACCTTCAACTGTATTCTCTCTGACTACACGATGCTAGAATGGAAATCATTTGGCGTTTAATTGAATATCATTTGAAAGATATTCAGTCTCTATTCCGGCAAATAGTGAGACAAAAAAAAGAAATTGACACTTTTACAGTATCTTTCCGATTCGAATTCGATCCTTTGCAAATGATTTTCACAGGTCTCGAAGAGTTTGAAGAAGCTCAGTCACCAGATTGTGAAGAGACAACACATACGGAAGTTATCCCAATCTCGAGGCAACAATACAATACATTTTCTCCCACGAGAATTACCTGGCGAGATCAACAACCGACAAGGTGAGCGCTATGACAAATAAAGTTTTGAATTATTTTTATTAAACTTCTAAAATAACAAGAGCAGACTACAAACCCTTGTAGAAACGCGCAGAATGGATATTTTTGGAAACTTTTTTTTACCAAACATTCACCAAATTTTAGGCTTTCGAATGACACCAAAAACAGGTCAAATCACATTTTCAATATTGAGATATAACGTTTTTTTTCCAGGTTTGTAGTCTCATCCCATGAGAAGCAGCTATAAATCACTCGTTCTTAAAGTAAAAATGATGGATTGTTTTGATTTTGTTGTCATTCGAAAGCCTCAAGTTTGCCCAATCTTTTGGTAAAAAAGTTTACAAAAATATCCATTCTGCGCGTTTCTAGATGGGTTTATAGTCGCCATAGCCGACTGGTTGAGAGCCTTGTATCTTAGTCGAGAGGTCAAGGGTTCAATCCCGTAGATTATTGGTTTTTTTTAATTTTATAAATGAAAATGTTCTTGATATGCCTTGCACCAAAGCATTGTACCAAAACTTTTTGACCATCCATTGCTTTCTATTTAAAATTTCAATCAATAGGCTTACTATTGGGTTGGTGAATTGAAAACTGCCGGACTTTGAACTAAAATTTATTCAACATAAAGCCATGAATTCATTCCAAATAATTTCCATTATTATTGACGACTTCTGCTCATTTTATAGGCAATTTGCGGATTCCTCTTTCATAGTAGGATTTTGGTTTTTGTGTGAGACAAGTGTGAGACTCAAAAATGGAGGACTGGAGACTCAAAAATTAAGGAATGTCCCAGTTTGAGCACTTTCTTCAAAAGAAACCCATTTTTGTGTCCATGGAAAAGTTGTAGAGAATCAAAAATTAGGCTTATAGTCAAATTTCCAAAAAGATACACTTAGTAGTTTCGCTTAAAATGCAAGTTTTGTTGCAAGTTTTGTGAAAATTCGTAAATTTGGCATTTCCTGAAAACCAGTTTTTGAATCGTTCTGAAAATTTGGATATAAGCTTGATTTTTGATTCTCTACAACTTTTCCATTGACACCAAAATGGGTTTCTTTTGAAGAAAGTACTCAAACTGTGACATATGACAATAGCCCGCAGTTTTCAATTCACCAATCCAATACTTTGCTACGAAATACCGTCAATTCTCACCTTTTCTTGTCAAAGCCTAGAAATCAAATCAAAAAGCCAATTGAGATTCGATTCAGCTCAAATCGTTACAACGAAATCAGGAATCCGAATCTTCTTCATCCGAATCGTGTCACCGTAAAGATCCCATGTGAAACGTGCAAATGTGTACATGTGATTGTCGAGCAGAGAAATCAATATGATTTCGTATGATAAATCAATATGATAAATCATCAATATGATTTCGTTTAAAAGTTTACTCATTTTTATTTTGATAAACCTTTTCGAACTTCGAGCTCAAATCATTTTTAACGGTTTATTTATGATCAGCACTCGTAAAATCCTTTTCTATGGTATCAAAGCGTGAAAAGGAATTTCGTGTGCAACGAGGCCAATTGAAGGAAAGTCCGGGGGGAGATAAGCTCTCTCCCAGTAGCGCCGATTCCACTGTTTTATAGGTTTTCCGCTTGTTCAAGCATTCCTCTTTCACCCCCGATCAACCCCATAAGACCGAATTCATTTACCACCGTTCTGATTTCATCAATTAAAATCAAATTCTTTTCTTTATTTTCTTTCTTTTCTTTATTTTCTTTATTTTCTTTCTTTTTATTTTCTTTTTTATTTTCTTCCTTTCTTGAATTGGCAAAGGGTTATGTGGAATGATGATCGGATTGGTGAACGGCCTTCCCAGCACTTCATCCACAGCTACAATCAAGTTTGTTTTGTCAGGGTTGAAATACTTTTAAAAATCATCATACTCTATCGAAAAGATTACTTGACTTTACTTATTAATTTATATGAAAATATATGAAAAAAATCTTGGAAAGCTGATGATTTAAAAGTAGTTTTTTGAATTTCAGTTCTTTCAAAGGTCGATCTATATTCCCAAATATTCTCGATATATCACCAGATCTTGATAGTATTTCAATATTTGCTAACTGTACCGAAGAGCAAAAAGAAACGATATACGGCTATGATTCGAGCAAGTTGACGGTGAGTTTTAATGGAAAAAAAGAGCTCAAAGTTTGGGCAGTTTCTTTTACCTTTTTGATCACTTCATTCACGTCAAAGAAAAGATATAAAGATACGAAAAAGACTTTGCTTTTAACCCTAATATTTTAATTTGTTTGACATAATATTTTATTTGACAAAGATGATTGGTGAATTTTTAAAGAAATGGGATTAAGAATAGGTTTTGTGAAGGGTATTGGTGGTAAGAAACAATTCTTGAAATTTTATTGGGTTGGTGAATTGAAAACTGCGGGCTATTGTCATATGTGACAGTTTGAGTACTTTCTTCAAAAGAAACCCATTTTGGTGTCAATGGAAAAGTTGTAGAGAATCAAAAATTAAGTTTATATTCAAATTTTCAGAACGATTCAAAAACTGGTTTTCAAGAAATGCCAAATTTACGAATTTTCACAAAACTTGCATTTTAAGCGAAACTACTAAGTGTATCTTTTTGGAAATTTGGCTATAAGCCTCATTTTTGATTCTCTACAACTTTTCTATTGAGACCAAAGTGGGTTTCTTTTGAAGAAAGTACTCAAACTGGGACATCTCCAGTCCTCCATTTTTGAGTCTCACACTTGTCTCACACACAAACCAAAATCAAACCAAAATCCTACTATGAAAGAGGAAACCGCAAATTGCCTATAAAATGGGCAGAAGTCGTCAATAATAATGGAAATTATTTGGAATGAATTCATGGTTTTATGTTCAAGAAATTTAAGTTCAAAGTTCAGACAGTTTTCAATTCACCAACCCAATAGTTATAAAACTTCTTCTTTCTTTTGCATAACTCTTGTTTCTATTTTTTAAAAAGTTACCCATTTCAAGAAAATCTTTAAACCTTTCAAAGATCAATAAAGAATAAGCTTATCAAGTTTTTTATTTTTTTTTTTGCGCCTTTCTTTTAAGTTAAGGAAAAATGACAAATAACAAATCAAAAAAAAAAACTATAAAATGACGAAAATTTTGTAATATTTAGCTTGTCGACTCAACATTGCCAATTTTGTGTATAATTTTGTCCATATTTTCGTTGAGCATCAACATTTTATTCGTTTTTCTCGTCATTCGTGGGCTCTACGAGAAGAAATTGCCGTTTAAAGTTTGTGAAAGCATTATAATTTGAAAATTATACACAAAAAGCTTTATTCACTTCATTAACTTTATTCACTTATCGTAAATAGTTTATTGCTTTTGAAAATGCTTACCGTATTTCTTCGAATAGAAGACCGGGTAAAGAGTATGATCGCGTACTCCTGCGTAGCAGCCCTTTTAAAATTTCTTTTCTGCACAAAGCTTTCAATCGAAGTGCTATAGGGCTGGAAAATGGCTCAAAAATACGACATGAGCTAACAGATTTTTGAGCCATTTTCCAGCTCTATAGCACTTGATTGAAAGCTTTTATGCAGAAAAGAAATTTTAAAAAGGGCTGCTACGCAGGAGTACGCGACCATACTCTTTACCCGGTCTTCTATTCGAAGAAATACGGTAATTGCTTAATTCTTTCGTTTAACTTTTAGGGTTACTCATTGTTGATCAATCGCTCAGTGACCGATATTTTAACTTCATTTCTCACATTGATTTTCGTTTCTTTGCATAAGCTGGTCTTTATTCAAGGAAACCCTGAATACCCGGCTGATGAAAGGTAAAATTTGACAATTGTTTGATAATTGTTTGATAATTGTTTGACAATTGGCGAAAAAGAGCAAAAAAGAGCTTACAATTAGAAATACGACTGTTTACGAAATGGATTATTTAATCCCACATGGGAGAACGATGTTCACTCTATTGCTTACAGCTAATTTTTGGTCAGCAGCTGGTAAGGGACACAGGGTTTTCAGGAAAACGAAATAATTCATTCCAGGAGCCTATGCCGTTTTAGCGCTTTTCACTTACTTTGCGATACGACATCCGTGGTTTTATATGGCGAAAATCACCGCTAGACGTACGGGTAGGTAAATCGGCTTGTAAATCTGATTTTAAATTTACAAAAGCTCACACCATTAATCCAGATAGACTCGTTTCTAGGTCTAAGATGCTTAAGATGAGATAGGAAAAAGAGATTGAGAAAATTCGCGATTTTTTCATCTATTTGCAAAGAGCATATTTATCACGGTGTGACTTTCTCTTCTCCTGTCTCTCTTTTTGATTGCTTTTCATTGGTAATGGTCGTAAAATTTGGCGACGCAAAATGAAGAAATCAGAAGCTGTGTGCATTTATTTTTGAAAAGAAAAAGAGCCGGGGGAAAAAGTTGTCGAAAGTGACGTGATTTTTCTTGTCGAGTAGAGAAAAATGACTAGCTGGGTGGTGGTTTTTGACTCTTGATCGCTCAAAGACTGAAATTCTAATAAGTAAAGGAGTAAAGAAGATTTGTAAACAAGATACAAAGAGTTAACAACGGATTCAGATTCTTTTTCGATGCGTTTGCCGTTTACGAATTTGCTCGTATCTTATTAGGGAAAGGCACAAAATTCTCGTGAGCTTTCGTTTCAGAAACACATACATCTTACAAAATCGAGATGAAGATTCATAATTGTAATCAAAATTCTCCCAAATAAGCTAAAAATTGAATTGAAATTTCGAAGCTTTAAAGGACTTTAAAAAATTGATAGAAAATTGAATTGAAGCTTTAAAGGGCGCTTTTCACTCAATGACCAATGGACGGTGGTAGCCTAGTGGATAGTGGAACGGGCCCTCAGTAGTAAGATTGGGGTTCGGTCCCGCTCGTGTTTTGTTTTTTTTTGTTCTTTAGATATAATACTTTACCTTGTAACTATTCAATATAACAAAGCAAAAGGTGAAATGTTAACATGTTAACATATGTGAAACGAGATCACGAAGCATCTAAAACAATAAAAATTTTCACCTGATAACATCTGATTGCTTTCATTTGATAGAAAATTTGATTTCAAGTCGAATGAAAGTAAATTTAACGTTTTTCAAAAAAATTCAGCTAAGATACGAGCAAAATTCGTAGATTGTCATCGGCAAACCGACGGAAAAAGGGGTGAAGTTAACAGCACAAAGATAAAAATGAATCACAAAAATCTCTATCTATTGTAGCAGATCGTAGCCAGATCATTCAGAGAAAATATTCGTAAACAAGATACAAAGAGTTAAAAACAGATTCAGATTCTTTTTCGATGCGTTTGCCATTTGCGTTTGCCGTCTACGAATTTTGCTCGTATCTTACTAGGGAAAGGCACAAAATTCTCGTGAGCTTTCGTTTCAGAACCACATACATCTTACAAAATCGAGATGAAGATTCATAATTTGTAATCAAAATTCTCCCAAATAAGCTTGCAGACGCGTAAAAATTGAATACGAGCAAAATTCGTAGGTTGTCATCGGCAAACCGACGGAAAAAGGGGTGAAGTTAACAGTACAAAGAGAATCCTAAAAATGAATCAAAAAAGTCTCCATATATTGTAGCAGATCGTAGATCATTCAGAGAAAATATTCAATTTTTAGTTTACGTGATGTTAGGCGTTTGGGCGGTGGGAGCCGTTTATTCTATCATTGTCGTTTGTATTTCGGCAAATAACGCTTTTAATGTTTTCAACGATGCCAAGGATCTCATTCGATGGAATGTATCGAGTGAGGTTTGCGCTGTGAATAATTCAAACAAAAAAAATCACCTTTAAATGTTTAAGAAAAAGCCTAAAAGACTATAAAATATAGAGGATTTTAGAGTTTTATTCCTAAAAGACTATAAAGGAACTTTAGAGGAACTCAATAGGAACTATAAAGGAACTATAAAGGAACTTTAAAGGAATCAAATAGGAACTATAAAGGAACTAGATAGGAACTATAAAGGAACTTTAAAGGAACTATAAAGGAACCAAATAGGAACTATAAAGGAACTATGAAGGAACTATAAAGGAACTAGATAGGAACTATAAAGGAACTTTAAAGGAACTATAAAGGAACCAAATAGGAACTATAAAGGAACTATGAAGGAACTATAAAGGAACCAAAAAGGAACTATAAAGGAACTAGATAGGAACTAAATAGGAAATTTAAAGGAACTATAAAGGAACTAAATAGATTTTTTACTAAATTTTTTCTTTACCTTTTCAGGACTACGTACTCTCGATCTTCAATCTATTTATTGTGCTTGTTTCTTTTCTGATTGTCACCATTTCTTATGCAGCAATCATGGTGTATTTGTATCGAAAAAGTCAAGATTCTGGTTAGTAAAATGGTTTCATTGAAAAAAAGAAGAAAAAATGAATCTAGGCAATGCGTCATTACATTTGATGTCAATTGGACGACTAGCTTTAAACATTTTTGCTTTCTCAATCACATGTATCGTGATGGCGGGTTTTGTGTCGATTCCAATAATTCTAAAGACTCACATCGACTACTTGATTGACGAAATTCAAGTAAAAAAAAAAGGGAATTGCAGAGTTAAGCTAAAATTTTAGGAATCACAGTGTAAAACCCTTGTGGCTGCTTATCAACTCTCGTATCAAATGGCTGAATGGACCACAGGTGAGAGAATCTCATTTTTTGATTGTTTTCGATGGATGGCTTTTGGACAAAGGACGGCATAAGTTGTCTGTCAAAAGTTTTTAGAATTCTCCTTTAAAAACTTTCTGCTTTATTTTATTTTATAAGTGTTTATAACCAAAAGAAAGCCAATCTTTTACAGAATTAAAATCTGATTAGAGTTTTTAAATAGGTTCTTTAAATTTTGAGTTCTGGTTATTCTATGCTCTGTGATCGTAAATATTTTTGCGCTTTTTCATTGCAAAAATTTCTAGAAAAATGACAAACTTTTTTGAAAATTGTTGTTGTATTTCCAGTTTGGATAAAGATAAAGAATAGAAATGATAAAGAATTGTTTGAATACTCTTAATTGTCTGAGTTCTAAGTTTGACCAAATAACTGGGACCAGGATCGGACGATCAGGATCGAACGGACCAGGTTCGGACGATCACAGAGCTTACGCAAATTGTGATAACTCAAAATTTAAAGAAGTTCTATAAAAACTGTAATAAGATTTAAATTCTGTGGAAAATTGGCTATGAAATAATAACGATTAGAAAGAATTCAATTAAAGAGAATTTAAAAAGGACAGGACTTTCGCCGCACCTTGCGTACGGTATAGAGGGTGTTCCTCGCGAGTAAGTAATTACTCGAGTAAATTTGCATGAGTAATTTTCGAGTAATGCGTTTTCTAAAAAGTGCGCCTGCGCGAAAAAAAATAAAAGCCATTTTTTGCGCAGGTTTTTCAAAAAAAAAATCATTTTTAACATTGGAAGGGAATTTTCGACCAAATCAGTTAAACGGCTGAGTATCTTTAAAAAGTGTCGTATATAACGCGGGACTCGTGGTTTTCGCGTCATTTTTTTGCAATAATTTTTGCTAAAAGTACGGTAATTTTTTCCCAAGTGTGCGTTTTAAAAAACGCATTACTCGCGAGGGACACACTCTAGTATGGTACCGTAAATACTGTAATAGTACCCCACTCATCTCGTACAGTCGCGTAGTCGCAAAAGTTTTTTAGTATTTCATTTTTTGCAAAGCACCCGTACTTTCAAAAAATGGGTCTTTGGTATCAAAAATAGCCCTGAATTTCAGCTATTTTTGATACCTAAGCGCACATTGTAGCATAAGCTAGTGTCGAGAAAGACTCGTTCAAAGCTAGACTACGCAACACTCCGCACCGTCATTAGGGGAGCGGGGTCCAATTACAGTATTTACGGTAAGCTCTTACACAGTGGTCAAAGCAATTTGTCTTTCAAAAAGATGTTCCAGCAGCGATGGTGGGATGGTTGTTACGAATGATCATGGATCCGTTAGCAAATCTCTTACTCGATACTCGCTTTAAGTTGATTTACGGGCATTGGTGTCGATGGATTGATATGACACCGCGTCGAACGACCACCAGAGTTGCCACCGATTTCTTGAGGTGAAACAACTCGATAATGACTGAATAGTATTCATATAATGTAGATGACTTGTTAATGGAATACTATTAACACATACTACTGTATCAGTGTCAGTAATAGACATGATCACTATAAACTACAAAAATGACGAACCGTCACACTGCAAATGCTTCTAACTTGTTTCAAATCTACCGGATTGTTATGATCTATAGTTCAAAAAATAGAGAATCTCAAGAGCTTTCGAATAGACTAAAGCACGCTAAAGAAAGTTATCGTGATTTGTAGTCTTGACTCGAAACAGACCGTACTCGCGCGTAGTCAAAGCGATTGAGTCAGACTATAAACCACTGTAACTTTCTTTAGCATTAATATTTCTCGGTGTACTTTATTTCATTCGAAAGCTCTTGAGATTCTCTATTTTTTTGAGCTATAGATCATATCAATCCGGTAGATTTGAAACAAGTTAGAAGCGTTTGTAGTTTACGTTTGCTATTTATGTTTGTTATTTATGTTTGTAGTGCTCCTGTCCAATCAGGCTTCACTACAGGCCCTAAAAAAGTCATGTTATTCAGAAAATGTGCTGAAGCAAATATCATGCCAGTGTCGATCATTTCGAGTGAAGGGAAATATTTCCGCTTCCGAAGTCCATCCGTTGAGGACGCTCGTCAACAAGTGAGTTCACAAAGATAAAAGATAAAAGAAATCAAACAAAATCTCTATAATATTATTTAGAAATCAACAAGACAACAAAATCTTCGACGCTTCGAACATGTGATCACTTTAAAGCAAAGAGTTCTATAACTTTTTGTTGTTGTTTTATATGAAATTTTTAAACGGGTCCCTCTAGCCTTAATGTTACTGCCGTAAATAATGTAATAGTACCCCACCCGCATAATGACGGTGCGAACTGTTGCGTAGTCTAGCTTTGGACGCGTTTTTCTCGACACTAATTTATACTACAGTGCGCGTTTAGGTATCAAAAAATAACCCAGAAATTCAGGGCTATTTTTTGATACCAAAGACGCATTTTTTGAAAGTACGGGCGTTTTGAAAAAAAATGAAATACTAAAAAACTTTTGCGACTACGCGACTGTACGAGGGGAGTGGAGTACTATTACAGTATTTACGGTAGGTTTTTTTTACTGAATTTATTGAATTTATACGCAAAAATCTCTATTCTCGGGTGAATAAAATCTTATTTATTTTTAGTGTCCAAGGTTTAAGAAATTTATTCATTTATCATAGATTTTTACGAGAAACACGTTTTCACGAATTTCCTCTTGAAAGTGAACCGAGATTGACTTTAAAAGATCGGAAACTCAACAAGAAACACTTTTTATTTCGAGCAAATCATTTGACAATGAATTTGTTTAAAGATTAACTTGATGTCTTTTGCTTGGATTTTCTTGGGCGGTAGTCAAAAAGGGCGACGACTTGATGATGGGGTTGATGATGACTTGACACTTGTTGATGATGACATTTGTTTAGCTCTAAGGAAACCTATCTTGATGTCTATAGATAAAATATAGAGCATAAAAAGTTTGGTATATAGCTGAATTTCTAAAGAAATTCATTAAGCCAATTTCTTCGTAGAGGTTTTTATAGAAAAACTCGTTTTCACTCTCGATTTTCCTCTTGAAAGTGAACTGAGATTAACTTTAAAAGATCGAAAATTCAACAAGAAACACTTTTTATTTCGAGCAAATCATTTGATAATGAATTTGTTTAAAGATTAACTTGATGAATTTGTGATTTTTCAATAAAACTTTCTAAAGAGCTGAATAAATGAAACGTTTTTAACGTCTAGAAGATCGGATTTTGCTCATCCGATTCTGGATAGACAATGATATGTTTTGGATAGACAATGATAACTTTGCTCTCTCGGTGTCGGGAGGCACTTTTATGTACTGGTAACGCTACAGCTTATATCCTATCTATCCAAAACTTTTTCGCTCATCTAGAACCCCCTTTCTTCACGAGAATAGCCTTTGAAAATGGCCAACTGACAATAGCCTTTGAAATGTTCACTTTGTGCATTGAAAAAGGTTTTTTTTTCAGTCGAAATTCTCTTTTTTTTTATGGAAAGAAAGAAGGAATATGGGAGCCACCAAAGTAACCAAATTCGCTGAGTCGGTTTGTCCGTGCAAACGAGATCTCTTTTGCACATTTTCTCCCCTCAAATTTCCTTCTTTCAACTAATATTTCATCTTTCAAATATTTCTAGTTTAGATACGGCAATTTTCAGCAAAGAAATCATTTTTCAAAACATCCTTTTTTTCAAAGAAAATAACGACCGATGAGCCTTGTTTGTAATGTTTTTTTTTTCGTTTTTGATTGTCATCGTTTTTTTTATTTCATTTGATTTCGCTTTCTCGATGAATATTTGATGATTTTTTACACTGCGGCTATAAATCATTTTCTCTTCTTCGTGTGAAAATGTGCATACGAAATGAAACTTGTTTTTTTCATTGGCCACGAAGCTTTTTAGCGTCGATTCGAATGGTTTTACCAATCTCGTACTTTCCTGAGTTCGTCGCTTTTCAGGTGATCGGTTTTTTCGGTTAAAAATCGGTTTTGAGATGAAAATCTAGAATTTTGTATTGGGTTTATGTATTGTAGAATGAAAAGCTTTTTTAGTCTCGACCAATCTCTCCGCCGAGAACTCGTGGAGTTCGCCGAGCTCCACTTCGTCATCCCATCCATCCCGCTTATCAAGAAGCTGATGGTGAGCTTTAAAAGATAATAATATAAATAATATAAACAATCTAAACAATCTAAACAATCTAAACAATCTAAGCTTTTAAGCATTACATTGCAAACAATATAAACGTTTAAGTATTACCATAATACCTGTAAAATAAGATTTATATGTTATCTACAGAATTTTGAGGATTTTTGTTGAAACTTTTTAGAAATAGCCGGCTTCCGGGTGGCTTTTTACCTATAGGAATTCTATGAAATTATCACAGTAGCAGTTTTATCTGTTAAAAGATTAAAAAAACAACCTAACATATCTTTATTTTCTTTTAAAGATCACTTTTTATTTGAACTTTAAACCTTTACCCTCCAGAAGATCAAAAATAGAATCTGGAAAGCAAAGAAAACTAGTAGATGGTGTAAAGTGAGTGGATTCCTTCTTGTAACCTAACTAAATGAGATCTCTAATTGTGGGATGTAAAAGAGAAAAGAACCGGATGCAAGCCCCTTCTTCACAAACCACTATCAGTTTGTCTTTCCCATTTCTCTTTCATTCACTTTCTCTATTTTCTTTGGCCTTAGTTTTCTTTGGCTTTGAGTCTTCTTTCCATATGCGTGCTCGCATTCAATTCAATCAGTGTCGGCATTAGGCTCACGATGCCACCGGATAGGGCGACCTCAACTCTTTCTTTTGCATCTATACCCAAAATTCTCTCAAACTTATAACCATAATCTTTGTTTAAAGTCTACCGTAAGCCAATTTAATTTTGTAATTCAATCTAACAGATAATCTAATAGATAATCTACCCTAAAGTCTCGAGTATAAGTTCATCCGAGTATAAGTTCTGCCTTAATGAAGAGGCCAGGGAGGGATCCATAAGACTGAGCACCGGAGAGGAGCAGGGCGGACGCGCCGAGCCACGCCCGGAGCAACAAATAACAGCATAAAATTGCTATAACCCTCAATAAATTTACTTCTATTATTGTTCTTAAAAAGCAAAAAAGTTATGCTGCAGCGGGGTTCGAACCCTCGACACACCGCACTGAAGACAGCCGTCAATTTGCATGCGAAAACCAAACAGAACTTATACTCGAGACTTTAGGGTAATAGATAATCTAATAGATAATCGTTTTACACAGACTTATGATAGCCTTATGATAGTTTAAAATTCTTATAAAGCTTACCAAGCTTACCACTCAATTACTGCCCAACTTTTCTAACTTTTCTAATAGCAGATCTATTTTTTTGTATTTCCTTGATCGAACATTTCTTGCTCTTTACTTTTACCTCATTACTGATGTCTCCAAGATTTCTCAATTAAACGATGAGTTCCTGAATTGAAATTTATTCCATTTAAGAGTAATTCCCTTTTACTGAAATGTGAAAAAAGAGGAAGATTGTTGTCAAAAATTCTACTCAGCAGTGAGGAAAAGATGAATGAAAATGGGATTAATCGAATTCACCGCTTCTCATCGAGAAAGGGAATAGACAAGAGACATTCCTACATCTAATTGTTCTCATTTTTTGATGCACATTTTCATATCTTTTTTTTGAAGTTTTACGTTTTTGAACTTTAAAATAGTGAATTTCTATGCAATTCGAATAAAATAATAACGATTTTGAGATAAGTTTTTGAAGAAAATAGAGCCGCAAACAGAGATGATCGAAGATCTGTGAAAAGAATCCCATAAAAGACTTGCAAGTTATTTGAACGGGAAACGAGTTAAGTATTCAAGCTGATGAAGAAAAGAGCTAAAGGCATTTGGTCTCTCATCAGCTATTTGAAATTCTAACCCTTTCTTCTTCGCAATCTTTCAAAAAGCTTCCTGAAATCCTCTTGAAACTCATCATCGAACTCTCTTCGTTGTACCAATCTCTTGACAAAGCAAAATCTTTGTCAACAGAAGCTTTATTATGCAAGCAATTTTTCTTCTCCTTCTTCTCCTTCTCCTTCTCCTTCTCCTTCTCCTTCTCCTCCTCGTTCTCCTTCTCCTTCTCCTTCTCCTCCTCCTTCTCCTTTCCTTCTTCTTCTCCTTCTTCTCCTTCTCCTTCTTCTTCTCCTTCTCCTCCTTCTCCTTCTCCTCCTCCTTCTTCTTCTTCTTCTTCTCCTCCTTCTCGTTCTTGTTCTCGTTCTCGTTCTCCTTCTCCTTCTCCTTCTCCTCCTCCTTCTCCTCCTCCTTCTCCTTCTCCTTCTCCTCCTTCTACTTATAAAAGTTGCGTTTCAGTAGCGTTTAATTAGAGATCCAATAGAAAAATGTGGTTCTCTAAATTGCAAATGATTGGTCTTTGTGCAAGAGAACTCTTTATCGTTTTTTGTGTTGAATCCAATCTATCATCATTTTTCATCCCTTCATCTCACACAAAAAAATATCCCAATTCAATTTTCCTCAATTTCCTCAATTTCCTCAATTTTCAATTTTCACCCACCCTCACCAATTGACCATATTTGGTTTTGAAATTCAAAAAATTTCCCCCCACAATTTTTAAAGGTCAAGTTTCTATTTTTGTGATAGCTTTCAGCGTCGAACTCTGAGCTCAATTAAAATCGTCATTATGTTCAAAGAAAGGAAAACTTTTTTTATTTTCAATCTAGAGGAAAACAACGATTGCCCTTCATTTAATTCGAATTCTTTTCTTTTGGGGTTAATGAAAGCCGGTAAACAAGTGAATTCTCACCTTTAAATCATCAATTTTCTCTCGACCCGCTCGAACGGCTTTCCCCTCAACGTAATGGCTTCTCATTTGAAATGCAAAAAGAAAGAAAAGGTAAACGAAAAACGTTGACGGTGTATTTTTGTTATGCTTTCCTGATTTCACCGAGTCTTGTTATCCCTCTCAATGTCCCATTTGAAGGGGTATCGTCTTACCGCTTGGCCTGCCCGTCTTCGAAAGGTTTTCCCTTCAGAAGACAGCTTTCCCCTTCAGAAGACAGCTTTTTCTCTCTTCCTCTTCCAATTATTCACCATCACTTCATTGGTGTTTTTTTTTGGTTGAACGGATTCTTTTCTCAGACTTGACAAAAAAACGTGTTTACTAGGCGAGATCTAGAGGGGATTTAATTGTGAGTTGAGGGGATGTGCGTTGATCTTCTTGAAAAGGC